ATGGAATGAAAAAAAAACTTTTTATATAAATGTTTACGTTTTCTTTTAGCCACACTATTGTAAAGTTGAGGAAATACACAAAATAGAGAGTAAATAGAACTAACTTATACGATAACGGCAATGCAGTATGCACTGAGACTTCATTTGTTTGTCTGTAATCTTATCATTCGCACATTAAATTAGACATCAATTATCCTAATTATCAGATCACAAGCAATCTATAAAACCGGCATCGAAGTCATCTTACTCACGTTTAGTAGAAGAGATCACAGCTTGATAGATGATTAAAGTAAACAACAGTTATTAAAACCACGTTGCCATGTTTCTGACAGTAAATTCTTATTCTTTTACGTTTTTAGCTATCTCATCATTTATGTCAATCGCTGATATGTCTTGTCAATGCTCAACGTGATTGTTTTGCATTTATTTATTTATTTTTCCTTTCCAATGTTATGCAATATGCAATCTTTTTCTATCATTGTTTATTCCATTATAAAACGGAATGAAGGAACGAAATATTTATTAGACGTTGCTGTAAACATTTATTGATTTCGATGACCTTGTTGTTGATGTTATCGCTCCTCTATTGTATGCCCATTTATTTTATATCAACTACTTTTTTGACAACAAAAACGAAATACTTGAAATACTACAATAATATTGTTTGAAACTTATCACTGAAGTGCTAGTTGTAGCGCATATAAGACTGTATATTAGATGATCACCGAGCAGTGTTGCTGTAGTGAAGAATGTAGATTCTTCAATAGTTTTCGTCTAGCTAAGAAACTTTCTTCATAAAGATCGATTCTACATGAAGATAGAAAATCTAATTTACACAAAGATTATTTCTACATAAAGATTCTGTCTACATAAAGATTCGATGTAGATGTCTACAATTCTACATTCTTCTCTGATGTAGACCTAGAAAAAATGTAGAATTGTAGACATCTACATCGAATCTTTATGTAGAAATAATCTTTGTGTAGATTAGATTTTCTATCTTCATATAGAATCGATCTTTATGAAGAAATTTCTGTCTCAGAATTTATCTGATCCAGACAAATCGCCAGAATGCAATACTGTCACCGAGGTTTATTGATTGAACTGTTTGTGTATTGAGCTCTACTCCTTTTTACCAACTGCATTTAAAACAATTAAACTATCTACATTTTATGTGAAAAATCAATAAAACCATCTTTAAGTTATCTGCATTTTAATGATTTTTAGATTAAGATAGCAAATTGAGTAGAGGGTTTTGACCCCAAAACGCATCAAAGATTGTAACGTCAAACAATATCTTATTAGTTTTAAGACTTTAGTTGATTTGGCTCAAATTTCATCGACTACGAGTTAACTTAAGTCTAGTTTGAATTAAAAGCTTTTAAAAAATTGCATCATCGTCTAATTACGCATCGACAATTAACTATAAGGAACTGATGAATGATCTCTACTGATTGACTTTTTCTAAATTGAACAAATATTTATTCAATTTGATCATAAATGAGATTTTCCCGTTTTTCCTTAATAAGAGATTTATATTAGCAGATAAATATCAAATCACTTAATCAGTCATTTAAAAAGCTCAAAAATTTAAATATGACTAATTTACATTCTTAAGTCACGATCTAAACGCAGACCTAAACTGCTCATGTATTAACTTATCCATAATTATTTTGACACTCATTTCAAATACTTTTTATCATTAATTGATTATTTTAATGATTCATAGATTCAAGGAGTCATTAAATATGTCCGAAATAAATTATTATACTCTTGGAGCATCAAGTACAGCACAGCATATCATAAATAAACAATATTGAATCGATAAAATTTGAACTTTAATTAGACTTGGCGCAAAGTATCGAAAAAACTGAAGGAGCTCGCTTGTTGTGCTTTTATAGAAGAAAAGAAAAACAATAAAGTAAAAATAGGCAAGAAATTGGTTTCAAGTAACAATAAAATTTTGTAACGCATCATATGACGCCAATGCCGGTACTTAAAAATTGTTTTTACTTTTTTTTTGTGTGTGCATGAGTCTCATTCAATAGATTTTCTTGACTTGCTGCTTATTTATAAATATGGAAAAAGAAGAAATCGAGAGAGAGAAAACAGAGTTCAGTGCTGTAGTCAAGGTCGCATAAATGAACTTTATTTGTGTCAGTTCTCGTTTATCATTATGACTTAATAATTAATGCTTCAACACATGTGTGTAATATGAGAAATTTTGTTGTTGAAATACTTTTACAGACGCTCACAACTCATCCGCAGAACATGACAATTTAGACGAGCTTTATGGATCATCATCTTTCACGCTGCGGCTGAATATTTGTATGCCGCTTCTCTTTTTTATTTGTCATATTTTCTTTATGACAATAAAAAAATTACTTAAACGAATTTTCGTGCACACACGAATTGTTGTGATTTATAATGATGAAATGTGAGGGCAGGCATATTAAGGAAGAATATAAATCGTACTGTTCTGTATTTTTGAACATCTGATAAAACATATGACTTGATCTCTTTTTTTTTTTTTATTTATTTTCGTCGTCGTCTTTGGTTTGTTTCGTTCATCTGTGACTCTTATTTTTCATGTTTATTAAGGTACAGTGGTTCACAAACTGCGTGATATATATACACTATAGGACAATGAAAGTTTTATAAGCGCTTCAAAAATATGCAGTAATGAATTAAACTTTTTGGTACTACAAACTAGAGTAAAAACTCTTTTGAGCACAACTAGTGAGCCTATGCAGATTGATCATTTATAAAATTAATAATCAAATTTAATAGTAAATCTAATCCGTAATTTTTTGTTCGTCGATTAATTCGTAAACCATCCCCATCGGTTCGGTTAACGATTACTCGCTAAAACTTTGACTTTTAAGTTAAACACAATGACTTTTTACAAAATCCCCTTAAAATTGTTCAATTGTCTTTTCGCTTTGAACTTACTAATTGAAAAATGATCACTAGTCACTCCATTCTGGAAACTGAAATTCAATTCAAGCTTAAGTAAGTCCACAATTCATAAAAAGTTTCAGAACCCGCAATAATATTTCGGAGTTCAAATAGTCAATTCAAATGTCATGAAGAATAAATCAATCGATCGTATATCAAGATTTTCGTTTATTTTATTTTTCGCACATAATTAGTTTGACAAATTGTTCTCTTCTCGTCTCCATCTCAGCTGCTTATTTACTTCAACAAATAAAAAAATTGTTTTGTTTTTTAAACGTCAAACAGAATTAAAATAGAATGCATAAAATAGCAACAGTAGATTATCTACATTGTGTTAGCTTCGAGCACATCTCTCAGGAAGTGGCCTTGGGAAAATTTTAGACTCGAATCGATCGTCATATTCAAATATTCTTTTTATATCTCTCCCAATATTTGTTTTTATCAAAAAATAAAAAAAAAAGCGCAAATGTTCCTATACAAGCTAGCTTGACTATTTCTCGTATGCTAGCTATTTTTAATTGATGTCAGAAGTCCTATTGTCGTTCGTTCTATTTTTGTAGTCCCAATTTTATTTTTTTGTTTTTTGTGTGTTTGGGATTGATAACACTTTCATTTTATCGTCATTACAATAATTCGTAGTTCTTAAGGCATAGCTATAGTCGGATGAGATTTTGTAAGCACTCATAATTTTCTTTACTATTGCAGTTCAAACGGTTCTTCATCATAACGTTTCTCTTTCTTCATCAAACATTATAACTTCTTTTTATTAATAAAGTAGCAACTACTGTGTGTATATTAAAGTAAATGAAATGGTACATGCCTATTTCTATTTACCGCTCGCTTAACTTTGGGCATTGAATCGTCATCATCATTCAATGATTGCCATCCAGACAGACATATATATCTATAAACGATTATGATACTTTAGCAGGAAGTAGGGCATTATTATTACTTTTGAGAGAGAGATGTAATTCGGTCGTTATCATTAGCCATTTTCATCGCGTAAATTGAGACATCTTAAGTCGCTTGCTTGCTGTGTGTTTTTTTACAATGAGGCTTTTGTATTAGTATTAAGTCTCAAGTCTCTCATATTATTCTTTATGTTGTTTTGGCACATAAGAATTTCTGGTTTTTATCGCAATACATGCGTCTATTGCTGTAGTGGTGGATACGGACTGACTACACTAGATGAATTAAAAAAGAATGTAATGAAAGCATCTCAATACACGCAAATTATCTCTCTTTTTGCTGTATTTGCCCTCGTGAGATCCTTTTAACAGTGACGCACATTTCTGGACATTGTCCAATTTAAACTTTTGACATGTTCATCACGTCCGATTTTCGTTTAGATAACATCCAGTAGTGGATCGTGACAAAAAGATCCAGTAAATATCCAGCGATCGAGTTTTGTAAAAAGTAGTGATTACATTGACTGTATTTTTATCTCAAACTTACCTTATCATTAGTATTATTGTTATTCTTTTCATTAGCTTCTTTTACACCGTTTTCCTGATCCATTTTAATTTTTTTTTAATTTGTTGTTGTACAATTTTTTATAGCAATATTGAAATTTAACTTTTCCTGCTTTAAACTTTGTTATTGTATCGATTTCACAGTAATTTTCAATAATTAATATTATAAAGTGCACTTTTGATTCATTCAACTTATTATTTAATTATTTATTATAGTATTATTAACAAAATTTTAAAAAGTCCGAAAATACCGCAATTTTATGTCGGAAACTCGATTAAACTGGATATCCTTTAGCAATTATGACATCCTACTAGTCACTTAATATGTTTTAAATCTATTTCCGACAATATTGTACCGATAACAGTGAAAATTAAAGTATAACTAAACGAGAGCTCAGTTCTGTCAGGGGGGAAACAGCTATTGAAGAAATATTTCAACTAATTTCAACAATCGAACCTCTCAGAAATTCAAATTTTTGAACGTTATTAGCACACATACTAAGGTTGCTAATTGTTGAATGTATCTTAACGGCTTTTAATAATTCAAAATTACTTGATCATAATTTTTCAAAAGGACGAAAAAATAGCAAAAATAATAAAAGTTAAAATTTATTAAAAATACTGTTTATATGGATAATCTAGCGAGTTTAGAGTCTGCAATTAACTTATTCTACAAGAGCCAATCGAGTGATCAGGCTAAATTAAACGAATACCTCGTAGAACAGCAAAGATCACAACTTGGTGAGTTTTGAAAGATTTTCAGTAAAACCGAGGATTATTTTCATCATATTACTGCTTATTTACAACCTATATGGCTTAATCAAGCATTTTAAGTACATCCAGTAAGCAATATTACTCAATTTCATTGACTTATTCAATAGCTTGGCAATGGACTTGGGAGTTTCTGGATTTCTCAAAGACTGTCGAGGTGCAGTTTTTCGGCGCAGTTACTTTACATAACAAACTATCAAAGAACTGGCAGGAAGTGCCAGAATCGATGCACAATGAGTTGAAAGAAAAGCTTTTGCAAAAAATTGTTGATTTTGGTAGTACCGGCACAAAACTCGTTTTAAACAGGCTTTCTATGTGTGTAAGTGTCATTTCCTCTTACTCTTCTCTTTTTTGTGCATGCATATATACTCATGAGTCACAAACTATTTTTAGCTAAGTTCATTTATTGTTCATATGCTCAAAGAATGGCCATCAGCAATAAGTGATGTGATTAGTATGTTCCAAAATGAACAATTACCTAATATCACCCAACATACCCAGCAATGGATTCTCTTTGATGTCCTATCCGGTGTTCCTGAAGAAGCTGTAAGTGTATTTACGTCAATTCAACGAGTACAATTGAAGAATGAAGTCTATAAGAATGCACCATTCGTGCTTAAAACTTTAGAGCAATTTATCTGTATGAAATGTGAAAAACAGCAACTTGAGGATGAAGACATTACGTCTTTACAGAATGCCGCAAAATGTGTACAATCATGGTTTAAAAATGGTTTAATTCCACTTGATCAATGTATGGAAATATCAACAGCTATACTTAAATTAATCTCAAAGATTTATTGGTCAATTTCGGAATCAGATGGATGTCTATCGCCTGATGAAAGTGAATTATCAGAGACATGCTTAAAAGCATTATCAAACATGATGGTTCTACCAGATGCACACAAATATTCAGGCACAGCACTAGCTCTTATGAGAATGTTCTTAGAACTTCTTAGTCCAATTGTTAAAAATGAATGGAAAATGGACAACCTTAACGAAGATATTGCATTTTGTATTTATTCCCTATTCATCACATCCATTGAATGTCATTCGAGAACAATTTTAGCTGGAATCTCTTCGGAATCGCCAGATCATCATGAAATTTATGTCCGTTTTGTCAATGAAATATTATTGTGTACTGACAAACCTGGAACCTATCCAGTCGAGGAATCATGTTCAACACTTGCAATGGGTTTTTGGTTTATGCTTCAAGATGAAGTCTTGTCTTATGATAATCCAGTAGAGCGTCAAAGGTGTCTAGCTGAAATTCAACCAGTTTATGCTCATTTAGTCAAAATACTTGTAAGGAAGTCACAGTTACCGGATGAGAATTGTATTAATAAATGGAATTCAGATGATTTGGAGACATTTAGATGTTATAGGCAGGATATAGCTGATACATTACTCTGCTGCTTTGATGTACTACATAATCAAATTCTTAAAATATTATCAGATATTCTCGATGAAGGCATAGCAGCGATACAGGTTGATATAAAGAACTGGCCAATATTAGAAGCAGCAATTCATGGTTTCTGTGCTATATCGCAACAAATTGATGGAATCGAATATGATGAAATTGCTAAACTTATGCGCGTACTAAATGAAATACCGTACGAGACAATGAATGAGAAATTATTAGGAACAGCATTAGAAACGATGGGATCACTAAGTGAATGGGTTAATGACAATCCAAAATATTTAATGAGCGCAATTCAATTGCTTGTAAAAGGACTCGACTCATCGATGTCGTCGCAAGCAACATTAGGACTTAAAGACTTGACATCAGATTGTCAGGAAGATCAAATGATTCCATTATCGGAACCATTATTGGATGCATGTCAACAAGCGCTATTAAAAGGACATTTAGCAAATTCTGAGTCAATAAGATTAATGTATAGTATTGGTAATATAATGAGTGTAGTTTCGACTGAAAAGATTCCAATTTATCTTGATAACATTATCTCGCCGTGCTTTACTGAGCTTCAAATGCATGCAGAACAAAAAAATACAAGTGATTGCGCTAGACTTCGTGTCATGTTTTGTCTCAATATGATTTCGACACTGTTCTCGTCGCTAAATACGAATAAAATTAAGAATGAGAAGAAAAGAATTCAACCTGTTATGGGCGAAGCTGAAAGGCCTCAACCAATCTTGATGATTCTTCAGAAAACAATGCCAATATTTAAGCAAATATGTGATCTATACATAAACGATATTCAAGTAGTCGAAATTTTATGTAAAGCAATTCAACAAGCTCTCAACAACTTGATGGATGACATCAAGCCTATATTGAATGATATTTGTATACTCATCCTATCTATTTTCCAAAATAAGTGTGTACCGCCTGTTAACGATATTGCTGCTTTGGTAAGCTATTGACATGCTGTCTTTTTTTCCCATCCTTTATATTAATTATTGTTTGTTTTTTTTGTAGTGTATTTTGATGTTTTTTGGCGATGAATCATATAAGGAACCGATGAGACAGCTTCTATTCCAAATAATTTTCTACAATTTTAGAACATTTGAGGTGAGTTTAGCGACAATTTGGAGATTTGAAATTTCTGGACATAAAAAAATTAACGGCTTATGAAAATTTAAATTTTCTAGTCATAGAAAAATTAATGGCTTTTAAAATTTTGAAATTCAGAGCCCTACAAATTAATTTAAAACCTTAAAACCCCACAAATTAATCTGAATTCCTATAACCATACAAATTCACTTAATCATCTAAAACCTTTCAATTGTTTTTGATGCTTCAGAACTGTACAAATTCGAAATTTTACTATCATTAATTTTGATTTAAAAGTCCTTTAAAGCTGATGATTAATAGTCTGTAATTTCCACAGCAAACACCTCCAAATAAATTTTCCGACATATCAGATTTGTTGGAATCATTTTATGCGTTGAATACAAAAATCGTGAAGAAAATCCCAACAGCTTATTCGAATGAGAATATGGATTTTGTAAAGCTTATGGATTATGGTAGGATGAAAAAAATTTCATTAAATTTTCAATCATCATGTCTTTTTAAACGCAAAATTCTTTCCAGCATTAAAAAGCATAACGTTACCTGAGACTGGACCATTAAAAAAGGCTTCATCCTTCATAGCAACATTTGTTAAAGAATCAAGGAATCATGTCAGCATGACAAATACCATTTTACTGAAAGGAGATGACATAGTCAAAACATCACTTTTGTGCATTGCTGGTGGAATTCCGAGAGTTAATGTTGATGTCTTTGGTGATGTCTTTATTGCATTAAATTCGAAATATCCATTAGAATTCATCGTATGGATGAAAATACTTGAAGCACCAACGTTCCCAACAACTTATGTCAATCACGACGAGAAAATAAATTTCATGAAAGCTATAATTAAGTAAGTATAAATTGCTACATACATTAATGATCGAAGTGTCACGAATAATTCATTTATAATATTGATACTGGAATATTAATTGGGTTAGGGTGCTCTGTCAATGATGTCTGACATGATAGGAGTATTTTTGGTCTAACTTAAGGACCAGTTATTTAATTGCTTTTTTGACAGTTCAATGCTTATTGATGGACGTCATAGACAAATGCATCAATTATGTCTTCGCACTTATGTGGATCAAATCATTAATTGATTATTATTCAATCTGAATCTGAATTCTATTTACAGAGAGAAAGTCAACAAGCGACTCATACAGGATCACATCAAGAGATTTGCAGCAAAGTGTCGAGGCGTGATTGAAGAACAACATATGTAAGGCCAAACGTAAGAATTTATTTAAAGCAGAGGAATCTTTTGGAATTATTTTATCAAATTCGGTGACTTTATTTTCATTTTAAAAATGTGATATGATAAATATTGAGACAAAATAAAGACACAGAAAGATTGTAGCTATACAAAAAAATTACAGAAGTCCTCGTGTTATTGATCGAGGGACTTAAGCGCATTTTTGTGTTAGCGATCAGTATTTGATTATGTAATTATTTTGCGTTCATTTACAGATCATGAGAAGATTAGAAGATCATTAATTTTAGTGTAATTAACAAAAAGTTACAATGAATGCTTATATAGAAAGGATTATTATTTAACGGTCAATAAATAATTTGAAATTTTGCCGTTAAAAGTTGCACTACGAAAATATTAATTATAGTATAATTAAACAATTTGTTGCAATAAATTTCCATACAGAAAGGGTTTATCATTTAACGGTTTTTTTGTAATTCAAATTTTCTAAAGGTCAATAAATAATTTGAAATTTTCCCGCTATAAGTTGCACTACGAAAAAATTAATTATAGTATAATTAAATAATTTGTTGCAATGAATTTCCATACAGAAAGGATTTATCATTTAACGGTTTTTTTTAATTCAAATTTTCTAACGGTCAGTAAATAATTTGAAATTTTCCCGCTATAAGTTGCACTACGAAAAAATTAATTATAGTATAATTAAATAATTTGTTGCAATGAATTTCCATACAGAAAGGATTTATCATTTAACGATTTTTTGTAATTCAAATTTTCTAACGGTCAGTAAATAATTTGAAATTTTCCCGCTATAAGTTGCACTACGAAAAAATTAATTATAGTATAATTAAATAATTTGTTGCAATGAATTTCCATACAGAAAGGATTTATCATTTAACGATTTTTTGTAATTCAAATTTTCTAACGGTCAGTAAATAATTTGAAATTTTGCCGTTAAAAGTTGCACTACGAAAAAATTAATTATAGTATAATTAAACAATTTGTTGCAATGAATTTCCATACAGAAAGGGTTTATCATTTAACGGTTTTTTGTAATTCAAATTTTCTAACGGTCAATAAATAATTTGAAATTTTCCCGCTATAAGTTGCACTACGAAAAAATTAATTATAGTATAATTAAATAATTTGTTGCAATGAATTTCCATACAGAAAGGATTTATCATTTAACGATTTTTTGTAATTCAAATTTTCTAACGGTCAGTAAATAATTTGAAATTTTGCCGTTAAAAGTTGCACTACGAAAAAATTAATTATAGTATAATTAAACAATTTGTTGCAATGAATTTCCATACAGAAAGAGTTTATCATTTAACGGTTTCTTGTAATTCAAATTTTCTAACGGTCAATATAATAATAATTTGAAATTTTCCCGCTATAAGTTGCACTACGAAAAAATTAATTATAGTATAATTAAATAATTTGTTGCAATGAATTTTCATACAGAAAGGGTTTATCATTTAACATTTTTTTGTAATTCAAATTTTCTAACGGTCAATAAATAGTTTGAAATTTTCCCGCTATAAGTTGCACTACGAAATAATAATTATAGTATAATTAAATAATTTGTTCCAATGAATTTCCATACAAAAAAAGTTTATCATTTAACGGTTTTTTGAAATTCAAATTTTACAACGGCTAGAAATTTTTTGAAATTATAGAGGTAATATTGAAATTATAGAGGTAAAATAAAATTTGAGCAGTTTACACTGAAAACAAAACAAAAATTCATTAATTATAGCATAAATACACTGTTTTAAGATTTTTAAATGTCCGGCGGGCCAATAACTCGATATAACGGAACTAATGCAAAAAACTAGAACTCTCTACGATGTCTAGATTAAAAGTTTTTCTTAGCAGCCGACCAGCCAGCCGACCAGCCGACCAGCCGACCAAAGTGCGTTATTAAGCTACCTTTTTGAAACAAGTTTCAAAAATGCGCTAAAAAGGAGATACGGATTGAATTCAATTAATGAGTAATATTTACATTGTCTTATAAAAACATATGATAATGAAGCCAAAGCAGTGTTCTCAGCAATATTATATTTCCTGTCGTAGCTTCATTCATTTCAGAGAAGTCGGTCTGTAAAGTTCAATAATTAAAGAAAAAAAAAAAATGGAATAAGTGAGATAGTTTAATATTAAAGTGCCTTAAAAAAATTATCAACTAGATTTTAACTCTTTTCTGCATGACTTAGTTGTGGAGAGTTCAAAACAATATGTTTGGGAAAAAACCGAAATCGGACGAGAAAAGTAAGCATTATCAGCAGATGAAGTCACGTTTGTGACCCTGTGGCTTTCAAAATTACAATTTTATTGCTTCTCTTTGTCTTCTAGAGTATCTCGTCGAGCAAAAAACAGCTTTAAGGAAGGAAAATCAATATAAAAATTATGGCGGAACCCTTACAGCAGATAACGAATTGTTACTCGAAGATGATACTGACTTTTCATTATTTCCATCGGCTGTGATTTACGTACTTTTATCAAAAACATTTGAGGCTACGGCAGCAAATGGAATAAGGAGTGTCCTTAGTTTATACTTAAGGGATAGTTTAATGTTTAATGAAGGCTTCGCAACGATAGTGTTACACATTTTCAATTTCTTCTCTCAATTACTGCCAATTTGTGGTGCCATTTTGGCTGATTCATACTGGGGAAATGCAAAGACAGTATTTGTTTTCAACATTCCGTACGTCATCGGTTACTTAGGAATGTTTCTTGCTACATTGCCTTATCTGTTCTCGTATCAGTGAGTATTTTTGTTTTGTGTGTGTCTACAGTCTGCAATTTGTCTGTTTATTCCTGTGAATTCTGGCTGTTAAATTTTCTTGTGATAAATTTCAATTGTTTTCAACTATTAAATTTTCAAATATTTTTCAAACGTTAAATTTTTAAATTAATTTTATTATCATTTGATTTTAAAAATCTTGCTATGCGGCCGTTCACTTATTATGTTACGCAAAAACCGACTTTTTTCACCCCCCCTCCCCCCTTGTTACAACATGTTTCAACTCACCCCCCCCCCCCGAACGTTCATAATTCAAATTTTTTTAAAAGACAGACGACAGTTAGAACGTTACATTCTTCTTGACAACCCCCCCCCCCCCCCCCCCCCCCCCCCCCTATGTTACATTTTGTTACAATTTTTCAAACCCCCCTCCCCCTAAAATGCGAACGTAATAAGTGAATGCGCTCTTATTAATCACAAACGATTTGAGTTTGTAAACATCTTCCACGTGTAGCTCACTCAATTTACATATTTATTTATTTGCAGTTCTATTGTTTACATGTCATTGCTTTTCATCGCTACGGGAAATGGCTTTTTACGAGCATGCATAACAGCTTTAGGAGCTCATCAATTTAAAATTCCTGAACAGAAGGTTGCATTGGATCGTTACTTTTCGGCATATTACTTCTTTTATTATACAGGCATATTGATTGGAAAAATTGTACCTCCATACGTTCGTACGAAAGTTCTCGTGACTAAATATTGCATTGAACAAGGACAATGTTACACAGCAGTTTTTGGTGTCATCGCATTTTCATTTTTAGTCTCATGGATCATATTTCTCTGTGGTCTATCATCTTACAAGCCTGAATATCCGACACGTGACAATACAATGATCAATACATTTAATTGCATTAGCTACGCAATTTACAAGAGTGTGCAAAGGAAATCAGAGAAGCAGGAACATTGGCTTGACAGGTCAATAGACAAATATACAAAAGAATTTATTGAGGACGTAAAGACTTTCCTTAAAATTGTTAAATTATTTTTACCACTTCCGATTTTCTATGCATTATTGGCACAACAAGACTCTACGTGGACATTCCAAGCTGCTTTAACCAACACAAATATTCTAGGAATTGAAATTCAAGCTGATCAATTTAAAGCTATTGGACCAATTTTGTTACTTTTGTTGATTCCTTTATGGCAGAAAGGAATTGAACCGATGTTGAATTACTGCGGAATTCATCTTTCATCACTCGAATGTGTTTTTATTGGTGGATTATTTGCAGTGCTAAGCTTCACATCTGCTGGATTCTTGCAATATTATATCCATCAACATGAAATTAATTCCGTCTCAGTTTTGTGGCAATTTCCTCAATTTTTATTCATCATGATAGCTGAAATGTTGATATCTGTGCCTGGCTTAAAATTTGCATATACACACGCTCCGGGGAATATGAAGTCAGTCTTAACTGCTATATTTTTCATCAATAATGCATTAGGGAATTTAATAGTTGTTGGAGTTACAGAGCTGGACATGTTTAAGGATAGATGTATGGAATTTTTCTTCTACGCATTTCTTATGCTGCTTGCGGCTATATTCATTAGATTGTTATCAAGGAGATACGAAATGACTGATAGTCAAGTCGAGATGAACATTATGGATGAAAAGGTCATCGAAACTTATGTTTATGTGGATGAGGTCACAACAGCTAATATGGAAGAGAATGTTTATAGAACAAGTGACGTTGAGTGCTGATAAGGTTTTTTGATTGTCATTGTCCCGAGTAACACAAGGGCTCCACGAATATTTCATGTCGTTTGAGATGAATTTTTGAAAAATCTTCGAGCAAGGCAAAGTTGAAGATGAAAGGAGTCAGTTAACGACATAAAGTTTTGGATAGAGACAAATTAAAAGATGCAAATATATTAAAAGACGCAAAAGTAATTTAAAAGATGCAAAGATCATTTGAAAGACGCAAAAGCAAATAAAAAGATGCGATATTTAAAAAATAATATGTCGTTATAAATTTTAGACACAATAAGTACTTATTGGTTACGCCCTTTTTTGATTAAGGAGGGAAGATTCAAGGAGGTTCCGATCCGCTCGAGATGGAAATTTATATGATAAAGGTTCGAACCCGTCCTTTAAATTCAAAATTTTTGGAAAATCCAGATTCCCATTTAGAAACGGGTAAGAATATATCCGTCAACGACACAGTCTCCACTGGATTTGCATTAGATAAGATCACATCTATATTATTTTTGTAAGCATTTAAAAATGACAATAAACTCTGTTAATTAATTAGATATTCAATACTTTTATTGCATTCAATGTTGACATTTTTTCCGTCGGATAAAATGCAGTTCCTTAACCTCAAGAAATGACGGGGTTTTTCAGAAATTATATCCATTATACATTTAGATTTCTAGAACTCCTGCTTCTTATTTGCAGTTGTGATTAAGCTTCAGATCCTATTTTTACTCATTTACGAACAAATTCTAACCTTACAATGTAGCTTTATAGTGATGTAGCTACGATCTATCATTCTTTAATAAAATTTCCTGAAATATAAAACAAAAAGCCAATAAGTCCTGTAAATAAGTAGTATTAAAAGCCAAGTTCCTTCCGTTTTCTGCACAACTATGAAAAAATGTAAAAATAAAATTTTATTTCCATATTTCTCTTTTATATCTCATATCATCGAATTAAAGCAATATTAATTCTAGTCAAAAAGAACAAAAAAAAATTATTATTTCTCAACTTAAAATCCAATTATTATGTATGTTCATTAATTAATGAATAATGTGTCCAATATTCTAACATAACAAAGATAATTATGCATTATATCCTATCATACACATTATGTCAATCATTATTTTGAACCGAGAGGTAGCAAACCCGCAACTATTTTTAGTTTAAATGATAAAAATTTCTTTCCTTCATTTTTTTTTCATTCCTTAATAATTTTTTTTATGGCACTCATATCAGTGATTGTAATCTTCTTTTATTTTCTTTTTGTGATGAGCCAATTGATTCTTATTGGGAGTGCATCTAAAAAGAGGGGTTACTGACTTAAAATGTCTTTGAATTTAGTGGAGGGGATGCAAAACATCCAACACCTTTTAAGGTCCTTCGTATTAGAATAAACCAGAGAAATTGATCCTAGAACCAGAGTTGCGATACAGAGCGCCTGTTTATCTTACCTGTTAACAGATAAGTGACAGATGATTGCCTGTGACAAATCGCAACTCTGCATAGAAGTTGTTAAGTGAGCTTTACACTCCACCTCCATTTTCTAAGGTTGGTTTCTTGGAATAACCTTAGCTTTCCTAATGGATATCGAGCAATACATTAGAGATGCCCAAAAAACCAGCTGTTCTAAAGAATATGGCTAGGATATACCTCTTGTATATCTTCGAAACTACCCCTTAGCTAGTGTAGCTTGATAATAAATTTTGGCGCAAAAAGAGCTATGTAGTGATGCAACCTCTGTCTCAACCTATTCTCCTTTCAGTAAAAATATGTAGATGCACCCCAATTTATTTTCTTCTTCTTCCTAAAATTCATTAAATTTTGGTAAATAGTAAATTTAAAATAACTTTTTTTTGAATTTTTTTGATTCATCTTTTTTAAAATATTTTTGACATTCCAGATGCATTAAAAATAATGACATTTTAGATTTTTTTTTGCATTTTTTTTTTTGGAAGGTTTTAAAATATGGAAAGCAAATTAAGAAACTTAATTGTACGCAAAGAAAAATAAAACATAACATAAACGTCATCAATATTAATTAATTAATAATAATAATAATAATAATAAAAATGTAGAATCACAGTTTTTCATACATAAAAATCAATTAGGTTTTCTTTTTTTTTTGGGGATGCAACAAAAGTACAAATTTTTTTCATATTTTTTTTTTCTTCACTGATTTTTTCTGTTTTAAAGTATAAGCTATTGCTGTAAGATTGATATCTTTGGAAGAAGGAGAGCAGTTGAATATATTAACTTCTTTGTTTCTTTTTTATTTGGAATCATATCCATTTGTGAATTTTATTTTATTTAGTAGTTTTTATGAAATATTTTTTTAAGCCTTGCCTGATGATTTTAAAAGAGTTGGTAGACTTGGATTATGAATTAAGGTTTTGATGTTGTTTTGACTAAGATTTTGGTGGTTTTTTAAAGTTTTTGGCTTACCCTGCTCCAGTATTGAGTCCACTATAAGAATTATATAATGGCATAGCTGTGAAGCAAAGGTTTAAACCAGAAAATATAATTTTTGAATCTTTAAATCGACCTTAATCTAAAATAAACCTTAGTTTATGATTCAAGACAACCAACTAAACCAAAATCATCACTTCTTGATATTCATGGTTGATTATTATTGTATTTAAATTTTATTGTTGTTAGTGTAGTACAAAATATGACAAACTCTCCACTTCCTGATTTGAAATATATATATAACATAATTATTTATCATTCTTCTCTAGATTATTATACAAAGTAGTTCCCATTCTAATCCTAAAATTTTAATATGATGCAGCTTTTTTTAATTAAATTAAAAATTAGAAAACATTCCACAAAATATTTCTTTTGTACCCAAACGTAAAGCTTTGTTTTTTTTTTATATATCTGTTGTTTTGCGACGAAATAAGAGGAGGAGCGCGCGTACATGTTAACGAAAAGTAAAAGATTCTCTCCAGTCAGAGGTAATATGAATCAATTTTTATATCCTTTTGATAAGGTTTTGAAATTTAAAAAAAAAATCATCTTTTGTAATTTTACAAAACAATATTATTTTCAGCCATTACATGCTTTGTTTACCACAGATCATTTCCTTGCGTTTTTCAATCGTCTTTCTGTTACATTTAACACATATGTATGTACTTAAATTGGTTTTTAACGTCCTTTCTTTTATAAGAATTGAGATTATCAAGTTTAAATTGCTTTAAAAAATCAGGAGAAGTTCACTTTAATGTGAAATTAGTCTTTCAGTTCCAGCAATGAGTTTAAAATCTCGATTTTAAGAATAAAGGTACAACTGACTTGGTTCAGTTCAGTTCAAATCAAATCGATTTGAATAACTTGAATCAAATTTTGAATTGACTTAAAGTTCTGGTATTCACGAGAGTTCATTTTAAGGTAAACATCGTCCTTTCTAGGAATGCTCTAATAGTAATCCTTGGACAAAGTTTTCTCATGTTCTTTTCTATTATAATCGTTTATAGAAGAATACTTATTGTTGTAAAGTAATAATGACCTTATAATGATTAAATTTCATTAAAAACTGAATTCAAATCTTATTAATTCTTCCATTATATTTGCTTTTTTAAAAATTTGAGTGATTTTTAAAGGTTTGAAACATAAAAATCTTCAAAATCTTCAAAAACTAAGTTAGCTTCACTTTAAAATCCAAAGCAATCTAAACTTCATCTTCCCATTCTAACTTCATTCCTATTTTTATTTACTTTATTTTAAATTTATATGTAGTTCGATAGTAAAATATTTTGTAATCGTTTATTATTCTTAAGTTTCTCTTTTTTTTTGTGTGTATAGACTCTAATCTACAAATGTCTAGATCTGAGCTTGATGATTCAAATAGTTTTCAAACACAGAACTACCTCTTTGTAGATTAGAGTAATTTATCCTTTCTGGGTGTGGGATAATAATTTAAATTCAATAACAAAGCTTGTGATTGCCATTCAAAACAATTATTTTTACACATATCTTTTTTTTTGTTTAACATTACATTGTAATTACGTGTTGATAAAGAGCAGGCATAAATCTACTCTTTATCTTTTATACGAAAAACCTTCTTCGTTTTGTCATCACCTTTTTTTAATCATCTCCTTTTTTTTTGCAGATTTGTAACTATTTCCATCAGTTTTTGTTTTGGTAAGTGATGAGTTCTTTAAGGTCTAGTTCAGAATAATTTTAAGATCAATTGTAGTTATCTTCAAGTTTGAATTATTCTGATCAACACCAAATAGCTCTCATTACTTAAATCCCAGTCATCGTCGTCAAAGAAACAAATATTTGTAATTATTATAAATCATATAGAATATACTTATTGGATATAATATCATCAAACAAATTTGAACTTCCTTTTTCGCATATTTTTTTGTTTAAAGTATGGAAGTCATCTCAATATGGATTTGAATGTCATAATGCAAGAAAATAATAGAATTAAACTTTCCACAATCATTTCCAGTTGCATTTAAACAGATATATTCAAACATTGAACGATGTTTCTTAATATTTCTAGATAATATTATTATATTTTACTTAAATTGTGTTAAACATGTTTAAAATTGTTTTGTTGATTCCAGGATTTCGCAATTTTTTCTATTATTTTAGAATTTAAAATATTTTGTTTAATGTTCTTTCGTTTTCATGTCAGGTAACTTTTTCCGAATAATTTGTAGATTTTGTAAATTATTACTTTTCAAAACGAGTTGGTTCGTCTTGCTTATTGTTGTGTTTGGAGTATGTCTGAGATTTTGTGACTAAGTTTGAATTCGTAACGGTAATTTTAAAATTGAAATTCAAGCTCAAGACCTGAAAAGATGTTTATCGAGCTAGTTTTCAGTAAAAAACACAAAAAGAAAACTCAAACCAAGGAGTGCGCATGTTTTAGTCCTTAAAGCCTTTTCTTTGCGAACAATCAACAAAACTGTCCGTGAACATTTCAAAAATTGAATTAATTTTAAATTTTAGACAAATACAATCAGTTACATGCCGCATTTTTTGGCGCCAATATTTTTTAAACAGTTAACATTGATAAAATACATTAATTTGATTATTAGACGCACTTCATTGGTGATTATTTAAAGTAGAAGTAAGTATTTAAAGCACTCTTACATGGTTTGGGGGAAAATTCCATTATTGAAAATGTTTTTGTCTGATGTAATTCTGAGGAAATTTTCGTAATCCAAAAACATTCAATAGAAAGTATGACTCACAGTTTATCACGTCAGCAAAACTTCCCAGAAATATTCCAAACACAATAAAGCTCCATAAAATCAAGAAAAAATTGCTTCAATAGAAAAATAAGGTTTTTTTTGTATCTTCAAATTTGTTGTTTGAAAGGATCATTTTAAAAAATATCATGTGTGGTTCCCCTATTCTAATCACGTTTTTACTTTTTTTTGTAATTTTTTAATTTTTTTTTTGTATCGACGATCTACGCGATTTCTAGAATCTTTTTTTTTATCAACAATTGTTCTTCTTTCCAAAAATATATAATTTTTTAGCAGCACTAAATCCATATCAATAGTATTTTTAAATTTTACATATTCTAATATATTCTCTTTTTTTTGTCAAAAACCAATTTTTTAAAAATTAGATGAAGCCTAATATATAATTAAAAAAGAAAAACGCTTGCAATCAGCTGAACACACTTACTATCATCATGATTCTCAAAAACAGTGTTTTTTTTTCAAAATTTTAAATTTGTTTTTTTTTTTTGGTTTTTACTTTTAAAATTCCTCCAATCCTCCGCCAGGAACTCCATTTTTAATCCTTTCTAAGACTCGATTAACATATTCAGTGGAGTTTTCAGCTATTTTAATAACTAACGTAGAAAAAAGTGGGGGAAAATGGTAGTCACTGATAAAAACAAACATTTGTTAAGGTTTGTAGTAATCAAATGGTTATTACAGCTTATTATAAGGTTGGTATTGCTTTAACATCGAGTTTGAGGTTATTTTATCTTTGAATCTTTGAATTTGAGGTTATTTAAGTTTTTTAATCATTTAGATTAGGGTTGACTAGGGTCGTTTTGATTCAAAGTTTATTAGAACTTACAATTTGCTTTTAATCTCCAAAAAGCTACTCTAAGTTAAAATATATGATCATTTGAAGGTTTGATCCAAAAGAAATTGAAAATTTCAAAATCATTGGTAAAAAAGTAATCAAATCTTCATGACAAACTAGTGTTTAGTCAGTAAACATCAGTAAAATCAATTGAAATGTTTAAAATTTGCCATCAAATCTACCTCAAACCCTCAAAAAACTTTCAATCCCTCAAAACTCATCAAAAACCAACTGTAACTTCCAATTTGATTACAGGATACAAAAACACTTACCAGTTGCTTTTGAATAAACCTCATCCATTTTCTGATTGATTTCTTCCTGCTTGTCTTGAGTGTTACTACATTTCAAAGCCAACAACTGCTTCATTTGAGCTATTCCTGACAATAAGCGTTCTAAAATTTAATTGAAGCCATAAGTTTAAATAATTTTTGACAAGTTAAATCAATCTTACTGTGTTCATGTTCTAGTCCAAAGAGTTTAATTTTGTTTGCCTCATGTTGAGCCTTTTTCTTCAATCGACAGGCACGAGATGCTAACTTATTCTTCTCCTTGCGTGTCTTTGGTCGAACATTAAAAGGCAATTCACTGACCGGAGTCATATCATTGATGACGCGTCCCAGCTTGTCTAATTCCTTTCCGATTGCATTCAGCTTCTTTGAGTTCGGTGTAAGATCATTGCCATCTCCTTTACGAGCCTTTCCACTATGCTTTATTTGAACAGACTTTTGAGTTATTGAAATAGAAATAAAAAATGTTTTGTTTCATAATTTTTGTTATTTTGGACCAACTACATCGAAATCTTTCAACAACATGTTACATCAAAGTGAAAAACAAGAGGATATAAGTGTGATGTGCGATCCATTTACATTGGAAATTGCTTTTACATCTAAATTAATAAAAAACCATAATAAAGAGTTGAAACTCACTTTTATGCCACGAATGGAACAGCTTGGTGAGAAGACGGGATCAGTTGCCTCATTTAAGTGATGTGGATCCTCAGCCTGTGTTTTAATTACTAATCGTTGTCCTTTGGGCCCCTTTGCTTGTACATTATATTGCCAGAAGTAGCGACTCTTCTTCGAAATACCTTTTGAATTGTTGTTACTATCGTTGCCTAATAAACTCTGAAAATCTTTATTATCGTCATCGTCTGAATCTGAAAATTTGATTTAAATAAATTGATTGCTAATTGCTACAGCTGAATATTTCTAAGAATATGCTACCTGAACTAAAATCTTCATAATGGTCGCTATCATCGTCCGAGAAGTTATCATCTTGAAAATAGTCAATATTTTCTGGACTTAAAATTTCACCACTTAATGACGATGTTGATCCTTGTTGTCCTTCAGCTAAGCTTCCAGTTGATAGAAGATGTGGACGTGGTTCTCGACGTGTCCACATTTGTTCCAATGAGAAATTAGTTGGTGCTGATGAGGAGAGACGTGATGAGACAATTCCACCACCTTGCATGTTTAATCGACGTGTTGGTAAGCCAGATGGCGATAAAGCTGTAGTTTGTGTAATAAGTTGACTTGGTGATGATGCATTCTGTATGTTTGACAAATTTGCCTTTTCAGTTAATAAAGATTTAAGTGTCGAGTATTTCGGATTGTGTTGTACGAGACCAGTAGAACGTCCACTTCTCGGTATGCGTGGGCCTCTAATTGGTGTTGTATTGGAAGGTGGTGGACTTAATGATGAGTTTAAAACGATTGACGACGTAGATGTCGAGCTATGGCTTCCAGGTGAAAATGCAGACAATTGATTTGGTGTGCTAGCAACATTACGCAATGTTGAAATTGAAAGCGTATTAGGTGGTGAATAAACGTCATATTGAGAATTATTAGTTGCTGCCTCATCATAATATATAATTTGTCCGCCACTTTGAAAAGATGGAATCGGTGTATTGTGTGGTGTTTGTGGAATAGCTATTGTATTATATTGATTTGGTGACAGCTGCTCATTTTGTAAGGATGATTCATTAATGGCATTTTGAAGACTTTGAAAGTTGACTGCTGTTAGTTGTGTTAATTGCGAATTTTGATTGATGTTCTGTTGCTGATATTGATTCGCATCGGTCAATATATCCTCTATGTTGATAAGGTCCACAAATAAATTATCACCATTTAATTCAGCGAGTGTTGGACCTTGTATTAAGTCTGACTTATCAACTTGAAATATATCATCTTCATCCATTTGAAACGGTCCTGACTTATCATGTATGTCTGTGGTACTATTTGATTGATCCATAGCTGTATTCATCATTGGATTTACTTCCCACATTAATGTACTATTACCATGAAATGAACCATTTTGTTGTCCTGTGAATACATTATGATCAGTGTAATTTATTATCATAGGAATTTGTTGCTGCTTGGAATTCTCATTGACGGCACTTATCGGTGACTTTGAATTCTCAAACTCAAAAATCACATCAGAAAAATCATTCATCATTCGATTATTGTTATTATTATTTAAATTTGACATCGATGTGACATTACGTGTAGGTATTGGCATAGAAGCTGTTGTCAACAAAGGGTTATTCATTGATGAGTCCATCTTGTCACTAACTATTGAATTTGGATTGCTAGCTAACTGATTATTAGATGATGATAAGGGTGGTGAACATAAGCCGTTCGACGACGGCGGAGATAACTCAAAAAGTGGTGATGATGAAGAAGCTTCAAACTTTAAAAAACTATTGGATGAATTGCAATCATAAAAGTCAAATAATGAATTACTATCGGTCATGCCGAATTAATGATTCACGTTCGTACGTAATCAGTTGTTTTGTATTTTTTCTTGTCTACGACTCCTTGTTTACACTTTTTTTTTGACTTGACTGTTCAAATTTCCACGAATTTTATGAAATCTGCGAAATATAAAGGAATATTTTTTTTTTATTTTATTTTCAACTGTGTTAGGTCTGTACGATCAGAACGAATATAATGTTGTGATATTTTCTGTTTCTCGGTAATACGTATTAACGTACAATCGTACGACTGTATCAAAACAAAAATATTTTTGAGCTATAACCAAGTTCAACATTAAAATTGTTCGGCTTTTAAAAATTATTGCGTACAAAACAAGCCCCCAAAAAAAATGAAGTTGTTTCTTCTTCACTATTGTGCTGTCGTCGTCGATCTCAGCATCAAAATAGAGACGAGAGAGGAGACAGTATGTTGTAAACAAAAGTTATTATAGTAAATGCATACAAAATGAAAGAGATAGAAAGAGCGGAAAACAGCATTCTCGCGCAATGACGTTTTAATATTTTGATTGTATGCAGCTACGGATTGCCAAGTTCAATGAATCGCCTTGAAAAAGTTTTTGCTTTTATTTTCCTCGTGTGTGGGTTGCGGACAGGGTGCAAGGAGTTTAGGAACGAGAGAAGCCCTTTCATCACCCACTCACATTTTTATTTTTTTTTCTTTTGTGGGGTGAAAAGTGAGCTTCTGCGGAGGTGTAGCACAATATTGATTTTCTCATTCATTCTCCGTTTACGTAAATGACGTATGTCGGTGTTGATAAATAAAAAAACATTTTGTTTTGATATTCGAATTAAATGAAAAAGTATTATTATTAATTTTATGGTTGTATTGATGTCGGTTCACCGGAAAAAACCCACATTCCTAACTAAATTAGAAAGCCTTTATTTATGACGAAATGTTTTGGCTAAAATAACAACAAAACAACATCGTGAAGTTGTTTATACGCAAAAATCTTTTGATAAACTTTGACCATTTCGTCATCTTCGCGCTGTTTTGTTTATCAAATGAGATTGGAAATGTCGATAAATAGAGGCAAATCTAGAATATTCAGGCAAAGACTAAGATGTAGCTGTGATTTCAAAACAGAGATTGAGGTGTGGTTGTGAGGATTCGTACAAGGACTTAGACTGAAGTGGGTAACTAGTTATGCAGACTTGTCTCTTCTTAATCAACAGTTCTGTTCAAAAACAGAAAATCTTAATGTGTCTTAAAAAGTAGTGTATCAATTTTTGATTCTTGGGTAGCTAAAGATGCGTTAGCAAATTTTCTTAAATGAATCCTTTCTAAAACCTTTGCTTTACTCCTGAATTGGTACTACTCTTGTTTGAGAATGCGAGTTCCAACCAATAAGACATCATCTGTGTTGTGTATAAAACTGCGTCCAGGGTTGCGATACAGGCACAAGTCATAAGTGAGAACCGTACAATTCCTTGATAATTTATAAGGTTTTTCTAGCAAAACGATATAAATTTTAATAAAACCTCACAAATTACAAGGAATTGTACGGTTCTCACTTGTGACAGGTGCCTGTATCGCAACCCTGGACGCAACTTTATTTCAAACCCCAAACTCAATATTCTAGAGTTAACTAATGGCGGTAAAAGCTGTTTACATACACAACACAGATGATGTAGTTGTTGTTCACATTAAACAAAAGTTCTAAATTCGTGTTCGATTGTAAAGTTCAAGATTGTTTCTCTCACTCACTCTCACTTTGTGTTCTGATCCATATTGTTTATGTTTTGTCTCACAATTTTTTTCGTTTGAATTAGACTTGTGGGTGATGGCGCGTGTATTTTTCTCTTTCTTTATTATTTAGACACACAAGTTTAGGCTCCTATTTATTTATTTATTATGGCTCAATACATTCTCGTTTCATACGTCCACACAGATGTATGATTCTATGAATATACACACCAGCTGAGGTAATAAAAGTTGTTTTGTTCTGATTTCAAGGTTACATGTTTTTTTTTCTTCTATGTTTTCGTTTTATTTTATTTTTATACTTTTTACGTAAAACTTTTTCGTTCATTTAGAATTTCCACTTACTTTTCTAACTCTTTACTGATTTCACAATATTATGAAATTCTCATATTTTTTTGTTCGTTTTTTTTTTGCTGAGAATTTTCATTTTCGCTTTTGATTGCTTGAGTGGTGAGGAAGTGAAATAATTTTCTTTTCGCTTCGCTTTATTTCGAATGAGACTAAACAAAGACAAGAGAGCAAAAAAAAATTATATGTATTTTTTTATTTCCCACATATCTTCTGTTCACTGAGAATTTGACAAGATGGCAGATATAGTCTCTTATTAAATTCCAACCCTTCTCTTCTTCATGTGAATTTACACTTCTTTTAAAACCCTATAGCTATGCCATTATGTGAGACCCCTTATAATAAAATACAAGTTCTTTTCAAACCTGTTATAAGAATAAAAGGAAAAAAAAATCTTTTAAAAATTTAAAATTTTGTTTTTTGAAGATGAAGTCAATAGCGCTTTTTAAAAAATTAAATGTATGCGGAAGTGGAACGAAATTTGAGTGATTAATATCAATTGAGTAAGTTTTTCTTTTAATCTCTGAGTCAGCATTTTTTAAAAACTTAATAAAATTGTAAAATCAGTCTTTATTATGAAGTTTTCATCAGTAAACTTAAATATTTAAAGACAAAACAAACTTTCTTTAAACAAATTCTTGAATATCAAAGGAAATGCGATTTAAAGGCAAATTGAAGTATTAATTGACAATAACTTCAACAAATTAACAAACAAACGCGAATTATATTTCATTTTAAAATAACTTTAGCTTTTTTTTTTTTTTGAAGAAATTTGAGATTTTAAATGCTTAATTTTAGATAAATTTCCTTTGTTTTGTTTTGATTTTTCAAACTGAACTCGTTGTTTAGTTCTAAGCTTTTGTTTAATTGAAAGCTAATTGAATTTCAACATCTTTTATCTTTAAATTTTAAGAGGTTTTAAATTTCAAAATTTTGTTTTAATGAATCTCAAAATTTTGTTAAAAATTCAAATCATTTGATTTTAAAAATCCTTACTTACATTTAATTTGATCAAATTTCAATTTGAGTTAAGTTCATTGAACTCAATCATCTTTGAATTAAACCTCTTGAAATTCAAAAATAATTTCACTTTGCCAATCATTTCCTTACCTAATCAGTTCGTGACAACAAAAATAGATTTCTGAACATTTTTACGAAACACAAAATATTTTCGAGTGTAAAAAGCTAGTTTACTGGTATCTCCTGAAAACAGCACGAACATTGATAATTTTTACATTAATCTCTGTTTAGAGTATTAGCGATAAGTTTGAAACATAGTCAAAGTGTACAAAATAACGCCTTTATTTCGCGCTCAAAATCACTGATTATCCAACCATTAATTGTCAGTAGAATTCCAGCATAAACATACAGCAGGGAATAATGAATGAATTCTTATTCACAAAAAAAAAAAATACAAAAATTTACATAAAAAATGAATTCTTATTCGAATACCATAACTCGGTTCTGTTTTATTTGTTTACTATTGAGATCAGATGTTTTATGCTTGTTTATATGGAACCATGTTCTGCTACTATTACCCTATTATATTTTTATATAACAGCAGTAAATATATTTACAAGAAAGAGGGGAGAGATGAGATGAGACATAAAGCGACCGATTATGTGAATAGAAAGAATGAGTTTAGATGCTTCATTCATTTGATATTCGCACACTAGTGTAAGATTCAGCATGGGAATTATTGATTCAAAGACGACTTGCGGAAGTAATAAAAACCTAAAAAAATGTTTATTTTCTTTTTCGTCTATCGCTCTCATGTCAAACACTGATAAGAGAGTGAGTATATTTTTTTTTGCAAAATGCATGCCACATTTCCATTCAAATCCTCATAAAAAAACTTTTATGTAGAAATAATGAATAATAAATGAAATAACATTATTCAGTACAAATTGAATTCAAATCAATTTGTCTCTCTATCATGGAATATATATACACACAGCATATGTTGTTTATATGTCTTTAGACTCAATAAAATCGCTTGTATATAAATGATCGAAGCAAAAACTTAATTGAACTGTTAAGTGATGACGCGACAGAAATGTTCCGAATCAGAGCGGTTATCAAGGTGAATGAATTTATTGGAAATGTGTCTGGTTTGCAAAAAATGTGATTTGAGGCTTGGAAGTTGCCAAAAAATTGGGAATTGCTCGAATTCTGACTTAAGAGTCGATTGCTCAGTCAAAAAGGTTCTTTCAAAAGTTTTAAGCATCAAATATTATAGCAAAATCTGAACAAAAGCTTTGAGGAAATAGCTGACCTATCCAAACTGCCTAATCTATCGACACACACTTAAACATTAGCACTGTATGGTATTCAACACATATTGATATTATTATCACAAAAACTTTATATTTTATATATATTTTTTCTAATATGTTCATATAGTATTCGTTAATGACGTCTAATCAGGAGTGTAGTCTGAATTTTAAAGTAGGCTAAGGACAGGGGTATAGTCGGGATTATTTGATTAAGAATATTTTGGTATAAAAATTTCTTAGATTTTTTATTCTTCGAAACCATTCTGAATGAAGAATTTTTGAACAACCTTTTGGCTACCCGCATAAATTAAGGGTTTTAAAACTTTAAACTTATATTAGAAATAAGGTCTAGAATGGAAAGAATAAAGATTTTGAGCCATATGGAAATGTAAATCAAATTTTTTGTATAAAAATTAAATAGCTTAAGCTAGTAAGGATTCCTATAAATCCCAATTTAAATTTTACATCATTTATAATCATCCCATAAATGATTCAAAAAGGAAATAAAAACACAAAAATTGTTTATATTTATGCTAAAACGAGTTGAGCGAATTGCTTTCATTAAGGTAAAGAAAAATTTCGCGTGAAACTCAAAAGAAGAAAAAAAAAAATTGTTCAAATAAATTATGAAGAGAAATAAAAAGTGTAAACAAGTCTATACCTCATAATAACATATGTACGTACCTCTCTACCTCAAAATAAAAATACAATCATAAAGTTGTTTTGATATCGATTGTTAGTGTATTGATAAAAACATACGCAAGAAGCCGAGGAGGAAAAGCAAAAGAGACTCCATTTAAGCAATACACGATTGATATAGAAATATAATAATAAACTTAAAAAAAGGTGCACGAGCGGACAATATTAAGTTTATACAATATAAATCATGTAAATAAATGATTCTGCAATAATTTTCCTGCTGCACTTTAAAACGTACTTAAATATTAGCAAATACAAAGTTGCTAGTTGAGGGAATAAATGGGAATGAACCCGAGGAATAGCTTGTTAGTTTAATTATTAAATAGCAAATGAAATGAATGAGGGAATTCTAAACTTTTCACTTACATTGTGCCTACAATGTAGCAATAAAGTTTACACGAGCCGAATCAATTAGCAATATTTTTGCTTTGCATTGCCTTTTTGTTGTTGCTCTATATGTAATAGTGAAATACACTTACCCATCATCATGTATATATAATAGAATCGATTATGGCCAAAAATTTCTTTCTCTTTTTCTTGTGTGTGTATGTTAAAGGATATATTTATAATATTAATTAAATTATTTTTTTAATGTCCACTATTTTTTAAAAAGTTTATTCCCCAACAAAAATAGAATCCTTTCTGCTTAAACAAGTTCTCAAACAATAAATTGTCAAAATCAACAAAAAACTGTTCACTTCTTCCTTCGTCAAGATTTTGCACAAACACAAAATATTTTTCTTTTTTTTTGTAAATAAATGTGATGGTAGAAAATTATTTTTGCTTATTTAACGTCTTAAAAGTTCTTGATTGGTATTAAAAATACTACAAAACTGTTAGAAAGTACTTTCTTAAGATTTTTCAACACTTTTTGTCTAGTTTTAAACAATTTCTTGCGTTAATAAATCCACACTAAATTTTCACATCCATTCGAATGTTTTTATTATTTTTTTCTCTTTGTTCATTGTTATAACGCTTTGTTTGTACACAAGTTATGTCCCACAAAATGGTTTGTTTATTTACTGAAATTTATAAAATCTTTATGAGGATCTGGTCATCGTTGAATGTTTGTAAACATTTAAATGGATCAAGCTTGTTGATTTTCGCCGATTAATACTTTAACTTTTACTGTTCTTTCAATCACTTTGTGCAAAAGAAGCAGAATCAATGCAACAATTTGTGTTATGTCATTGAATAACAAATGCCATTTTATACCAGTTTTGAGTCGCTGCTTACCCCTTTGTTATATTTGGGGATTAACAACTTTTAAAAACAAATCATTTCTTTACACTGAATGTCCCCTGGATGTTTGCAAAAAGCAGACATAAACAATACTTTTGGAAAATATTTAGACTTTAATATTTATTTATTAAATGGCGTCAAACATTAATATGCATACAGAGGATGATACATTGACTGATGTTTTCATTGAACCTGACGATTTACTCACGATTTTGATAAGATATGGTAATAAACAAGTGTAATTTAGATTATATCGCGATTAGTGATAAGAATTTTTGTTTATTTACTTGTTTTTCAGGATTATACTTTGGTGCGATCTTTCAAGTTGTGTGCATTGCTGCTGTTATATTCTTAAAGGATAATTCCAAAACTTTGAATCATGATTCGGACACTGAATCATCTGAAATTTCTCCTCAAGTAAGAATTTATCGTTATTGTTTACAAGATATGTCAAATGACAATTTAGAAGAAGATAAAGTTTTAATTCTGGGTTGTTATAGTTAATAGTGAAGGGAATCGAGACTAATTGTCAACGGTCTATTTTGTTTTTCCTGAATTTATAATTCTTAAATTAATTCTTTGTTTCACAGTTGACACCCAAAAAGCATCACCGAGGCAGAAAATTGGAGAAGAAGAAGAAACGATAAATTATGACTTTACAATTTTTGCACTATCTTGTCATAAATTAATCGATTGACTGATTTCAAATCTAATTTTCTCCAACAATTAATGTCTATGCAACATATATACTTTTGGATAATGATCTCTTTTTGAATAATAAGAAGTTCTCGATTATTTAAATCAACTGTTTGAAGCAGAATAGTTGACAAATCGGGGCTACTTATTAATATTCTTTGTGATTTTTTATTTACCTTATTTTCTAGCAACTTTTAATCCATGATGTACTTTTAAATTTTATGATTTAAGCAATAATAAAGAATAGATTTAAAAAGACTTTAAAACTGATTTCAAACATTTATAAAAAGAGATAAAAATAAATTAAAGTTCACAGAAAAGCACACTAAGGATAAAAAAAACTCTTAAAATGAAAGGAAAAAACATCGAAATAAATGCATTTTGGGAAGGTTTATAGCATTTGCAATAAGATTTTCGAGAAAAAAATTACATTTCCGAAATAAACTAGCAAAAAAGGAACAAATTCAATTAAAAAAACACTATTTTAAATCATCATGAGTTTGAAACTCATAAGTTTTAATGAAAATTTAATGTTCTCTAAAATTTTGCTTTTATGTCCCTTTAATAATTAATAATCGTTCAATTGGGTTCAATTAAGGATTTTATTTAAATTTCACCGGAAACCAAAAAAGAAAAGGATCAACACTTAAAGCCTCAGAGCTTTTAAATTGCTATATTTGACTAAAGTCATCATTATTCGATATGAGCTAAGCTTAGAATTTTGTAAAAAAGGTTCAAAACCAATGTTTTTCATAGCCCAAGTTACCAATTTTCTTTAAACTACTTATTTTAATTTCCCATATTTGCTCGGACACAGCAAGTTCAAGATCTGATAGAAAGCTTCGTTGATATTGCATAAAGACAGCATGTATTTAAAATTACACAGCAGTACAGCTAATTTATACATGAGAGTTTTCCTGTTTGTTCATGTAATGAGTAACATAACCGCCATTCAAGTTCAATAAAATTCAAGTTCAATGAGAACTTATAGGTAGTTGATACATGTGCACTTGTTATAGATTGCATAACGTAATAGCTATATCATTGGTGTAATATTTTCGTCGGCTATTTTAGAAGCTGTCTCGTTTACTGTAAAACTGTTACTTACTGCAAGGGTGTGGAACTGAAGAATTACATTTTCATCATTATTGATCAATTTTGATCATTTTTGATAATTTTTTTGATCATTTTTGATCATTTATGATCATTTTTGATCATTTCATCAGTACCACACCCTTGCCTTACTGTCGTTTATGTTTCTTTGTGGAGCTTCGTTCGTGGTAAAATGTTTCCGTATGATTCTGTTGCTGAGTCTTTTGACAGAGTTGTAAAAATTATCTGTCAACATGTTAAACAGCCATCACCGTAATGTAATTGTTGACTATTGTCTCATCTTCATTAAGTACAAAAAATTCTTGATATCATTAAGTTGTAAAAAACACATGACACTTCCTCTAATAGTTCTTGCGCTGCTTACATGAATTCTGAAAATTTTAGGGGTTCATTTGTAAGACATAACTTTAATATTCTAAAAATAAGACACAGTCAAGAATGGATATGAAGCTTTATTGTGCTCAATAAATTGTTTCATTTAATAAAAAAGTTTTTTATAAAAATTCCCAATATCTCGACCACAGCCTTTTATTAAAGCTACTTGTAGTTTATTGCTTTTAAGCAGCGCAAACAACAACTGTTTTATTATTTGATCAATTGGATACAATAATGCAAAACTTACAGAATTCTTTATATTTTTAAACATTATCTTGCCAGCATTCAACCGTTTTGGACACAAGAAAATTATATTATTGAAATAATTGAGAAGAATAGGAAAACATTGAAGTAAATCTTCTGTCATCAAAAAACGTGACAATCTTAATTATCTATTTGGTAAGTACCTCAACATTAGCACGCTAAGAGAATTCTTGAATTTGGATTTTTTTTGATGTAAGTTGTGTAATGTCAACAATTATTATTAAGTTTACGATATTCAAATGAAGTGTTGTTCAAAAATAAAGCCTAAGATAATAGGGTACGGAGAGGGTTGAAGGATGTCCTGATACAAACTATTAACAATTATTTCTTAAGAAGAGAAGATTTTTTACGATTCCATTGCAAATTCCAAAAAAAAAAAAATACAATTAAATTGAAAGATTGCGAATTTGTTGTGAATATTAAAATTACTTTAAATTCATAATCCTTTCCTGAATGGCACAAATCGGTTAATCAATCCGAAATTCAGCACAAAGCTAGCGTGACTCTGGGATAGTGCTTGATTTGATTTGAAGTTTGCCTTTTCAATAACCCGTCTTGTGCTTTTCGGGTATGTTGCATATCATGCAACAGAACGTGCGTTCTACTTGATAAACTTATTCTTTGATCCAAATTCATATCTTCGTATTTTTATTAAATTAAATCAAATTAATCAAAATGTGTGAAGAATATTTGAGTATAGACACTATAACAGCATTAACAATGAACTTAATCGATCAGATAATGAGTTTCATTTTTAAAAGTCTTTACTGCTTCATTGAGACTTTGAAATCATTGAGAATATTTATTTTATTTCACACACAATTCAGAAGCAATCGTTCAGTTCTAATTTATTGTTCGAAGCGACATGACTGAGACGAAAACTGAAACATTTTTAGAGGAACATCAAGAGATTCTTAAAAAGTTCCAGAAATGGATATCAACACAATCACACTTGCCGCAGGATATACGTAAGCTTTTTAGATTTTTGATAGTGAATTTTAAAGGATTTTCAATGATTTTTTTACAGCCAAGATTGTCTTGATTCGATACCTTCAAGTTTATGATTTCGATATTGAGAAGGCAAAGAATTTGCTTGAGATTAATGTGAGATTTAGAACCAAGAATCAATATATTTTTAGTAATCGTGATGTGAATTCTGAGGGCATTCAAAGAGCTATTAATACCGTGTAAGTTTGTGTTCAAATAAATTCTTTTGGTGCTGGTTGACTTTAGTAATAAGATCCTCAAAACATCAATTTGATTTTCAACCAATCAACAAGATTTAAAATCTACATTTTCCATCCATAGGCATGTGACTTCCTTCCCAAAACTCACTAAAGAAAAGTACCACATCACTGGATTCCGACTGATAAATGTTGATTCTCGAAACTTCGTTACCAACGATGTTGTAAAATATATTATAATGTATCAAGACATGATGCATATGAAAGTACCAATAAATAATGGAGATGTGTGCATCTTTGATGCAAAAGGATTGACAATTTGGCATTTGATGAAAATGGCTTCAAGTGTGAATGCAATTAGACTGTTTATGAGATATATCCAAGAAGCAGCAGCATTGAAACTCATGCAAAATCATTTTGTGAATTGCTCAACTGTGCTGTCTAAATTGATAAGCTTTCTTAAACCATTTATGAAGAAAGAACTGACTGATGTTTTTCATTTTCACACGTCAGGATTCGAGTCACTTCATGAATTTGTTCCAAAAGAATTTTTACCAGTGGAATATGATGGAACTGAGGAAACTTTAGATGACTATTCTAAGAAAACGGTCTCAAACTTGCATGATCTTCGTGATTATTTAATTAAGGACGAAAACTTCTTTATTGCTAATGAATGATGTTGTTCAGTGACTGAGTAGCATGTCATGTCAATGATCATCATGTGGCTACTTAAATTCTGTGTATTTATTGATGGTTGTCATAATGTGCTACTCGAGACTTCATTTAAGAACATCCATTTACCAGGTTATGCCTTTATAGATTAACTAGTGTTTTAAGTGTTAAAATTGTCTTTTTAATTGTGTGCGTTGATCTAAAATAGATAGGACAGCAAAATAAATAGCTGGTGATATGAATAAATGTGTAACTTACTCCATTAGATTAATACTTTGTAATCTAAATTTGCATTATTAAACAATTTAACCTGATGTATCATTTAGAATTTTTAAAAAAAATCCAAGCATTGAACTGTTAATAATAATTATATGCTTAGAATTTTTTTCCCCTATTGACAGCAGTGAATGAGTAGTGCTTAAGCCTTGACCTTCAATGTAATTTTATAGCTGTTATAAATGGAAATAAATATTCTGTGGCGATGAGTGTCATTAGAATGCATGATTATGCTTATTTGTGAAATGATATTAAATCTGATATGGAGAATATCGGAAGCTTGAGGTTGAAGTATGATCGTCAGCATTAAAGTTTTGTTCAAAGTTGATTGGTGAATGTAGAATATTCAATGTGAAGACATACAATTCTCTACAAATTGGTTTCTAGGGCTACTTGAGGTAACTATTATCAAAAATCAAATAATTTTATCCTGGAATACTAGTATGCTTGACAATGGAACCTCGGGTAGTCCTAGAAACCAGCCAGAGGTCTTGTCGTAGTAAAGCAAACCTAGAATCATCGAGAAAATCATATAAAAACTCTTTACCGTCTGTAATGTCCTTGTATATTATTTCTTTCATCACAACATTATAAATTGCATGATCCAAACATTAAAACTGATTAAAACATCCAAAAAATTATTTGACTTGACTTGATGATGATTTTAAAAAAGCTCCAACAGCACACAGAAGCAAGAATATTTCACAATGTTGGACAATAATTTGGTTTGTTTTTGTTTCCAAATTTGGTCATTTTCGATATAAGCACATGGAAATTCTCACACATTGAAAATTTAATCAGTTAGTCATTCTGATATCTTTTGGTGTATTTAACCGGCACAAAGACAAGTTGACTTTTCAGTTTGTAAATTAATTTTGAAGTGAAAGGCTGCAGAATTTTTTAACACGCATCCAAAATGTTGATTTATGTTTTATTATTAATTTTAAGCTACTTGGCTTATAAGTGGATCATAAGAAATAATGATTATTTTGAAGGAAAAGGAATTCCTTATGCCAAGGCTATGTTTCTGATGGGATCGAATAATATTTTTTCAACTAGAAGATCACTTCCAGAGGTTGTTATGAACTGGCATAAAACATTCAAGAATGACAAGTAAGGTTTGATTTAAAATTAGATTAAGGTTTGAATTGGTAAATTAATTGTAGAACTATAGATTCAGATCAGTTAAACTCGTGCCAATTTTGAGTTTAAGAGTCAACTGAGCAGCTTTATCACATAACGATAAGCAATTGAGATTGTTTAGATTTTATTTGGTCAATTAAGTTGAGCATGGTTTAGTATCGACATGAGATAAAATAATCAATTTATGCTATACTTACAAAAAATGCACAGAATGTCCATCACTTGCATCATCTTTATAGAACAGAAAACTTTCAAATCATGAATCATCGCTGTTACTTTTTCATCTTAATGCAAATGAATTTTTTATTGCAGAGTTTCAGGTTTCTTCGAATTCATGAAACCAATTTATATCGTGAGAGATCCACAACTTATTAAACAGCTGACTGTTAAGGATTTTGATTCATTTTCTGACCATCGTGTGTTTATTACTGAAGATATTGATGTACTTTTTGGAAAAGCTTTGATTTCACTTAAGGGACAGAAATGGAAAGGTAGGGAATTGCAGATGATTATAAGAACCTATAAAGTCAATGTCAACGCCTTAGAACTAACCTATCTAAAAAAAATTTACAATGCATTCACAAATCAATTTCGTTATCTTATCAAACACAGACATGCGTTCGACATTATCGCCAGCATTTACAGGCATGAAAATGAGACTTATGTTTGACTTTGTTGCAACTGTTGGTAAACAAACTGCGTCCACATTGCGTCAAAAGATAATCCAAGGCGGTGACAAGAACTTTGAATTTAAGGAATTGGCAACAAAGTTTACAGTGGACAATATTGCATCATGTGCTTTTGGCATCAATGTAAATTCGTTTGAGAATCCAGACAATGATTTCCATGAAATTGCAACAGAGTTTTTAAACTTCACAAAATTCTCAAATGTTCTAAAATTCGTAGGATTTATTTCAGTTCCATCGTTGATGAAACTTTTTGACATCAAATTTTTCAGCAACAAACTTGTCAATTTTTTCCATGAAGCAACAATTGAAACGATGAAAGTTCGTGAACAGAAAGGAATTGTAAGGCACGACATGATTAATTTGTTAATTCAAGCTAAGAAGGGAAAATTAGTTCACGATGATAATAAAGAAGAGATTGCTGATGGATTTGCGACTGTTGAAGAATTTGAGAATGAAAAATCATCAGCAAAACGAAAGTGGGATGATTTAGATTTGGTGGCTCAATGCTTTATTTTCTTCTTGGCAGGATTTGATACAGTAAGTTGAATTTTCATGGTTTTCTCGTTTTGGATTCAAAAATTAATAAGATTCAAACTTTTAAAAATCAATTCCTTTTCAGGTTGCCACAGCAATGACATTTATGGCTTATGAATTAGTTGTCAATCAAGACATCCAACAAAAACTATTTGAAGAAATATCACAAGTGGAAGAGGAACTAGGAGGGAAATTATTGACATATGAGAAGCTTCAAACTATGAAGTATATGGATCAAGTTGTATCAGAAGCACTGAGAAAATGGCCACCAGCACCTGTTACAGACAGAATTTGTACAAGAGATTATATAGTCAAATATGATGACAAGTCATTTGTCATTGAGAAAGGAATGAATTTCATGATTCCGATTTGGGGAATTCATAAGTGAGTATTCACTGGTTCTTACCTAGATTTTTCTTGAACATTGTTGGAATATAAGGAACAAATTGATAAGTCAATTAAACATTAATTTTATCTTTTAGTGATCCAAGATATTTCCCAAATCCTGAAAAGTTTGATCCTGAAAGGTTTAGCGATGAAAACAAAAAGAATATCCAGGATTCAACTTATTTACCATTTGGTAAGTTTTAAAAATCTGGAGTAAATGTTCATTGATTCAATTATTTTTCATTGGAATAGGTTCAGGAAATAGAAATTGCATTGGAAGTAGATTCGCATTGATGGAAATGAAGACAGTATTTTACTATCTCTTGCTGAACTTTAAGCTCGCTGTGACAGAAAAGACTAAAATTCCACTAGAATTGAAGAAAATTCCTGTTGGGATTAAAATTGAAGATGGAGTTTGGGTCGGATTGGAACCTCGATAAATTTAATTTGATTTTGTTTACGTTTTTTATTCAGGTTGATGAACTCTTGATTTGTAAAAGATTCTTGTTTTGTCAAACTAAATTGAGAACTTATAAAAATTTGCAATAAAAAAATATTTTTAATAAAATTTTGAAATCAAAATTCTTTAAATTAATTCATTTTCGATCATTTTGATTAATCACAAGTTCATGCAGCTATCTTTCCTGTTTTACAAAATTATCACACACAATACAAATTGAATGGAGCCTTGCATAACTATAAACCTAATCTAGACTCTAGACTTAGGCTTATCCTCAAACAAACCTAGAAAGCATCTAGACTTCGAACACACTGTGAGCCTACCTTGAGCCTACCTAGAACACACCTCAATCAATACCTCAACCTCACAATCGAAACAAAGAACACAAAATAATTATAAAATCTACCTTATCGATAATATTAAGTGCTTCTCTTCCAGAGAGTAATATTTCCACTTTTGTTTATTGTTTATACTTTTCTTGCTCTACTCAATGCGGCTTTATTATTCCATATGATTTGAGTTTTAATTTTGTTCAGTTCTCATTTACGATTGAGAGAGGACGGTTACTTGTTGTTTGTTTATTTATCTCGGTATTAATAATTTTAACCATCAGTTTCACTAATGGATAAGATAAATAATTGTTTAATTTGTGCTGTTTTGCGAACATAAATTTTTAAAATAATTTCGTTCAGTCAAATTATTGGAGTAGACAGTTGAGCTTTGACATTTGAACGACTTAACAAAAAAAGGTTTATAGAACTTTAGTCTGTTTGAGACTTTGGACATTGATGTGTGGTAATTAGTACATTCAGAAATTTTAATTATTTTGTGATAATCAGATCTCGAAAGAATATACCTTAGTGCCGTATTTAGTCTTTCAGTTCCACAGCCCTTTTTAGAAGGAAAGTGAACGGATCTAATAGTTTGTGACAGTTCAAATTCTTCAAAAAAAATTCTTGAACAAATTAGATTAGAATCATATAATCGACTTTAAAATTTCAAAACATTCATAAGATTTTGACCAAATTTTGACCTGCAATCTCAATATTGTTTATGTTGTGTGTGATCTTACTCATTTTATTCTTAACATGATGATGATAAAGCAAACTCAGGAATGTTCTCTTAAATTGTTGATATTTTGATTGATTTTACAAATTAATTGAAATTAAAAATCTGAACCTTTGGTCTATTCGGAAATAATAATAGATTTTACAAATTTCCGGAACTGATAAATTATTGTGTATGTCACTCAAGTTCCTTTACATTAACCTGACTGACATTGTGATTAACAGTGATAATTATATCCATGAAAATTCAAACCACTGACTATTAAATCTTCTTATTCTCAATATCATTAAATAATTATGTTATCAAAAATCGCTAAGGAGCAGTTCTTGTTTCACGTCCAGGGGGAAGAATAAGAGGGGGGGGGGGGGGGGGGGTTCAATAAGAAAATAACAATAGAAATTTCTGAAAATCCATTGTTTTTTTTTAAAAATGACCGTTAAATTTGGGAGTCATTAGTGAACAATCTCATCATAAGGTTAAAAATCAAAGTTTTGATTGACGCCATCTTTAAATACCTATTTCTTCTAAAAATCTAGTAATTCAAATCGAATTAAATATTTGCAGTTCCATTAGTAATCATCTCAAGAACTTGTTTATTCTTATGACGTATAAGAGTAATTAATTCTATTCTCATTTTTGTACACAGATTATTTAATTTTGAGCAATGTCCTTGATTAAACAAGTCAGCGTTGTAGTTTCTCTGCGAGACGAAAGATTGAAACTCGTTTAAATTTAATCCATATCATGCATTGATTACTGCTCTGATCTAGTTTAAATTAAATAGAACAATAAAACTCTAGTGAAATATTAATTTATTTGCAGAGAAGATAAAAAGTAAGAATAAAATGTCAGAGGAACGACTGTTTAAAACATATGAAAGAGAATTGAAGGAATTTGAAGACTGGATATCACAAAATCCACGACTACCAAAGAATATAAGTAAGATTTGGTATTTAATGTTATACAAGGGGAGAACAACATGATGGAAAAAGATTTTAATGATTTTTCTTTACAAATTTATTTTGAAAAAATCGGAAAATCAATGAAATTTAAAAATTGCTTAAAAAATCCTCATCATGTTGTTTTCCCCTTGAGTTTTATATTATATTTGTGCATTTATACATCTAAGACTAATAATACTAGATTTATTATAAGATAAGGTTAAAAATATCTTCCGTGTTACTGAACTGTAGATAGAATCGAGCCGGTCTATGTTTAAACAAGGGGAAAACAACTTGGTCGGAGAATATTTTAATTTATTAATATTCATAAATATAATTTGGGGCCGTTCACTTATGACGTCCGACATTTAGGGGGGGGGGGGTCTAGGATTTTGTGACAGTTCAAACAATGGAAATTTTTTTCTATAGAACTTTTGTGACAGAGGGGGGGAAAGGGGGTTTAAAAATTAGGTTTTTTGATGGACGTCATAAGTGAACGACCCCTTTCTTATTAATGCAAATAAACAAGCGCTCTTGCATTATAATCTATAGCTCAATCTTTAAGCTTAAATAACACCAAATTAAATTGGAAATTTTCAAACTGAGCTTTTTACTTCCGCAAAACTTAACACTCACTTGCATGAAATAATTATAGCATACGTAGAATCGTACGAAAAATTTATTTCATGCTTTTTCCACAGACAAATTAAGGCTTTTCACTCTCAAAGTCTTTGAGCGTAAAATATTCCCATGTGTAGGCTGGGATGAGCTGTTTGCTTGAATATTCAGCGAACAGTCTTCTATTTTTTATTTTATTGAAAAAAATAAAAAATAATTTTTGTTGACCTAGTCTCATTTGAAGATGAATAAAAGCTGCCCCTTTATTAACTTGACAACCATCTGGTTCCCATTCCAGACAAACTTTTACTTCTACGCTTTTTAAAAGTTTACGATTTTGATGTTGATGCAGCAAAGAAGCTTCTTATTATCAACCTAGAGACACGTAAAATGCATCCGGAGTTATTTTCAAATCGAAATGTCATGTCCGAAGAGTTCCAAACAGCAATGTCAACATATCAATGTGTGGCATTAAAGAAAAACACCAAAGATAATGATAAAGTCACAGTTTTTCGAGTAGCCACAACTGATGCATCTAAATTTATATTAAAAGACATCTTTCGAATGGTAATCGCTTTGCTTGACTGTCGACTAGTTAAATGTGATGAAAATGAGCTAATCAATGGTGAAATTACAATAGCTGACATGTCAAATTTTACATTTAGACATTTTACCAGAACCATAGCTAATTTTGGAATCTTAAAAGCTTATATGCATTACGGACAGGAAGCTGCACCAATTAAAATTATTCAAACACATTTAATCAATTGTTCATCTATTATGAATAGATTGATGTCATTTATAAAACCATTTTTGCGTAAGGAAGTTAGTGATTCGTTCATCTTTCATTCATCGCTGGAGAGTTTGCATCAACACATACCAAAGGATATATTGCCTGTGGATTTTGGAGGAACTGCTGAGCCATTGAGTGAATATTGTTTAAAAGTAAAAGAAGTCGTTGAAGGATATGGTGATTATTTGGCTTGTGATGATAACTGGAAAATTGAAGACGAAATGTAAGGGACCGTTCTCTTATGACGTCAAGGAGGGGGGGGGGGGGGGGTAGTCACAAGAAAAGAACAATAGAAATTCCTGGAAATTCAATGTTTTTTTTAAAAAAAATTACCGTTAATTTCGCACGTCATAAGTGAACGACCCCAAATGTTTTATTGGTAATTTTTGGGTATTTAGTACTTAATATATATTGGGATAGATGTAAGGGGGGTAACATCATGATGATAAAGAGTTTTGATTGATGCAGAATTAAATATTAAAGTTTTAATAATTTTTGATTACTATCCACTTTCACATCCTTGAATGTTCCTCTTCTTGGAGTTGGTTTTGTTTGAATTTCCTATCAATTTTTTTCCATCATGTTGTTTTCCCCTTGAATAAAACTTAGTGATGCAAAGAAAATCAGTAAATCTGTGGTTTAATCGGTTTAATTAAGTTTAATGCATTTGTGTAATCGAGTCAAGACGAATTGCATTTTTATTGCAAAAAATTAGAGTTGCTAGCCGTAATGTTGATAAGGGGGGAAATTGTGGCTGGAAATTCAGTGATAACCCCTCCTTGTGAGAACCTAATTTATGCCACTGTTGCTAATTTCTTTAGTTTCGCTCGGTAATAACTAGTTCTTTAGTAAACATGTAAGACAATTAAAGGAAAATTGGACAAGCCTTATTGGTTGTAATGTCACACATATTTTTATTAGCTCAATAAAGTCAAAAAGTCGTGATGACTGGAAAAACTTTAAACTTGCTCTCAAAACATTTGTAATGCTTTAATCAGTGCTGCATTGCTGAATGTTTCACAAGCAGCTTCTGTGTGTGCAAAATATTATTTGCATCAGTTTCAGTATTCAAAGTTCTCTCAATCTCGTCAGTCATTTTTCGCAAATTTATTTTTACATAAACCGATGGATGACAATGAAATGTTTGAAGACTGTCTTGAAGAGCAGTCAACAACTGACACAGTTTCACCTTTGGACAAACTTAAAGAGTGGATTGAAAATCACGGGAAATTCCCAAAAAATATTCGTAAGTTCAATGTTGGACATTGATAATCTTATCTGAACAATTTATCAAAAATAAAACTTTTTATGGAACAGCTGAGATTTTGCTGAAAAGGTTTTTAAAAGTGTGCGATGATGATCTGAAGCAAACAACAGATTTGTTGCTGCTGAACTATAAGCTGAGAACTAGTGCACCGAATTTGTTTACTAATCGTGACATCATGGCTAAGGAAATGCAACAAGCTTGCCAAGTTATGTGCGTATGAGATATTTAGTTGTGACATTTAAGTTGATGTATTTTCTATGTCTTTGGGTTTGACCGCTTGGGATTGTTTGATAAAGAAGGAGGTTGTGATTGTTTTGGGTTCACATTTTTGACTCCGACTTTAGTTAAAAGATCATCGATTTTAATCCAAGCGACTAATCATTGCAATTATAATTTTATGGGAGCCGAATGTGAGCATTATATCAGTCGTGTGCCGTTCAGGTCCACATAATTTTGGAATATCGTGATCTCAAATGTGACCTCATTTATAAATAAACCCCTTTATTTTAAAAATTACAGGCAATTTTGTCCAATGCCAAAGCTCACCAAAGACGGAATGTTAGTGACAGTTGGAGGGTTGAAAGATCCCGATCCCAGCAAATTCATTTATCTTGATTGCATCAAAATGGCACTAATGGTATTTGACATGAGATTCTGCTCATATGATGACGTAGAAAATAATGAAATAGCCAATGGCGATATTGTTGTGATGGACATGAAAGGAATGTCATTTTGGCACTTCCTTAAAGTTGTCAAAAACTTCACAACTGCTAAATTTTATACACATTATACACAAGAAGCAGTTCCGATAAAAATTTGTCAAACTAATGTTGTGAATCCATCGCCGGCTATGGATAGAGTTTTTAATCTTTTTAAACCATTCATGAAGCAAGAAGTTTTAGATACTTTGATATTTCATTCTAATGGCTACGAGTCACTCCAAAAGACAGTGGGAAAAGAGTATCTACCGCCAAAATATGGAGGCACTTGTGAAATTGATATTGATGAAATCCATAAATACCAGTTGAGTATGATCGAAAAATACCGGTAAGCTGAAAATTTCATAATCATGTCCAAAATTGACAAAGATTTTTATTTTTAAATGTTTTAGGGACTTCCTACTTGATGATGATAATTGGAGGTTTTCAAAATAATTATTAAACATGACAAAAAAATTACATTTCCTGACACTGCACTGAAACTTAGATTGTATATGCTGTATTTTTTTTCATAAAATTATAATGCCAGAGATAGTTATGGAGATTAAGTAGAGCGACAGTCTAAAAAGATTTTTCTTTTCTTGTCTACGTCTTTTGCATAACATTTACCTAATGACGTGGAGATATGAATGATATTCAAAAGCAAGTCGGCGGCAAATAATGAAATACGTGATGATGATTCATCAATGAACGGGATGTAGTTTGTTATTGGTTTTTAAAATTGACGTCTGAGAAAGTTTCTTGACCGCTTTCTTGAATTTTATTTGATTGCAATCTTGATTTTCTTGGAATGGGATATAAGGCTCACTATTTTGATGCATAAGAACAATCAACAGTTGATGAAACAAACACAGAATGTGTGAAACTACTGTTCCCACAGCTTAATTCCAGATGAACATTGAAGTAGCATAAACAAGCATAATCGGCTTAGCTTAAGATCAATTGTACAGCATTTCAACTTCTATAAGACAAACCAACAGAAAAATGAATTACTGCAAATAACCAATTCCGATTGAGACTCGAACCTGCGTCTTATGATCATAAGATCACATGACTCTACCATTGCCCTATTGAAAGTTATCCTACTTTATGAAAGAATGCTTCATTTCTGTTACCATTGCACCAACAATTACAGGAAATCTATAGTTCCAACACTTACTTTACAAGGTTCGATTCCCATAAACTTTGACTTATCCAATTTAAGTTTCCACATCAGAAATTAAAGAGAAATCAAATGCGTAAGATTAACAGCTAATAATTAAGCATTAAAAAAATCGACTTCCTCTATCTCCAACTCTGGCGACCTAAGATACATCAGCCAATTAAAAAATTTAACCGAATTAAAATATTTTCATATGTGCACATCTTCTAAATGTAACGATATTGTTCCTATATTTCTAAGTGTAACAAGATAACTATTTATTAATAAAATTAACATTGAACTTGAATGACCTTGATGGCATGAATATTGAAGCTGCTCTCTAAATTCGTACATGCATGATTCTAGAAATAAAGGGTTATGTGATGAGATATAAAAAAATTAATAATCAAATTGTTCTTAAATTACATGGGAAGTGATGATAGCAAAAAATTGAAAATCATTGTGAATTTAGTCAATGAGAAGTAACAGCTGTTTACTTTGTTGATTGAGGTAAGCTTTTGTTGTGGAGAAAAAGCATCCAAATGTTGAGGTATTTTACCATTATTTACTTACTTTATTAACATCTCGCTTGACTTGAAAGCTTTGAAAAGAAAAACATTTGAAAAGTTTTTAAAACATTTTTAAGGTTTCATTGCTTCATGTCAAAATTGAATGTTTTCAATAATTTGTGTGCTTATAATGTGATTCTGTTATTGTCAGTATTCAAAGCACATTCAATCTTATTGGTCTATTTGAATAAAATTTGTTGCGTCAATGGATGAAGATGAAATTTTTGAAGATTGTGAATCGAGTGACACAATTTCACCGTTAAAACAGTTTAAGGAATGGATTAGAAGTTATGGAAAATTTCCTGAAAATATTCGTAAGTTGAGGAGGGGGTCGTAAAAAATGTAAATGATGTTCAGTCTTAAGTGGGGGGGGGGGGGGGGTAGTGGTCTGAAATCAAAAGATTAGATTTATTACTGTTCAGACCGTGCGTTGCATGTGCTGTCACTAGTAATCTCAAGATATTACCATTGCAAAATGGATCCTAAGCAACATGCTTTAGAACTTATATGCTGCGAAGGGACATTCCATGTGTTTTCAAAAGCCTGCACAGTGACAACTAGTGCTCTAACAACTTTTATCACTCATAGACAAGAAGATGAAGCATTTACACTTGTTTACATCAAAGGATCATTAATCCATGCTTTGAAAGTCGTCATTTGTGAACGAACCTTGTCAAATATGTAGCTCTCAATCTTATCAAACCACTTGAAAACATTTATTTACTATTTAACAGCTGACGTTCTTCTGGAGAGATTTTTAAAAGTATGCGATAATGACCTAAACCAAACAAAAGATTTGATGCTATTGAACTACAAGCTTCGATCAAGTGCACCAAATTTATTTACAAAACGTGACATCACGAGTAAGGAAATGCAAGCAGCACGTGAAGTTTTGTGTGTTTAATGATAAACTATCAATAATTCAATGCATTTTAATGCTTCCGATAATTTTTATAGACGATTTTGTCCGATGCCAAAATTGACCAAAGATAAGAAGCTAGTCACAATTGGAGGATTCAATAATTTAGATCCAAATGCTTTTAACTATGCTGACTGTATTAAGATGGCATTGATGGTGTTTGACACGCGGTTCTGCTCATATGATGATCCTGAAAAAAATGAAATAGCCACAGGCGAAATTGTGATTATGGACATGAAAGGATTAACATTTAGGCATTTTTGGAAAGTTCTAAGAAATTTAATGACTGCAAAATTTTACATGCAGTACCTTCAAGAAGCAGCACCAATTAGGATTTCTCAAGTTAATATCGTCAATCCATCGCCAGTTATTGACAAATTATTCTCTTTAATTAAGCCATTCATGAAGAAAGAGACACTTGATGTTCTTAGATTTCATAATCAAGGTATTGAGACCCTCCTTGAACGAGTTGGACTTGAGAATTTACCTGTCAAATATGGAGGTGCATTTAATGTCGATTTAGATGAAGTCCATCAGAATTACATGAAGAGAATCGAGAATTTCGGGTGAGGAATATGACATTATTGAAAATTCAATTTAAAAAGCTTAATTCTTAATTATTTTAGGAACTACCTAATAGATGATGATAATTGGAGACTCTCTGGTTAATTATTAACATCAAATGCAGAATGTGGAATTTTTATGATTAAAATTTCGAACCTTAAAATGTCTTAATTCTAAGAATTTGATGTTTTTAAGATTTATATGTCACGACTTTTCCTTAAAAATAACAAGGCTATAAATTTCATTTGAAAATATTTAAAAAACTTTAAAATGTGTGACTTTATTAATGATTGGCTAATTCTAAATTAGTTTAATTTTTGTGGAATTTCCTAAAGTTTGACTAATATCTAGGACAATTTATATTTGTACTCGAAATGTAAACGAACCAAAAACTTGCGAGTCAGCAAATTTTAGTAAAAAGTGAACAGAATTTCTATGGGCTGGACATGTTATGAGAATATCGGTTGAAGCTCCATTGAATAAGATTCTCAATTCAGAGCCAAAGAACTCATGGAAAGAGGCTGTTGAAAGAGACAACAGTGCATTTGGAATTGGAAATTGGCAAGCGGTTGCCAGCGATAGAGATATCTGAGGGAGATCATACATCACAATTGATCTGTACGACCAGCAAAGTAAGTAAAGAAGCTATCAAAATGAAACCTAAAGAATCAAACCATTTGTGGATTAATCTGCTTGCAGCCAGTTTGCATTTCTCCTAGAAGCAGAATTCCAATCCGCGGTTGTCTGTCGCTTGTCATTTGTTTGTTTACAGGACACAATTCAGGATTTCAATTGCTGTGAAAAAAACCTATGTTCTAAATCTTGTCAGACAATTCAAAACATTAATTGAATCACGTCATTGATAACACAGTCGAGGGTAACATATGGCTTCATTTAAAAGGCACGCAGAGTTTATAGTTCAAGAATTCCATTTGAATTTGCTTATTTTGTGTCATTAGGAAGGAATCTGATGCAGAACATAGTTCGGGGTCGTTCACTTATGACGTCCATCAAAAAACCTGATTTTTAGACCCCCTCCCCCCCCCCCCCCCCTCTGTCACAAAAATTATATAGAAAAAAATTTCCATTGTTTGAATTGTCACAAAATCCTAGACCCCCCTCCCCCTCTAAATGTTAGACGTAATAAGTGAACGGCCCCTTTGAGAATCTCAATTATACAAACCACGAACTTGAACGACCTTGACGACATAAATAAGTAAGAATCTCTAAGAAGATGTATGTACATGAGCATATGCATAAGAAAGAGCTGTTTATAAGGCACATATGTTGAAGATCAATAAAAAAAAGTTTCGTATCAATGATTCTGCTTTTGAATTTAATATGAAAAAACGTGGTAAAAACTGACATGAACTTGAAATTCAGTTAAAATTTTGAAAAATAATCTCCAAATCTGATCTACTGATTTTTTCTAACCTTGCATGAGAAATGATAATTGAAGCTACAAGCAAGTATTATTCTAGGCACTCAATATATTTGGATTTTTTTATTTTTTTTATTTTTGCAGCCTTGTGTTGTTGAGTTCAAACTATATTTCAGAGTCTATGCCTCGATTTCAAGATGACTAAACAAAAACTAAGAAATTTTCTGTTTTTCATTCTGATTACATTAATTACTATACCAGATAAGCAACTATCAATTCTTGACTTTTGAGGTAAATATTACTTAATAAAGCACAAAGATAACGAAAGTAAAGTGTTGCTTCCACTTTATAATTATGATTACTCTTTATAACCTCATTTGTGCATTAGAGCTGAACGCATTCACAGTCATGAATAATGATATTATCAAATGTAAAGCTGCAGTGTGCTGGAAAGCTGGTGACAAATTGAAGATTGAGGAAATAGAAGTTTCACCACCAAAAAGTGGTGAAGTTCGAGTCAAAGTTGTAGCTACTGGGCTTGTAAGTGTTGTAATAATCTATCCAAGGGTGCGGAACTGAATTACATTTCATCAGTTCCGCACTTCTAAATCTACCTCATCCTCATAAAAATATATTTTAATTAAATAACTTTCCAGTGCTTCTCAGACATCGCATCAATATCTGGAAAAGTAAGAGGGAAATTTCCAACAATTTATGGCCATGAAGGCGCAGGAATCATAGAATCTGTTGGAGAGAACGTTACTAATTTGCAACGCGGAGATCATGCCCTAATAGTGTTCTCACCTCAATGCAGACAGTGCAGAATTTGTAAAGCTGGTGTTGGCAATGTTTGCATGCAATTCATGATGATTGGAATCACAGGTCTCATGAAAGATGGAACCTCACGCATAACATGTCGAGGACAAAAAATTTTTAATTTTATGGGAACTTCAACATTCACAGAATTTACAGTTGTAAGTGTCAATAATTGTGTAAAGATTAATCCGCACGCACCGTTAGAAAAAATTTGCTTATTATCATGTGGATTTCCAACCGGATATGGAGGAGCTATTAATTCAGCTAAAGTACGTGAAGGCAGTACATGTGCTGTCTTTGGACTTGGTGCTATTGGACTAGCTACAGTGATGGGATGTCGTACAATGAAGGCTAGTAGAATTATAGCAATTGACATAAATTCAGAGAAATTTGAAATCGCTAAGAAATTAGGCGCCACAGACTGTGTCAACCCTAAAGAACTTGACATGCCAATTGCTGATTATTTGAAGCAAAACTTTCAAGGCGGTGTTGATTTTTCATTCGAGTGCGTTGGACTAATTGAGACAATAAAGCAAGCATACGATTCAATAATTATCGGACATGGTGTTTGCGTGCTAATTGGAATAACTCCAAGTGATATGTCAATTGACATCATGCCTGTTCAGCTTCAGATTGGAAAAAGCATTGTTGGATCATTTTATGGTGGATTTAGAACTCAAGATGACGTTCCACGTCTAGTTGATGAATATATGGATGGACATTTCGATCTGGAAAGCTTTATAACTCATGAAATGAAATTAGAAAATATAAATGAAGCTATCGACCTCCTCAAGGATGGAAAGTGTGTACGAACTGTAATCAACTTATAAAAAAATATTTAAGAATAAAACATTTGAGTAGTCATGATGATGGGAATCGTAGTGAGGGTTTTGTTGATTAATGCTTAAGGGGCCGTTTACTTATGACGTCCAGTGGGGGGGGGGGGGGGGGTCATCAAGAAGAACAATAGAAATTATTGGAAATTCATTGTTCTTTTTTGAAAATTACCGTTAATTTCGGACGTCATAAGTGAATGATCCCTAATGTAAATTTTTGTAATATTTATGTCATAATCATCATGAAAACTTGCGTGGCAAATTGTCAACAACGTTATCTGTTTTATTTTTAAAATAATAAATTGACCAACATGAGAGATTTCATTCATCAAACATAATAAAATTGATATTTATTTAATTGTAAGCTTATGAATATTTTCAAATTTTGGTCCATGACCTGCGATAGGTTTTTTGTCATGTGGACTAGGTTTTAGTGATTTAAAACTAGTTGGAAGTTGTTTAGTCTCAGCTTAAATCTAGATGTAGAGCACCCGTCAAGCTAAGTATCTTTTATGATATTTAGGCAGCTTATAAGATTCAACTTTACAGGAACCTACTCTAGCAACTTCTAAGAAATGTGAAGCATCACGTGATGATAAATAATTCGATGGGAAATCCCCATCTCCCCCTCCCCAATATTTTAAAAAAATTATTCCCTAGCACCTGCTTCAATGTATGAAATTAGGTGAGGATATGAGTCATAGTTGTTATTATCTTAACTATAGACAATAAATCACAACACTGTTCAACCAGATTGCTAGAAAAGACGTCAATGAAAAGATAGACTCGCGCTACAATCACACTTTTGACCTGTCTATTCCATTAAGCTGTCAAGCATTATCAAAATTGTAATAGAAAGAATAAAAATAACAAAGTTTATAATCAATTCAATAACTCAACTTTATTTGTCAATGAAATCGTGGGAAAAAGTCACACGCCGCACATAGAAACAATTACTTAAATTAATTTTTTGCTTATCATTTTTGTAGTGGCTGGAGATTTGACGCTAAGATAACTTTTCTCCAATTAAATTAATGCAATGAAGTCTTTAGATTTAAATTTGGGACTGTATAATTGCCCACTGGTGTTGTAAAATTATAAAGTGGTGTGGTATAATTGAAATTAGGACCTGGCGTTGTATTATTGAAGCTAGGCGTAGTGTAATTGAAATTCGGTAAAGTGAAATTAGTTCCAGGCGTTGTAATATTGTAACTTGGTGCTGTTGCATTAAAATTTGGCAATGTTGTGAAATTATATTCTGGAGTCGTGAAGTTTAGATTCGGAGCTGATGTTGTATAATTCCAGTTTGGACCAGGTGTGCTGTAGTTGTAGCTAGGCGTGGAATAGTTAAAACCTGGCGTTGAAAAATTAAATCCTGGCGTGGATGTAGAAATATTAAAATTCGGTGTGGTAAAATTATGATTTTGACCAGGTGTGCTGGAATTAAAATGAGGAGGAGTGGGTGTTGTATAGTTCCAACTTGGCCAAGTCACGTTCGATCCAGGTGTTGAAAAGTTGTATGATGGTGTTGTGAAGTTAGATCCGGGATACGTAAAATTAGTTGTAGTATGATTGAAGTTTGGAGGACTTGGTGTTGTAAAATTCCAATGACTCGATGTGGTTCCATTATGATGTGGTGGATTTGGTGTTGAAAAATTATAATGGTTTGAAGTAGTTCGACTAAAATTAGGTGTTGTAAAATGCCAGCGAGTTGTTGTTGTGCGATTACGTCTTGAAGTTGTATGATGATGCCAATGACTCGTTGTATGATTGAGATTGTGACCTGGTGTTGTATGGTTCCAGTGATTCGGGGTAGTATGATTAAAGTTTGGCGTCAGTGTTGATGAATTCCAATGATTTGGAGTTGTAGAATTGTAAATTGGTCCTTGTGTTGTGTGATTCCAATGATTTGGAGTAGTAGAGTTCCAATTTGGTCCCGATGTGCTATAATTAAATGTTGGAGTTGCTGGTGTGGTGAAATTATAACTTGGCCATGTCACATTAGTGCCTGGAGTTGTGAAATTCAAATCTTTTGCACCATTTCTATTTGGAACTCCACCTTTCAGTATATTGGCAATTGTAAAGTGCACAAAAAGCAAAATCAAAATTTTCTTAAACATTTTTTTAATTGCCTTCAACTCACTTTAATGGTTCTGTATTGTTTGATAAATGAATCAATATTTTTCAGTTTTTATACTATAGCTCTTATCAAAAACTAAGGAAAGAATTGATTTTTTATCACAATCTTTTGAGTACTTTTTCCTCAAATTAAGTCTTATTTAATAATATGTCGAAAGTTGGGTTATTATTTTTAGCCAGATAAATCAAACAACTGATTAGAGAATTTAAGAGTCATATTAGATAACATGTGCTTCATCAAATGGTGAAATAAATTTGAGATTGGAAAATACCAAGTTGGGGACTTGAAGTTTTTTTTTGAAAAGGCAGTAGTTAAGGTTCTAAGTACAACATACAAACAACTTTATAATATTTATTCATGAGACCAGTCATCATTATCAATTATAATTTCTAAACAATCTCCGAAAAAAAATCTCAAAAATAAAGCACATTGTTGCAAGTTCATAGTCGTTGTGTCATTGATTCACATGACATTATGCCTTTTGTTTCTATGCTTAATGATTATTATTTTTCGATTTTTTATAACTGTGGGCTCGTGATATGAATATCAACATGTTATTCAAGTTTTTATTTTTGACAAGCTGAATATAAATGCTCATTAAGATACTAAGCAGCATATTTATATTAAATCAACTAAATCACTTCTTGCTTCTTTCATTACAGAGAATTTATCAAAAAGCAATTAAGGTTCAAAATGACTTCTTTAACTCATGTTACAAGGTTCATAGTTCAGGTTTTACTGATAAGCTCTTGAGAAGTTGCATTTGCCTTGAAAAAATTAATCTCATTTAGTATTAATGAAAGGCTTTTAAGATTGCTGTTCTGCAGAAAACAATTTAAAGAATTATTGGCACGAAATGAGGAAAGATCATCTTTAATTACACGGAATTAATGTGTCGTTTACTATTTGATGAGAATTTTTGATCTTTTAATGGAAACATGATGAGTCGTGAGCTGGTGCGTGTGCAAAAAAGTTGCTTAAATGCCAAAGAATTATTTTGACAACATTAAACAGGTTTACCGTTATTATGGACACTGCATGGCTCGTTTGCATACGAAATGTGTCAAAAACTTGTTCCTAAGAATCAGGAAATGATTTACATTTCATACAAAGAACATTTCCTGAATTTTAAAACTTTCTTGACGATACTTTGATGTGCTAGACATTTATAGAATCAATTTTCAACATCTTAAGTGTCCAAACAAGATGATAAAGAATAAAAACATTAATAAAGCTTAGAAACAATCGTTAATGACTATTTAGACAGTTTAAATAGCTAAGTAGACATAAGCAACCTTTAAGTATAGAGATTCTTGTCGTGAGTTATTAATTATAGCAAATTTGAACTTTATCTGATCTTTATAAACTTATGTTGCTACTGCAAATCAATTATTTTGCCAAAAACATTCAATATTCATATTACATAGGTTAAGCTTGTCATATTTGCATTAAAATGGTTTACAGTGATCATTAATTAAAAAAGAAAAAAATTTCTAAGGTCAACAAAATGTTTTAATTTTATAAATGAAAGGAATGAGCTTTAAGGAGAGATGCAAAGCATGATGTAGGCAATGAAAAACAAATGGTCATTAGCTATTTCTAAGTCATAAAAAATCTATAGTTCTTTAGAAATTTCCAGAGATCGAAGCCGATTTTTTCGGCTTAACTCAATTTTTGGTTTTTTTGATAGAAAAAAGCCATTTGACACCCATTTCAAGTATTTAAATTGAACTTTACATGCTTTACTATGATTCTGTGTACTATTTTGTCAGCATGTAGCTATAGTGAGCTCAGAATTTCAATTTAGTCGATTTTAAGCCGATCGGCTTCGATCTCTGGAAATTTCAAAAAATCAGTAGAAGTTCAGACACTAATTTATAATATAAAGCTATTCAGGTCTTAAAGCTGCTTCCAAAAAGACACTGAGTTATTTATTATCGTGCAAAATTTTCAGATTAACATTGAAAATTGTGTGCTGCACCATAGCTTTTGTGTAGAGTGTATCAAAAGATTAAAGATAGCTGAATATCTTTTAAATTTGCATAAAATTCAGTGTCATTTCCATGATCACCAAAAAGGTCACTACTCTTGATTTTAGGTGTGCATTTTCATAAATTTGATATAAATGTTCGGATGTAGTAAATCGCGATACTATTCTTACTTGAAAAATATCTTTAGGCATGAGACTAAGATCTAATCTATAAGATCTAATGGCTTATCAGACAATATTGAATCATAGTTAATACAATTTACGAACAATATTGCTAAGATGCACCCCGAATGGCACAAGTCGGTTAATTCAATAGAAATCCGACAGCAAGCTAACGTAGCGTTGGCATGGAGTTGTATTCGATTTTAGTCCAGCACCATGCTAGATTTTACGTCCGCTTGGTGCCGGATTTCTATTGAATTAACCGGCTTCTGACTTTCGGACACGTAAAATCTCTTAAAATTCAATCTTCGAGAAAATTCAGCTTATCCATAGCTAGAAACTTATGTAACAGAAGCTGCCGGTCAATTCCCTTCCAACACGAAATCTAATAATCGTAAACATGCTCAGTTATAGCTTCATAGATTTGACCCGTTAATACATCATCATTTTATCTCCTCCGTCATCAATCATTACCTTTAATGTTCAGCAATAAATCAATCAACCTAGCAATTATTCAAAAAGTGTTGAATAGGTTCAAATAGAACAAAGAAAATGAAACTTTATTTTCTCATTAGAACTGAGACTATTTGATCTGTGAGGTAGAGAGAAGGCTTTAATGTATTGCCAGAATAGAGATTTTGATGTCCATTGAAAATTTATATAATCTTGAACACGGAACTGGAATGAAGGAAGGGTAGTGAAGTTTTAGGAAGAGGATGATGAAACTGTTGCCCATGTAACCTTATGCACAATAAATCATACAAAGAAGCTACTAGAATTTCTTGAAAAGCCACTAATTTAAGTCTACGCTTTTGATGATCCCCAACAACCAACCACAAGAAGATCAAGAAACAATAACTGAACTTTATGTATTTGTTCCGCAATTAATGATTTATGCTCAAAACATCATGCAATGTCAACATAACCGCAAACTTAATGCTCCATTAGAACTCGACATTGAAATGAAAAATTTCTTCTTCATCCACAAAAAAAGATCAACAAAATTATCGTGTACCACGCAAGAAAACAGCACCAAAATCTTGTTATTCTTGTTTGAAATACATAATAATAATAATAGAGCAAGACGAAAAGATTTTTCAACGCTCTGCTGTGTGTTTTGTGTTGAGCACATGCGAAGCTGACTTTTCAGTTGATGTTGTGAGCTCGTGCTGTAAAGAAGAATTGATCGTTGTGACTGGAAATAAATAAAGTGTTTTATCAGGAAAATGTCGAGTAAAGTGATTTTGTCTGATTATGAAATGGACGAGAAAGTTCAAGAATTCCGGAAGTGGATTAGCTTGCAATCGCATTTACCGCAAAACATTGGTAAACAATAATTCTGTGTGCATCTTTTGTTCTCTTATTTTATGGTTTTTTTTACACTTTGTGACTGGAAAAAGAAGTCAGACGACAGCAAAAAACCAGAATTTCTTTAAGAATAAAATCCCCAAAAAAAAATCTGGTTCTTTAAGAAAATGTTAAAAGCGATGATTCTTAACATTTTGTGGATGTTACAAAGACAAAAAATCTGATTTACATCCAATTTAAGATGCTAAATATATTCAATAAAGATGAAAGTCATCTTCAAACTTAATTTATTGACAAACAATTTTGTTTTTGTTTAGATTTATTATCTGGCATCGTTATTAATTAATTAAGGAACTATGCAGACAGTTGTTAATTGATTCTAGAATTTCGGATGTGCAATTGATGAGATTAGAAAATATTTGAACTCAAAGACGCAGTTTAAGGGTCAAAGAGGGTTTAAGGCTACTTTTTGAAAAGATTTGTGTCTATGACCCAGTCAGAGCTTGTTGATAGCTATGCTGTCTTGGTCTAGACACTCCTCTCTCTCCATAAGACTTGAACATCGTTTACAATCGTCCCCTAATTGAATATATATAAAATCATAATTGCAAAAAAATGCATAAACATTAATGCTGTGAGCTACATAATGACAATACTGTGCATTTCTACTAAAAGACAAGTTACAAAGTGAAAGCATCTTAGTGATGATGTTAGGTTGTCATTACACTGACAAAGAACTGTTATTAAAACATTAAATTGTTGTTGTGATAGAATAAAGACGTGCGATTTTCGCTTACAGTTGAGATTCCACACAACGTGTTCATTGAAAAAAGTACATAAGCTCACATGTGTTTTGATTACATTCGCTGAGATCAATATTGACTGAAATGCATCATACTTAGAATTTTGAATTGAAGTTCTAGTGAGAATTGTTATGGAATTTGAGTGTATGTGCCCTTGGCTGAATAGTGTGTGATTTAAGGTTAAAGGGAATGAATTGAATTAGAAGCAATAGCAAGCAGGACCTTGACTGGAGAGAATAGAGAAATTAAACTTTTAAATCTTGTTAACTCCACAGAAAAGATGCTTCTTCTTCGATACCTCAAAACCTACAATTTTAATCTAGACAGAGCAAAAAAGTTACTTGAATACAGTCTCGATATCAGAGCCAACAATCAACATATCTTCACGGGAAGAGACCCATTGTCGCCGGAAATTGCAGGCATGCTTAACTCAATGTAAAATCTAAACACATTTTGCTTATCTAATTGGTCTTAATGAGTCATAAAAATCAATTTTAGCGAAATTGTTCCAATGTTGAAAGCCACACCAGAAAACTATAAAGTCAGCATTCTCCGTCTCATCGATTACAACTCGACAAACTTTGTATTTAATGATGTGATTAAAACATTCTTTATGTTTGCTGATTTGCGGCTTGTTTCGCCGGATCCAAATCCTGAATTAGCAGATGGCGAGATACCAATCTTTGATATGAAAGGCATGACTATATGGCATTTATTTAGGATCAATTTTTCGACATTGAGACTTTATTTTAAATATGTTCAGGAGGTAAGCGAAAAATGATAATTTTTGAAAGTTGTCAAAAAATCATAATCTTTGAATTCATCATTAGGCTCATCCAGTCAGAGTCACACAATGTCACATCATCAATTGTACGCCGCTTCTTACAAAAATTATGTCACTCATTCGACCTCTTTTAAAACCTGAAGTTGCAGCTCGTCTTCAATTCCATTCACCTGACACTGATACCCTTTTTAAAAGCATTCCTAAAGAAGTATTGCCAATTGAGTATGGTGGAACATCTGGTTCTATTCGAGACATGAAAGAATATTGGATGAAGAAGTTAATAGAACGACGGTAAGATAAGAATAAATTCAATGTTAAGAACATGCGACTTATTAATTTTTCCCACACAGAAATTATTTGAAAAATGACAGCAACTGGATTGTAGGCAAAGTTGATAGCAACAACAACGCAGAGCTTGAAAAAGAATAAGAAGTAAACATTTGGGGGTTGTTTATCGGTCAGGTCTGGTATATAAATGAGGAATATGCTTAAATTAATGGTCATATATAGCTGCAATCCTCCTAATCTTCATAAGCTGATTCAGACTGTATCAGTAAAAAAAAGACATCATTTATGAACCACCCCCACTAAAGTGATACAATTTCAATGTGGCAAAACAAATAGAATTAGGTCTTAGGAATAGGAAGTAAAAAATGCAAGTTCAAAACAAATAGAAAGAATTTCAGCGAGCATGTCCAATCAAAATTATGAAGAACGCCCTTCAAGTCAACTGAATTAAATTATATTTTAACATGCCAATTATTATTAACATTTTTTTTGTTTTTATGCGGACGTCATGTGAATTTACATTGAGGAGATTGTTTTTGTATGCGCACATGCTACCCAGAAGATTATATGTTATGCAAATAGATGATTTAAAATAGTTTAAATTCTTAAATCAACGGCATTTTTAATTTTGTATGCTTGTAATATAGTAATGAGTGGGTCATGGTTCTGTCATGGTGATGGATGAACAAATAAGAGATTTTTTACATATTGCATTCTATGTTTGGGTTCTGATTGATTTTTTGGTTGAGTCATATTCTATTATCTTGAAAAAATTTCAGAACTATTGACTATCACTCAATCTATCAATTCTTGATATTTATGTACCTGACTCCAACTAGATTTGTTTTTGAATCTTAATGAAATACCTCGAACATAGATCGCAGATTCCGAAAAACATATGTTTTGTTCGTAAAAGGTAAACGGCTAGTCAAACAGCTGAAAGATGATAATACAAGTTTGACAAGACCTTGTGTCAGCATGAGTTTTATTTTTTTTTTGTGAACTCGACTAATAGATTAATATTTTTCAAAATTTATTTGGCGAAATATTTGCATATTAAAATCAATGGATTTTTTTATGATTTTTAAATTAATGTCTTGTAATCTTATCTTAAATTCACGTTTGCTGTGTCAGATAATGAAGTGCTTAACCACATTGTGATCAGAAAACACATTATTTAACCAATCTGCATACAATTTGAGATAGTCTTGGCTCTTTTTGCTCACTAAAGTTCCATAGAGCATAGTTTTTCTGATATTGGTTCAACTAATTTAGTATCAAAATAAAATAAACAGTCTAGACGAGTCACACCTGCTTGACAATAAGATTTTAAATTTTGATTTCATTCTAAATCTGATGAATAAATTTATCTAAACAGAAATTACTTAAAATTGACAGTTAAGCATAAATTAAAATCTTTAATTTAAAATGATAAAGATTTTTTTATCTTTTTTTTGGAATTTGTTCATAAAAAAAAGTAAAAGTTTTTCCACAAAAAAATTAATTTCCAAAGAACAAAATTTATGTAAAATTAATATTAATAGAAGTTGTAAACCCTTTGTGATAAAATTCATTTAAAATGAAAATAAAAGTTTTGTTTTTTTTTTAAAAAAGTTATTTTCTTCTTTATTTCAGCTTTCTTGTAATTTTCTCATGATTGCAAATTCATCGCTCTAGTAGTTTGTAAACAATAGAAAAACATGATATAAAAATGTTTTGAATTGTTTTGAAAGATAATTGGATATTCTCAATTAAGTATTTTCTCGATCTTATTAGATCTTATCTTATTTTTGTTTTGATATGCAAATTATGTGACTCAAAACTTGAATTTCATCATCTAATTCTGGATGCATTCAGAGGTTAATCAACGCAAAAAGTAAGAATTTTAAATTTTAATCTCAACTGTTGAGTATTAAATAATATGCAAATTATTATCAATCCAAAAATTATAATTTTTATAAAATTAACTTGATATTTAGACTAGTGTATCGGGTAGAAACCCAATGCGGATATATTCACACCGTACCATCAAAAGTCTTATGGATAGACCAAGATTTGCTCAGCATAAGTTTGAAGGGTGGGCATGAAGTACGGCCGAGATCTATATCGACACAGTTCAAAAGTTATACCTAATTTATGTCATAATTATGTCAGCTACAAAAACACTTAGTTTGAAGTTTGTCGCCCTCAGGAACACTATGAACCAGTATAGCTGATTTTTGTCCAAATCTCGGCCATACTTCACACTAGGGTTTCTGAAGCCGTTAACGGAAACGGAAAAACAGCCGTTTTTCAGAGAAAAATAAAAACGGAAAACGGCTGTTTTTTTATAGCCGTTTTTTCCGTTTTTCTTTTCTAGCTCGTGAAAATTTTAGGTTCAGAATAAAATAATATTAACTCCAATAATTCTTTCATACTCATTAAATTTAAGTTGTTAAGTTTTGTAACGACTACTTGATGTTTAAATATTTTTAAAGTTTGAAGTATCCTGTTTTTTTGTTATAAGCTAGCTTATAGCTTAGGAGAATAAAAAAGTGATTTTTTTGGCTCACTAGTAGCTTAGTAAAGAAATTGAACTTATATGAAATTTTTTGAATTTTTTAGCTTAATTAAAGAAATTTTGCTATCTTCTCGATTTTATTTCATTGACAATGCATTAGGCATTGAAACTGATACTTAGAAAGTTGAGAAAGATTAATTAAACTTTATTTTTGGTAGTAGCTTAGTAAAGATTACAAAAAATTTTCAAATTCAAAAAAACTTTACTAAGCTAGTAGCTTAGTAACGAGTAGTAGCTTATAACGAAAAAACAGGGTGTGAATAAAAGTTTTTTTAGACACAATACACTGTAATAAGTTCGTTTTTTGACAACAATTTCAGTATGTGACTAAAACCGTGCATAAAACACAATTTCGGTAGAATTAAAAAAACGGACCCGTTAACGGCCGTTTTTTGGAAAAAAACGGAAACGGCCGTTTTTTAAAAATGCCGTTTTTCAGAAACCCTACTTCACACTTATTTGAACCACATTTTCTCGTAAATGTTAAAATGTTATTAAAAAAACTTAATGCTGAATTATGTCGCTATTTTGTCAAGTGTTTTAAGATAAAGAATTTGTTTTTTTGTTTTCACAGTGAAGAGTATGAACAAAATTCAGATGGGGTAGTCGAAATTTTAGATTTCGATTTTTTTTAAGCTATGCATTACAAAAAGTAATATTGGTATGTGATTTATGTCAGATTTATAATAATTCATATAAATCATCTTAAAATTTTTTTGAGCAAAGAACCAAGTAGGAAATACATTTTCAATTATGAACTTGGGAAAGGTCTAGTCAAAATCTAGTTTTTCACTTTTTTTTCTTCAAAATTTTAGGATGTTTTATTTGTATTTGTTTTAAGCACTAGAATATTTAAGCAAAGTTTCAATCCATTTGGATAAACCCTCGAAGAAAAAAGTGAGAAAACTGATTTTGACTAGGGTCAAGCCTAGTTCAAAATTGAAAATGTATTTCCTACTTGGTTCTTTGCTCAAAAAAATTTTAAAATGTTTTATTTGTATTTGTTTTAAGTACTAGAATATTTATGCAAAGTTTCAATCCATTCGGATAAACCTTTGAAGAAAAAAGTGACAAAACTAGATTTTGACTAGACCTGTCCCAAGTTCATAATTGAAAATGTATTTCCTACTTGGTTCTTTGCTCAAAAAAATTTTAGGATGTTTTTTTTGTATTTGTTTAAAGCACTAGAATATTTATGCAAAGTTTCAATCCATTTGGATAAACCTTCGAAGAAAAAAATGACAAAACTAGATTTTGACTAGACCTGTCCCAAGTTCATAATTGAAAATGTATTTCCTACTTGGTTCTTTGCTCAAAAAAATTTTAGGATGTTTTTTTTGTATTTGTTTTAAGCACTAGAATAGTTATGCAAAGTTTCAATCCATTTGTATAAACCCTCGAAGAAAAAAATGACAAAATTGATTTTGACTAGGGTCGCCCCTAGAATATTTATGCAAAGTTTCAATCCATTTGGATAAACCTTCGAAGAAAAAAGTGACAAAACTAGATTTTGACTAGACCTGTCCCTAGTTCATAATTGAAAATGTCTTTCCTACTTGGTTCTTTGCTCAAAAAAATTTTTGAATGTTTTATTTGTATTTGTTTTAAGTACTAGAATATTTATGCAAAGTTTCAATCCATTTGGATAAACCTTCGAAGAAAAAAGTGACAAAACTAGATTTTGACTAGACCTGTCCCAAGTTCATAATTGAAAATGTATTTCCTACTTGGTTCTTTGCTCAAAAAAATTTTAGGATGTTTTTTTTGTATTTGTTTTAAGCACTAGAATATTTATGCAAAGTTTCAATCCATTTGTATAAACCTTAGAAGAAAAAAATGACAAAATTGATTTTGACTAGACCTGTCCCAAGTCCAAAATTGAAAATGTATTTCCTACTTGGTTCTTTGCTCAAAAACATTTTAGAATGTTTTATTTGTATTTGTTTTAAGTACTAGAATATTTATGCAAAGTTTCAATCCATTTGGATAAACCTTCGAAGAAAAAAGTGACAAAACTAGATTTTGACTAGACCTGTCCCAAGTTCATAATTGAAAATGTATTTCCTACTTGGTTCTTTGCTCAAAAAAATTTTAGGATGTTTTTTTTGTATTTGTTTTAAGCACTAGAATAGTTATGCAAAGTTTCAATCCATTTGTATAAACCCTCGAAGAAAAAAATGACAAAATTGATTTTGACTAGGGTCGCCCCTAGAATATTTATGCAAAGTTTCAATCCATTTGGATAAACCCTCGAAGAAAAAAGTGACAAAATTGATTTTGACTAGGGTCGCCCCTAGTCCAAAATTGAAAATGTATTTCCTACTTGATTCTTTGCTCAAAAAAATTTTAAAATGTTTTATTTGTATTTGTTTAAAGCACTAGAATAGTTATGCAAAGTTTCAATCCATTTGTATAAACCCTCGAAGAAAAAAATGACAAAATTGATTTTGACTAGGGTCGCCTCTAGAATATTTATGCAAAGTTTCAATCCATTTGGATAAACCTTCGAAGAAAAAAGTGACAAAACTAGATTTTGACTAGACCTGTCCCTAGTTCATAATTGAAAATGTCTTTCCTACTTGGTTCTTTGCTCAAAAAAATTTTTGAATGTTTTATTTGTATTTGTTTTAAGTACTAGAATATTTATGCAAAGTTTCAATCCATTTGTATAAACCCTCGAAGAAAAAAATGACAAAATTGATTTTGACTAGGGTCGCCCCTAGAATATTTATGCAAAGTTTCAATCCATTTGTATAAACCTTAGAAGAAAAAAGTGAGAAAATTGATTTTGACTAGACCTGTCCCAAGTCCAAAATTGAAAATTTATTTCCTACTTGGTTCTTTGCTCAAAAAACTTTAGGACGTTTTATTTATATTTGTTTTAAGCATTAAAATATTCATGAAAAAAGTGAGAAAACTGATTTTGACTAGGGTCGCCCCTAGAATATTTATGCAAAGTTTCAATCCATTTGTATAAACCTTAGAAGAAAAAAGTGAGAAAATTGATTTTGACTAGACCTGTCCCAAGTCCAAAATTGAAAATGTATTTCCTACTTGGTTCTTTGCTCAAAAAAATTTTAAAATGTTTTATTTGTATTTGTTTTAAGCACTAGAATATTTATGCAAAGTTTCAATCCATTTGGATAAACCCTCGAAGAAAAAAGTGACAAAACTGATTTTGACTAGGGTCAACCCTAGTTCAAAATTGAAAATGTATTTCCTACTTGGTTCTTTGCTCAAAAAAATTTTAGGATGTTTTTTTTTGTATTTGTTTTAAGCACTAGAATATTTATGCAAAGTTTTAATCCATTTGGATAAACCCTCGAAGAAAAAAATGACAAAATTGATTTTGACTAGGGTCGCCCCTAGAATATTTATGCAAAGTTTCAATCCATTTGTATGAACCTTAGAAGAAAAAAGTGAGAAAATTGATTTTGACTATACCTGTCCCAAGTCCAAAATTGAAAATGTATTTCCTACTTGGTTCTTTGCTCAAAAAAATTTTAAAATGTTTTATTTGTATTTGTTTAAAGCACTAGAATATTTATGTAAAGTTTCAATCCATTTGTATAAACCATAGGAGAAAAAAGTGAGAAAATTGATTTTGACTAGGGTCACCCCTTGTCCAAAATTGAAAATGTATTTCATACTTGTTTCTTTGCTCAAAAAAGTTTTAAGATGTTTTATTTGTATTTGTTTAAAGCACTAGAATATTTATGTAAAGTTTCAATCCATTTGTATAAACCATAGGAGAAAAAAGTGAGAAAATTGATTTTGACTAGGGTCACCCCTAGAATATTTATGCAAAGTTTCAATCCATTTGTATGAACCTTAGAAGAAAAAAGTGAGAAAATTGATTTTGACTATACCTGTCCCAAGTCCAAAATTGAAAATGTATTTCCTACTTGGTTCTTTGCTCAAAAAAATTTTAAAATGTTTTATTTGTATTTGTTTAAAGCACTAGAATATTTATGTAAAGTTTCAATCCATTTGTATAAACCATAGGAGAAAAAAGTGAGAAAATTGATTTTGACTAGGGTCACCCCTTGTCCAAAATTGAAAATGTATTTCATACTTGTTTCTTTGCTCAAAAAAGTTTTAAGATGTTTTATTTGTATTTGTTTAAAGCACTTGAATATTTATGCAAAGTTTCAATCCATTTGTATAAACCATAGGAGAAAAAAGTGAGAAAATTGATTTTGACTAGGGTCACCCCTTGTCCAAAATTGAAAATGTATTTCATACTTGTTTCTTTGCTCAAAAAAGTTTTAAGATGTTTTATTTGTATTTGTTTAAAGCACTAGAATATTTATGTAAAGTTTCAATCCATTTGTATAAACCCTAGAAGAAAAAAGTGAGAAAATTGATTTTGACTAGGGTCGCCCCTAGTCCAAAATTGAAAATGTATTTCCTTCTTGGTTCTTTGCTCAAAAAAATTTTTTTCATCCAAAGTTTAATTTAAAAATAATCACAATGAACTTTTAATTTGAAAAATTTGTAAAAAAGGAAATTATTTTGCTTTTTCTGAAGCAACGGCTTTTCCTACGTTGCCTAAAAACAATACAGCTCTTCTTTAGAGTAGCACGGATCAAATGTAAAAAACTAGAAGTCTCTACAATGTCTCGTTATTGAGATTTCTTGCTTGCTTTCAGCAAGCGTATTTTTCTATTTTCTCAGCAACGCCGCAACCAATTTGAAATCTGTTTTTTGCATAAGATTTTAAATTTCAGGCATAAACTTTTCTTCTCTTGACATTTATAGCTAAAATGCTTCGTTAACTCACAAAATCCAAAAAACTGATTTTTCAATCTGAACAAAAACAAAACATTCACACGTGAAAACGGTGTAAATATAAAAATTATTTAACATTGATTTTCATCAAATCATTGGCAGAGAAAAAGCCGATCAAAACTTATTTGCAGATGTTTTTTTCAATTTGCATAAATTTTCCTAAATTTGAGTTGATTTCTTTTAAAGGGAACGATAAGGCTAAAAATAAAAATTTAGTTTGAATTTTTGAGTTTCACGGTCAATATCATTAATTTTTTTAAACATTCTTTAAACTTGTCTAGATCAAGGGAAGGACACAATAAATTTTCAGTGACTTGAATATATTTTCTTAATATAATTTTCTTTATTATACAGTTTTAAATCTTTTAAATATCAATATAACTTTAGTCTAAAATGATTTTTAAGAACTTATTTAGAAGCTTGACGTCTTGACTACGCAATGGCACATGTTGGAGAAAAATTAAAAAATAATGAAGTTTGATTCTAGGAATAATCGAAGAACCTGGAAACTAGTCTCAGGTTTCCATTATTAAGCTGGCTCACTGCTAGATCTATAGACGTCCGTAATCAAGTGCGTAGCCAAGATGCCAAAATCTGCTTTTATGGCCTTACTAGATATTTAAATGCTAGTACAAATTAAGTGAAAATTATAAAGATTAATTTAATTATTGTTAATTTTGAAGAAGAAAATTCTCCTTTCTCCCAAGATAGTCACGATTCTTAAACAATTGCTTCAAATTGATCTCATGAAATTCATCTAAAGTTCCAAAGTTCCCGCCATATTCAATAGGTAAGCAATCTTTGTCAATATATTCATGAAGAGTGTTGAATGAAGAATGAAAAACCATATTTTCAACAGATTCTTTTTTCAAAAATGGCGAAATAAGATTAACGACCTTATTAACGATTGGAGAGCAGTTAACAAAATGATTGTTAATAATATCAACATGTATGTAATGTTCCTCATAATACAGAAAATGTAAAACTGTCGATAAATTTGTAACAAGCTTCATGAAATGCTTTAAAGTAGCTCCTTTGGCATCATAGATAAAAATATTACGATTTATTCTCGGTGTTTCAACAGCGCACATATCTTGCACCAAGAAAAATGTTTTAATTATTTCCTTTATGACAAAATTGCTAACGTCTGGGTTTTTGATACGGAATACTGTGATGTGGTGCTTCTCCTTTGTCATTTTTGGGCATTCTATTAATTGGCTGCAAAAATAAAAAATAAATGGTGCTATTAATTTAAAAGAATTAAGAAAGGGGTCGTTCACTTCTGACGTTCAGGAGTGGGGGGGAGGGGGGGTCAGCAAGAAAAGAACAATAGAAATTCCTGGAAATCCATTGTTCTTTTTTTGAAAAATGACTGTTAATTTCGGACGTCATAAGTGAACGACCCCAAAAGAGAAATAAAATTGAACTTTAGATTAAAGATCAAAATGTCTTTGCGATTTTCTTCGTGTTTTTTTGTGAAAACCAGATTTTTTTTGTTTTGGTCATCATGAGATTCAAATTCCCATATAACTAACCTGAACAACATTTTCTTAGTTCTTGCATCATCTTTTTTTCATAACAGTCCTTATTCTTTACAATTCTGATTATTATTTACAATTCTGATTATTCTTTACAATTCTGATTAAAATCATGACTAATCTTTGGATATTCAAAGCTTGAAAAACAAATTTTCCTAATTAACAACGAGATCGACAGTTTGCTAAATCTGTGATTGATCATAATCAAGGAACATTTAGATTTTTGTTCATTTAATAATCTCGTAAATTATCTTCAAATCATGTAAATACAGATTCGGAATATGTTGGATGAATAAGAACTGACTAATGCTCATGTACCCCCCATTCAAAGCAAATACGATTTGAGACATATATGACTAATATAGAAATTGATTAATACTTACAAAAGTTTATTAGAACAACGAAATTCTTCAGTATCCAATCTGCGATCAGTAAAGTAAAATGGATGTTTCAATCTAAATTTGACATTTCCGTCAAGCAACTTTTTGGCTTCTTCAAGATCATTTTGTTTAACGTGAAAGTAGCGAATCAGCACTGACCTTGCTGCAAGAGTTAAATTCAATATTGAAAATTCAGAATCTTTTTTAAGGAGTGGACAATTGCTTTAAAAGTCAAGATCATCAAGGAAGTGATTTGTTTCAAAGGAAATGCTCAAGCAAGAATTTAAATTTCAAGGTTAATCTCATTGTTTTGCAAAATATTGTCAAAATATTTAAATGGATTTAAATAAATTAAAATCACTAAATTCAATGCATAAACTTAAAACTTTGCATGCATAACTTGATGCTCACTGTGCAACGCTATTGCGAAATTAGGCAATCATCTTCAACCTTGATATCTTGATCTACCACAATTTTAATTTGAATTCTATAAAAATACTTACGAATATTCTTAGGAATATGCTTTTGCGTGGCTATCCATTCTTCAAACTTATCTAGAACATCACTACTTTCCTCAATTGCTTTTACGAGACTCTCTTTTGATTCATTCATGTCGATTCGAGTGTTAAAACTGAACTGAGCTTTTTTTGAAATGATTGTGCAAAAAAATTGTCAATGCTTTTGTTTACAAAGAAGATTTCATGTGATCAATATAAGGGGATTGGATTGTTTGATGAAGTGTTAATTTTTTATGTGAAGCTGATAATATGTTGCTGGGAATGTTGTAGTCTAGAATCTGATGAAACTATGATCCAACCATAGACTCGAAAATTGAGTCCCTCTTAGGGAAGCCTTATTATCTATATGGTTGAAAAACCAACCACAAATAAATGAACTTCTCTTTTGTAAGGACGTGGTTCGATTCTCATCAGAAGTTAAGTTCATGATCATTACATTAAGTGCAATCAACGTCTCAATTAGAATCCCCCTTAAACCACAAGCCTGTATGCTCATATATGTTTGTACATGCACCGTTAAAAATCTTCAAAACGAGTTTTTTTTTCGCCAAGATTCACCAAAATAAAATTTGCGGCCGATTTTTCATTGATATAGGCATTATGTAAACAAGTTTTGACACATTTTTTTGTAAAGTCCAAAAATATAAAGTTTTTGAGGCAATTTTTACCGACGTTACATCATTTAAATATATTTTTTTGAAGATCATGTTGTAAATTAATATCTTGTTTTTAGCTTTTATGCAAAAATAAATCTATGCAAATTTTATGAGTTATTGCAACACCAAAATTTATTGCATATATAAAATTTATAGCATTTGAAGATAAACCGATGGGAACATATTGAAATGTTGTCAAAAAATGAGACTAAGAGTTAACTACTGTCTGCTTCACTATGATATAGACAACATTTCATTGTTTGTTGATCGGGTTTGACTTTGAATTTTGCAAATTAGTTCCATTTTTGAATTTATTCAATCAGCAGTGATAGGAATTTGATTCTGAAGGTTTTGTCATTGCGAGTGATCGAAATTGATCTTAATCTTAGAAAGCAGATTGGAAAAGATATCAGAATTGAAAGCTAGATTAGCAAAGAATTCCAGAAGTCTAATTCTGAATTTTATAAAATGATGGAAGTGGCTCTGGCTTCGATTTAAATTCTTCGCTTACTTCCAGTTCCGATACAGATATTAACATTCACTTCGTAACTTCAATTCCAAAAAATTGATTGTTTATTTGCTTAAAATTTTTAATTTTATTCATTTATCAGAAAAAAATTCTCATCTTTTTTCAAAAAGTCATGATATTTAAGAACATTACTAAGCGTATTTTCTGCATATTCTTCCAAAGTTCCTCCACATCCACCAAAATCTGTTGGTAAACATTCTCTGTCGATTAGTTCATGCAAAGTCTCAAACCCTGAAGTATGAAAATGAAATTTATTTGACAATTCTTTACTTATGATTGGTTTGAGGAAAGATATGACCCTAGTCAGCATTTGTGAGCAATTGACAAAGTGAATTTGTTTAATATCAACACAACTTGCTTCCTGCCCATATTGTGAGAAGTGAACTAGACTTTGCATGTTTGATACAAATTTCATTAAATGTGAAAAAGTGAATCCATTGGCATCATAAATTGAGACAAGACCATTTGTGTTAGGTTCCAACAGAGCATGTACATCATTGACCATGACAACAAATTTAAAAATGTCTTTAAGAACGAAATCATTTGAATTTGTGTTGATAATCCGGTATGACTCGATGGCATATCCTTCCTTTGTAAGCTTCGGAAAAGCAGAATATTGGCTGTAGATGTGAAATGAGATATCATAGGTCAGTGCTTAATATTTTATTCAAAGTTGTATTAGTAACTCACACATTGTTTATAGCACGTTGAAGCTCTACAGAGTTGACATCACGATTGGCAAGGAAATATTGATGTTTGATTCTAAAGTTTACATTTATGTCAATTAGCTTCTTAGCTTCCTCAAGGTCACAGTCACAAACTTTGTAATAACGATAGAGTATCGTTCTAGCTGTATAATCAGAAAATTTGATTTAAAATTTATCAAAATTTAATAAAGTCGAATCTATTTACGAAGAGTTTTTGAAACATGCGGTTGAGTTGATATCCATTCCTCAAGATTGCTTAAAATATCTTGATTATCTTCTAATAACTTTTTATTCTTTTCTGTAGACTCGATCATTTTAAATTGATGGTTCAAACACAACTGAAAATGTCTGTTAAAGTTATTTTTTTGCAACATCTGTGTCTTTATAATACACAGGTAATGACAGAAAATTTATTTAAGTAGAAACCAGAATGTTTGCGAATATAATTCTTTGTTTTGAAGACATGGTTTAGAGGATCTAAAGTTCAAAAACTCGAAACATAAAAACACAATTTATGAAAATTTGTTTTCAAGCTACAATAATTCTTGACTGTAAAAGGACATCAATCAGAATATGGTTTGATAAACTTCTTTTAATTGTGAATTGAAAAAGCTTAGTCGAATAAAGTTTAAACTTTTTAATCCCTAATTTCTACAACTCTACTGAACGTATCGAAAGTCAATAAGGCAAATTGTTGTTAATAGTTTATGTACATAAAACTTAGAGTCTAGAGAATAAAGAACCTAACGGCAACTAAATTGCTTAAATTTTTATCACCAAAGATACAGTTTAAAAGTTTCTTAGCAAACCTTAATAATTCAATAAAGTCGGTTACAAAATGCGAACAGAAAGTTCAAAAGAACGCAATTTTGATTCCTGCTTAGGACAAATTTTTGAGAAATTAATATTTTTCTGATAAATAAACAAAATTAAGTTCCTTTAGTATTAAAATCAAGTTTACAAATAAAAATTCTCACAAAAATTTCCAAAAATTTTCAAATTTATTTATTCAAAATAAAGAAATTTTCATCCTTTATCACAAAGTCTCGATACTTGTGTAATTTATTAAGTGTATCCTCCTGATAATCTTTCAGAGATCCTTCAGTGCCACCAAATTCAATTGGCAAATATTCTTTACCAATAAACTTATGCAAATTCTCGTATCCTACAGAATGAAAATAAAATTTATCTCTCAATTCCTTTGACAGAAATGATTTAAAGAATGAAATTGCTTTAGTGACAATTGATGAGCAATTAACATAATGAATTTGTCTGAGATTTATGCAATTAGCTTCTTGTCCATACTGTGAAAATATAATTGTTGTTTGAGCATTTGATACTACTTTCATGAAATGTCGAATTGTGAATCCACTGGCATCATAAATTGCAATAACTCCATTTGTATTTGGTTGGATTAAAGAATTAACATCATGTGACATGATCACAAGCTTCATTATATCTTGAAGAATAAAATTATCTAATTCTGGACTTATAATGCGAAATGATTCAACGGCGTAGCCTTCGCTGGTAAGTTTTGGGAATCCAGTATATTGGCTATAAATTAAATTAAAGTTTTTGCTAGGTCTTAACTTGGAATCAACAAATCTCTGAACTTACAAAACTTCTAAAATTTTTCGAATATCTTCAGACTCGATGTCTCGTTCCGTAAAAAGAAACTGATTTTTGATCCTAAATTTCACATTAATATCCAACAACTTCTCAGATTCTTCAAGGTCAAAATTGCAAACTTTTAAATATCGAAGGAGAATCGTTTGAGCTACAAGAACTTTTAATTACTTAACTGGATTATGAAGTTATTAAAAAGCTACTCACGAATATTTTTAGGTATGTTTGGTTGTGTTGATATCCATTCCTCAAATTTGTCTAATTTCTGACGATGAAGTTCAAATAAATTATCAAGATTTTCTTGAAAATCACTCATTTCAATTCGACAGCTTGAATGAAACTGAATGAAACTTAATAGCGTTGTTGCAAAAATTAATTTGAATTCTTTTGGGCTTGTCTGAATATTCAGTAACGTCTTCTGACATTCTATTAATGCGTTTTTTATCAGTAAAGACAACTTTTTCGTTTTTGAGTATTTTAAAGACTCAGAAGTCTTTCAGAACTTGGAACAAAAAATGTCTGAATTATGATTGTCGGACGGAATAAGTTAACAACTCCTTAACGATTCAAAAAGGTTACCTAAAACATGAGAACAAATGAACAAAAAACTGAAAATATCAAAGGCAAACAAATGATGATGTCGAAAAAGGAGGGACTTAAAAATAAATGTATGAAGTTTTTAGTATCAGTATCACGATTTTTAAATAAACCTTGTTCAATCTAGCTTATGAAACTCTTTGTCACACAAAAATGTTCAACGTTATTTCCCAAAAATTCAAAAGAGTTTAATTCTACTTAATTAATTGTAATGGAAGAATGGAGGAACACTTAATATTTTGTAAAACATTAGAACAGCCACGTGAACAGCCTCAATATAAGACAAAAAAATAATGTTCTTTAAATGACAGAGTTTAAATTTGTTATTGTATTAAAAGTTTTGATCATTATTCTATTCCTATTGTTCCTGAAGACCTCTTTCAGTAACTAGAAATTTAGAAACTTACTTACTGCAAGCCTAAAGCCTAGCCTACTCAATTAAAATCTATTTGAGTTCCTGAACAACATTTTTTTAACATTATTTATCAAGCAAAAAGAAATTTTCATCATTATTTATGTAATCACGATTGTTTTGTAAGTTCCATAGTGTATTTTTCATATGCTCTTCCAGAGTTCCATTGTTTCCTCCAAACTCGATTGGTAGACACTCTTTGTCAATAAACTTATGTAAAGTCTCAAAGCTAGAAGAATGACAATGAATACTTTCCATTATTTCCTTGCTGAAAAAAGGTTTGAGCATTGAAATTATTTTGCTGATAAAAGTTGAGCAGCTTAGAAAATGAACTTGTTTAGGTTGGACATAAGTAAGTCCAGATCCATATTGTGTGTAATGAATTGCAGCTTGTATATTTGATACAACTTTTATGAAATGTTTGAATGTGAATTCACTGGCATCATAAATTTGAATAATTCCTTTATTATTTGATCCAATAAGAGCATGTGTGTCATGTGATATTATAGCCAACTTGAGTGCATCTTTCATATTAAAATTGCTTGCATTTTGATTGACAACTCGTGCTGATTCAATTGCGTACCCTTCTTTTGAAAGTTTTGGAAATCTGGCAAAATGTCTGTAAAAGCAAAGGAGGAAATCAGCTTAGGGCACAATACCTAGTCAAAGTTATCTCACATAGAAGTAATAAGCTTCCGAAAGTCCTCAGAATCAATGTCACGATTTGTGAATAAATATTTGTTCTTAATCCTGAACTTCACATTGCCGTCAATCAACTTCTTAGTTTCTTCAAGATCATAATCACAAAATTTGATGTATTGAATCAAAACAATTCTGGCTAAAAAATTATGAAAGGTTATCCAAATACTTTTGATTATAAAATACAGCTTACGGATGTTTTTCGGTATATGCTTCTGTGCAGCAATCCAGATCTCTAATTTATTTAACTTATCAAAATTATTTTCTATCAGTTTTTCAAGGCTTTCCGTGGAATCACTCATCTCAGCTTGAGAATTCAAACATTACTAAAGATCTTTGTAAAACATTCATCCAAAAACCAATTTTCTAAGTCTTTGGTCATCGTGGATTATTTAAAAGCTGAGACATAAAGCAGCAAAGAATATGTAAATTAACTGATACTGAAAATCAAGAATTTCAACAAAAACAAAGATCGATCGATTTTCTTCTTCTTGTTTTTGTGAATGTTGATTCTCATGAGAAGTCCTTCGTTTATGATGTAAATTATTTACGTTAGAGATGAACTCTGAAATTTGTGACACTTTAAACACTTATTTTTTTGTAAGATTGAAACTTTTCAAGTTGCTTTCTCTTGATTCATGGACATTAAGATCTATTTATTCATAATAATGTGAAGAACTTCCAACAATCACACAAAGTCATTCGACAATATTGTTCTACAACATTATTAACTAATCAGGAAGAAATTTTCATCATTATTTATGTAATCACGATTGTTTTGTAAGTTCCTTAGTGTATTTTCCATATGCTCTTCGAAAGTTCCATTGGTTCCTCCATACTCAATTGGTAGACACTCCTTATCAATAAACTTATGCAATTTCTCAAAGCCAGAACGATGACAATGTAAACCATCTACTATTTCCTTACTGAAAAAAGGTTTGAGCATTAAAATTATTTTGCTGATAAAAGATGAGCAGCATAAGAAGTGAATTTGTTTAGGTTGCACATAAGTAAGTCCAGATCCATATTGTGTGTAATTAATTGCAGCCTGTATACTTGAAACGACTTTTATGAAATGTTTGAATGTGAATTCACTGGCATCATAAATTTGAATAATTCCATTATTATTTGGTCCAATAAGAGCATGTGTATCATGTGATATTATTGTTAATTTAAGTGCTTCTTTTAAACTAAAATTGCTTGCATTTTGATTGGCAGTTCGGATTGATTCAATCGCGTACCCTTCTTTAGATAGTTTTGGAAATCTAGCAAAATGTCTGTTAAGGCAAAGTAAGAAATTAGGAGCTTTATAGGAACCATGGTTTCATGATCAATATTTGTAATCTTGGTATATTAGCAATCACAATCGGCACACATTAAAATGTTGTCTACAAGTCAGTCAACATATTATTTAATGCCGATCTGATGCAATGATTGAGAGTAAGGTTTGCGTTGGGAATCGAACCTTTTCTCACACTTTCAGATTCACCTATAATGGCTTTTAATCGTCAAGATTATAATCTACACTGACAATACACCAACATCATTCAAAAGAAAAACTTAAAAACTTACATGGATGTTAAAAGTTTTCGAAAGTCCTCAGAATCAACGTCACGATTAGTGAATAAGTATTTATTCTTTATCCTGAATTTCACATTGCCATCAATCAACTTCTTGGTTTCTTCAAGATCATAGTCACGAACTTTAAGGTATCGAATCAAAACATTTCTATCTAGAAATATTTTAAAGGTTTTTCATAATGCTCAAAATATTTATAGAAAGAAATTTGGTTCTTGAGTCTTCAATTGGCAGGTTTTTATTTATTGCAGCTTGTCTATTATGATAATTTATAACTTACGTATGTTATTCGGTATATGATTCTGTGTAGCAATCCAGTCTTCTAGTTTAATCAACTTATCAGTATTGTCTTCTATCAGTTTTTCAAGGTTTTTCATGATGTCACTCATTTCGGTCTGAAAATTCAAATATTACTGAAGATCCTGACTGAAAGAATTTAGTCTAAATTTTTTTTTGAATTTTTTTTTATTAAATCGGAATGAATACAAGTTTGGACTTTATTGCTAGATAAAGGCCTGCAAAAAATGAATTAATTGATGCTGAAAATCAAGAATTTCAACAAAAACAAAAATCTGTCAAGTTTTTCTCCATCAGTGAATGTTGATTCTGATGAGGGGTCGTACAAGGTTTGTGTGAGTCGAGAAGGATACTTGAGTCCAGATTCTAGCGCACCTCGTTTCAAATTTAAGCATAAATTTTCAATTTCAGTATAAATGGCTAGGAGTAGCAACAGAAATAGGACTTAAGTCAACAATCATGTCAAAATTATATTTCTTGATACACTTCATTTATGAACGACCCCTCAAAATATTTTTCAATCAGTTAACAAGAAAAAGTTTTTGTCGTCAGACACAAAATCTCGATGAATATGCAAATTTTTAAGTGTATCTTCCATATAATCATTTAAAGAACCTTCACATCCACCAAACTCAATAGGTAGACAGTCTTTATCAACAAAATTATGCAATGTCTCATATCCAGACGTATGAAGATGCAGCTTTTCATACAATTCTTTTGTAAAAAATGGCTTCAAGAAGCTAACGACTCTGTTGATTACTGATGAGCAATTGATGATATGAACTTGCTTAATCTCCATGCAAGTAGCTTCTTGTCCATATTGAAGGAAGTGCATTGAAGCTGATGGATGTGACAATAATTTTATTAAATGTTGAAAAGTGAATTTTTCTGCATCAAAAATTGCAACAACTCCATTTTCCGTATGTTCAATTGTATCATTCATGTCGTGTATCATAAAACATGCTCTAAAAAGATGAGTAAGGTTAAAATTACTGGCATTTGGATCAACAATTTGGTGAATTTCGATAGAATATCCTTCTTTGGACAGTTTTGGGAGTCTTGTGAAATGCCTGGAAGTAAATTAGGAAGAATGTTGGGATGTTAATGAAGAGATGATAAAGTATTTGAAAATAAGAACAATTGCTGGTTCACTCGAGTTGGGTGTGCATCAGGTGCGTAGCCAGGAGGGTCTTACCCCCCCTTAAACGCCTTGAACCGCAGCGAGAGCACGGCCTCCCCCTCAAGAAGGGGACAAGACCCTCCTGCCTTGATGAATTCCATGAGTATTCTACACTAGTCACAGTCATAACATGACGGATATTGTCATACTACCTATGTACATAAATAAATACGGCATAGCTTTAAAATTGACTTTTGTGGATCAACTCGTTTAACGTGATTTAACTGCAGACTCTAACGAGAACCAACAATTGTCCTTGTAACAACATCTTCTTATTAGATTAACTTACACAGCTTTAATGATTCTTTGAAATTCTTCAGAGTCAACATCTCTATTTCTAAAAAGATATTGATGCTTAACTCTGAACTTTATGTTGATATCAAGTAACTTTTTAGATTCTTCAAGGTTGAAGTCACAGACTTTAAGATAACGAAACAAAATTATTCTTTCTGCAAACATACAATTTGAACTTTTATTGATTACTTTTTATCATGTATAAGATTATGAAATTACATACTAATATTCTTAGGAATATGAGACTGAGTTAATGTCCATTTCTCAAATTCTTCAAGAATTTCTTTATTTGCCTCAATTATACTTTTCATTGATTCACTCATTCCAGTTAAGAGATTTAAATACTACTGAAGATGTTAACTCTAATTTTGAAATATTTCAGAAAATTCATCGAAGCTAATAAACATCCATCCATGAATTTATGCAAATTTAAAATTCTTCCTTTATTGGATATGTTTTTTTTAAGAAGCATGCGATGTTTTGATGACGGCACATGATTTTTGATTTTTTAAAGATTATCTTATGACTCAAAACAACTTACAAATTTGTTTACGGAACTTATTATTGATAAACCACTGCGTCATTAGTGCTTTAGCTAATTAAGGCGTCATTCATAAATAATATCATGCATTTTATATCGATCAACATATACAGTCTGACTTAACACATTAATTTAAATGTAATTTTAAATTTAAATTTTATTCATTAAGAAGAAAGAAGTTATTTGAATCAGCTATAAAGTCACGATGTTTATGCAAGTTTTTAACTGTAAAATCTACATATTCAGCTAAACTTCCATTACAACCACCAAATTCAATTGGTAAAAATTCTTTGCTGACAAACTCATGAAGCGTGTCCAGATTTGTGTGGAAGTGCATGCTTTCCCTCACTTCTTTCGTAAAGAACGGTTTGAAAAATGAAAGCACTTTGCTGACAACAGACGAGCAGTTAACGTAATGAATTTGCTTAAGTTGGATGCAAGTAGCTTCTTGTCCATAGTGTAAAAAATGCAAAACTGTTGATGTATGTGATACTAATTTTAGAAAGTGTCTTAATGTAAATCCAGAAGCGTCATAAATTGAAATAAGTCCATTTGAGACTGGCCCTAAAGCATCATTCATGTCATTTATCATGTAGATGTATTTAAATAAATCCTTAATGATAAAATCATTGACATTTGAGTTCACAACTCTGTATGATTCGAGGGAATAACCTTCCTTAGTAAGTTTTGGAAATGGTGTGAATTGGCTACAAATGAAAAAGATGAGAGTCAGTAAAATTTCATTGAAGGGCTAATGTTTATCGACAACAAAGCCGGAACATGTAAGATGTATATCGACCGGGGTCAAGTTCAAAGTTTTAAGACCTTGCATTAATATTTTAATTAATAGTTCCGATATTCTCTTCCTACTTGGTGTTTTCCGACCGGCAAACGTTTTCTCGCTATATGATTACTTAGTTCCGATTATATTTCAGCTGTTTATAAAACTTTTAAAAGTATGGCACGCTTAATTCTGTGGTATTAATGTCTTGGAATCAGCACGGATTTGCAAGATTCTACTTAGTATTAATAATGTGAGAGGGTTCCAGTGAGGCGGTGTGTTACTACACGCTGCGACGAGCTGAAGGCACTGCGATCCTGAACGATGATAGAATCTATTGTACCGTCTACTTTGTATTACTGGCATCATCTTCTATCGATTATCAAATATTTCGGTCACTGATTGCCAACATTTTTGTGCATTAGTACCACTTAGTACTGTTACCGTTAACTCTAATCGTTCATTTTTGATTTCAGTCATCGACAGCTAATTCTTATTGTGCAATTAATACCTAGTAAATAAAAAACTTACACTGTGTTAATAGCCTGTCGAAATTCATCACAATAAGGATCTCGGTTTGTAAACAAATACTGATGTTTGATTCTAAATTTCACATTTATGTCGAGTAGCTTTTCGGCCCTCTCAAGGTTATAATCACAAACTTTAAAGTAGCGCATCAAGACAACTCTTGCTGGAAATTTAAATTGTTGGTTTTAATAAATTTCTAAAGTGTTTGCTAAGGGGTCGTTCACAAATGACGTATGATATTGTAGATTCTAGTCACAAAGTAATAGATCACTTCTCACTTGCATATTCAACATCATAAATGAATAACCTCTGAACCACTTACAAATATTGTTTGGTATATGCGGTTGCGTAGATATCCATCCTTCAAATTTACATAAATGCTCACAATTATCTTCAAATATTTTTTCTAGACTCTCCGTAAATTCACTCATTTCGATTCGAGCGCTTAAAAACAACTGAACTCTTATTTTTAATTTTAATGAAAAGAACATCTGATTGCGGTAGTTGCGTTGTCATATAAATTATTCGGATGAAGGTTAAGTGGTATGAAGAGTGGTTATTAAGATTATTAATACTGACTTGCAGGTTGAATTAAACTTTATCCACTAATATTGCTGATTAAACTTGAAATTATATAGATTTTACACTATTATATGCTTTTAAGTTTTCTTCGATCTGCAATACAATTTCGATAGCATCTCCTGTTAGTGAACTTGAAAGCCTAAATTTTGATATCAAAAATGTAAGTTTGAGAATATCTGAAGATCATTTATATATTATCGAACAACTTTAAATCAAGAATTAAGATTAATATCAGTTTTTAAACATTAACCAATAATTAAAAGTTTTTGAATTAAATTTCGTGACGCACTTCACTTCTTTTATTCACTTGCAGCATAGCTCGGCTAACTGCATCAACTTTATTCATTTATCAAGAAAAAATTCTCATCATTTCCAACAAATTCACTATGTTTATGTAAGTTTCTTATTATATTCTCCATATATTCTTCCAATGTTCCTTCAGAACCACCGTAATCAAGAGGAAGACAATCTCTGTCAATAAACTTATGTAATATCTCAAAACCTGTATGATGGAAGTGCATTGTGTCTTTCAGTTGTTTTGTCAGAAAAGGTTTTATAAACGAAACAAGTTTGCTGACGACGTATGAGCAATTAATAATGTGAATCTGCTTTATATCCACACACGTTGTCTCTTGTCCAAATTGCATAAAATGCAGCACAGTTTGACCTTGTGATAATAATTTAATAAAATGTGATAAGCTGAATTCTTTTGCATCGTAAATTATTACTACTCCGTCCATATCTGGTTTAATAATATTACTCATGTCATGGATCATGTATAAAAGCTTAATTATATCCTTAAGAATGAAATCATTAGGATTAGAGCTCACAATGCGATATGAGTCGACACAGTATCTTTCTTTAGTTAATTTTGGAAATCCCACGAAATGACTGCAAGGAATAAATTGAAATCTTATTAAATAACAGAGTTCAAAGTAAAAAAATATTAAGTGGTTGCATTTTAGACTCCTTACACTGTTTTGATAGCTCTTTGGATTTCTTCAGAGTTAATATCTCGCTCAGTAAAAAGATATTGGTGCTTAATCTTGAACTTTACATTTATGTCAAGCAAACTTTCAGCCTTTTCAAGATTAAACTTACAAACTTTTAAAAATCTCATTAAAGTTGCTCTGGCTATAACAATTAAATATATTTTCTGTAAATTTGCCTAATTTTAAGGTCACAAAATAAACTCACGGATGTTCTTGGGAATATGAGGCTGATTTGATATCCATTTTTCAAACTTTTGTAAAGTTTCACTATTTTCTTGAATTAATTTTGCAAGACATTCAGATACTTCAGACATTTCGATACAAAATGAACAACACAACTGAATAAATTAAATGATGTTCTGTGTTATTTTTAAAAATTCTACTTGATTTTAACTCCTTAAAAAATTATAATATTTAATGTAGTTTAACAACTTAAGAGGAATTTGGGAATTCCCATGAAGAGTAGTTAGAGTTTTTGGCACCCAAGAAAAAAAATGATATTTTTTGCCAAAAGAGGCAGGTTTATTTTAATAGTTTTTAACATTTAACATTAATCATGAAAAAATTCTCATCATTTCCAACAAATTCACTATGTTTATGTAATTTTCTAATTGTATGTTCAACAAAGTCATCCATCAACCCTCCACAACCATCGTACTCAACAGGGAGACATTCTATGTCAATAAACTTGTGTAGTGTCTCAAATCCTGTAGGATGGAAGTGCATAGTATCTCTAAGCTCTTTTGTGAGAAAAGGTTTAAGAAATGAAATCAATTTACTGACGACTTGTGAGCAATTAACGACGTGAATTTGTTTTACATCGACACATGTTGATTCCTGTCCGAATTGCAAGAAATGCAGCACTGTTTGACCTTGTGCTAATAATTTAATAAAATGTGAAAAACTGAATCCATTCGCATCGTAAATTGAAATAATTCCATTTACATCTGGATTAATAACATTATTCATGTCGTGGATCATGTAAAAGGATTTGAATATGTCCTTAAGAATGAAATCATCCAGATTAGAACTGACAATGCGACATGATTCGATGAAGTATCCTTCCTTCGTTAATTTTGGCAATCCAGTGAATTGACTGGAAAAGAAATATGAATATTATTAAAGACCAAAATTCAAAGTCAAGTTTTTAAAGCAAAATCCAAGCTTGATGGAATTTAGACTACATACACTGTTTTAATAGCTTTTTGGATTTCTTCAGAGTTAATGTTTCGCTTCGTGAAAAGGTATTGATGCTTTATTTTGAACTTAACATTTGTGTCTAGCAATTTTTCTGCCTTTTCAAGATCAAACTGACAAACTTTTAAAAATCTTACTAGAGTTGCTCTAGCTGCAAGAATTGAATAAATTTTAGTAAATATGCTTAATTTTAAGGTTACAAAAATCACTCACGGATGTTCTTGGGAATATGAGGCTGATTTGATATCCAATCCTCAAACTTTTGTAAAGTTTCGCTATTTTCTTGAATTAGTTTTGCAAGACATTCAGATACTTCAGTCATTTCGATACAAAATATTAAATAGAACTGAAGAAATAATATAATGAGCTATGCCGTCTTCAAAAGAAAGGTCACTTGATTTAACCTTCAGAAAAGTTATAATAATCGATGTAGATTGACAGCGTTTAATTAAAATTATTGTTGATTATATTAAGACAGTGTTGTCCAAACTGTGAGCTATAGAAAAATTTTTGAATTGACACAAGCTGCTAAAATTCTTATTTATCCAGCATCCAAATAGCAAACGTAATAAGTAATATTGCCGCTTATTAAGAATTTTAAGATATTTGCGATATTTGTATTAAACTTTTATCAATTTATATTTTTTGAAATTAAAAAAGGGATAAACATTTGCAAATAAGTTAACACAATTTAATGTTTATTTATTCATTTCATAGGTATTTTGAAACTGCTAATTCAAATTAAAAAGTTTTATATTTAGTTTATTTCTAATTACTGTAATTTAATTCCAATTAGCTTTCATAATTCCTTAAAAATTTCAAACAAAAATATAAAAACAATTAAACTGCATTTTAGGCAAAGTTTTATAATATTTTTGGAATTAAATGTCTAAACACCACGAATGTTTGTTAAATACTAAAATTTGATGGTCAAAACTAGTTGTCAGATGATAATTATTAATTAGTTTCACATGTGTAACAGTATTAGCGGTTCCAGTTGCGATTATTGTGATGTCAGAGCAAAGTAATTTATTAAATGATCGGATATCTTCAAAATCTGCTTTGTATAAGCTTGGGTTCGATTCCTATCAGATCAGCACATTGTTGTCTCGATGTATTAAACAATCACACAATGCTCATGAATTTAAAGTAATATTCATCCAGGGGTGGCATCGACTTCGATTTTGATCAGCACCAAGTCAATATTTCTTGAGATCAATCCATAAAAATTCCAAAAATCCAAATAATACTCAGCTCAATGTATTCTAATATTGTTTGAAGTCAGATACAAAAATCATTAAATATTCTTTCTAGTGTTACCGCCTTGATCAGCACAGATTGATGTTTTGTCAACAAGGAAGCCAATAGCCAGTAGAACCAACTGTTATGCTTAAGTTATTATCAACAAAACAACACCGACTTTGCCAATAAATTATTCATAATTAAACACCGACTATGTTATATTTGCTAATTAGGAAAGATTCCAATAATCCCTGTGTAGTAGCCGTAAACCTCTTAATATTGACTGTAAAAATTAAACTTCTAGTGATTAAGTAGAAAAAAATTCTCATTTTTTGTAATATAGTCGCGATGTTTACGCATATTTGTAAATGTATTTTCCATATATTCATCTAAAGTTCCCTCACATCCTCCGAAATCTATTGGGAGATATTCTTTGCTTACAAACTCATGTAAAGTATCATAACTTGAAGAATGGAAAAACATTATAGTTGACAATTCTCTTGTTAGAAAAGGCTTTATAAATGCATGAACTTTACTGACAACCGATGAGCAATTTACAAAATGAATTTGTCTAATATCTATGCAGTCAGCTTCTTGAACATACTGCAAGAAATGAATAAGTGTTGCTGCATGCGATACCATTTTCATAAAATGCCAAAAGGAGAAATCTTTAGCATCAAAGATAGCAATAAGTCCATTAGTGTTTGGCTCATTAAGAGCTGTCAAGTCGTGTACCATGAAAACTGTTTTGAATAAATCTTTAAGAATGAAATAATTTAAGCTGGTATTTGCTACTCGATAAACTTTTATTGTACATCCTTCTTTCGTTTTCTTTGGAAGTCCAATGAATTGTCTACAAATAATAAATAATGTCAAATGTAAATTTCTTTTATGGGGTTACTTAACAAATGATGTCCATTGAAATATGAGAAGATTAAAAAACAGAGTTTTCATACCAAAAAGTTATATCATATGAAGTGGCTTACTGCTCCATGGTGGGTTCTTTTAAGCAGTTAGACATCATTTGTTAACGACCCTGGGACAACAAATTTTCATTTATTTTAAAACCAAAGATCAACTCACACTGTGTTAGCAACTTTATAAAACTCTTCAGAGTCGATTTCTCGATCAGCAAAGAGGTATTGGTGCTTGATCCTGAACTTTACATTGATGTCGAGAAGCTTCTTCGATTCCTCAAGGTCAAAATTGCAAACTTTAAAATAGCGAAATAGAGTAGCTTTAGCTGCAAAGAAATGATTGATTTTTAATGGCTGTTTGGCTATTATTATTGCGATTTGGAAGCAAAGGAGTTGAAAAGGTGGTCGGGAGGAATAGCTATAGGTGATAGAGTCGCAGTACCTAGCTTCACATGAACCGTAACTCTTTATACATAGAAAGCAACTCCTAGTTGACTTAACATTCTAAAAATTACTCACGTATATTCTTAGGTATGTGTGCCTGAGTTGTAATCCATTCCTGAAAATTCTCTAAACTCTCGCGATGTTCCTCAAAAAGTATTTCAAGACTTGCAATAGAGTCACTCATTTCGATTCAAAATTACAAAATCAACTGAACAATCTACCAAAGAATATAGCCTGAAATCCCCAATGCTTAATACTTTTTTTTAAAAGAACTGGATTGAGGCATAATTTTTACAGGCAAAAAGTCACATACTACGAGATGACGATAATCGTTGTGACGCTTTATTTTGGTATTCTTAATTTTTTTTGCGAATTTTCAATTATTTGCATAAAAACAGAACCTGTCTTTGATTGGTACACTCAACGAAACATTTGACTAATGGATTGAGACTTCAGTCTTTTGTTTTAATTTGAAGCTATTATGGATTTAAAGTATCTTTGTTTGGAGATTAAAATCAGCAGGAATTTATACAATCTTTATGAAATTTAAATTTGATATCATTAAAGCTTCAAACATTGAAAATTGATCTATTAAAATTAATAAAAATAATCAGAATCGATTTTCTTTGCTTTGGCAATTCCTTAAATATAGTAAAAGCTAATTTAAATGATTGAATTATAAGAATTTTTGTCGTAACTTCACCGTACTTTATTACCTCAAAAAGCATCACGGTGTAGACATAAGAGAGGATGTTAATACCTTCACCAGATCGACAAAGATTGCTTTTGATACAATACAAACAATCTTTCAAGAAAAGCTCTGACTATGGCTCTGGATGTTTAATTAGTAACAGATGTTTAAGTTTTGAGCAAACCGAGACTCATAGAACACAGCATATAGTGAATCTTATCAGATTTTTGATGATTTTCTATGTTGAAATTATAAGGTTTAAACAATCAGGATTAATGTTACGAATTTTCCTAAAAACCCCAGCACTTCTTGAGATGATATTTCAAATCCAAGTCGAGATCTCTAATTTGATTATCAACTTGAAATTTTTGGGATTTTTCGGGATAAATTCCCAGGCTTGCTGTATTAAATTTTCAGTGATTTCTGAACAAATTATCAAGTTGTGTTTGTTTACTCTTGTTAATATTGAAGCCAAAAGAGGTATTTTGCAATTGAAACAACTACTTCTTTGAAGAATCCATTTGATTTGTTATTCTGTCGTATAAATCCACGAATTGCTATAAACATCTTCTTGCTCATCAATTAACACTGATTGAAATCTAGTTTTATGAACAGAAAATCAAAAATCAACATTAATCATGTATTAATTAAGAATTAATGTTTATTTCTTATTGATCCACAGAATCTAAAATCCTTCAAAAAATGACAACAAACCATTAGAAAAGTTCAGTATTTTTCAAAATCACACCTTCAGCCATTATTTATATTCCAGACACAATTACATATTCAATCCAAAACTTGCAGTTTTCAATGTCAACAACCAGTTTAATAACAAATCGAATAAAATAGTTAAAGAATAACTTCTTGACAGTTTAGATATGTAGGCTAGAGAATCACGCATGAATATAAAAATCAACATGAGATGTCTAACTTTATTACACGTGCAGCAACAGAGAAATAATAATGTAAATTTAACGAAGCAATAATAAAAGTATTAAACTTTTCGTTTTCTTCTTCAAGTTTCGTTCAAAAGCTCGCTGTATATGAAGTTTTGTTTTTCTCTCACTCACATTATTCTCGACTGTTTTATTATGCACAACATTTTCAGTACTTATTTTGCTATTAACGTATACAGTCGGTAGCTGAACGCACATGCTTGGAATATTGTGAAGAGCTTTGAAGCTTGAAATAAAAGGAAGATAAATTTTGTGCATCTTTTGTGTTAAAGTGCATAGATTTACATTAAGTGTGATGTAAGATTTTATTTTGTATATTCTTGGAATTGAGAATGTTTAGAGATCTGCTAAAAAATATTCAAGGTGATGTTAAATGTGTGACGCAAAAATTATTAACAAGAGATTCATTCTTTGGATGATTTTTGGATATCTAGTTTAGTCATAGCAATTCTGAAGGTCGTCTGTGTTTACTGCTTTATATGCGAGTAGCACAAAGCAGTTCCGAGTATGAGCCAAATGTCATTCAGGGAATTGAACTAAATGGAACCTTGTGTCTCTCGGAATATAAATAATATCAAATTAAAAATGAATTTGTTTTGAAATGTCATTACACAAGGATAACTAAAGGATTAATCCATCGAAAACCGTGCTTGCATAGATGCATGACATCCACAAAAGTTAAAAAAAAAATAAAAAATGACATAGAGCTTGTCAGCTTCATGAACCGTTTCTTTTATTCAAAATAAAAACTTTTTGAAAGTTAAATTAATGAATTAATTCGTCAAAAGGCTAAAAGGAATCAAGTATCACTAGTGCGCTATTCAAGCGTTTCTGTCTTATTCAAATATATTCTTTGGGATTGTCTTAAAGCTTACTATCAAAAAAATATCATAAACCTGATCAACCAGGTAAATATATAGGAAGTGATTAACATCTAATTATTAATACCAAATTTGTCTTTATTTCTGCAATAATTAAGATTAAAATGTTGTCTGGATATGACACGCAATTTCAGTGACATAAATAAGAATTTTTATTGAGTGATGTAAAGTTTACAGTTAAAAGCATTGACAGAGATAAATTCAATGTAAGGAGAAGTTTTACTGACATGTTATATTCATGTGCTGTAAAATATAGCTTTGGATCAGGGTTATACTCTTGCTTCTAAGATTCTACGTGAATTCTGTGTGACTCTAAATAGCTGTCAAATATAGCCTTGTATCCATCGGGATATCTGTGACTATTTTATGAAAGCCAAGCAAATTATGTCTCCTAAGATACTCAGTCTCAATTGGTTACATCTCTTTAATGGATTTCTTCAATGTAAGCTACTCGTTTCCTCTGAAAAGCTGTAAACAGGTTGAATTTTTCTTAGAAAAAATGAGTTCATGATTCTGATGATGTAAATGTTAAGAAAAATTTGGAGGTTAGAGGATGTCAATTTAGGTTAACTGTTTATTTCACAAACTTTCCGCGTCTATCCTTCTTCAAATGAGTAGTTGCACTTACAAAATAGATTATTAAGCAATTTTTAACTTCTTTTGCCGCCATTTTTGTTAAATGCAAAGTTTAACTACATTTTCACAAAGTTAATTGCTTTCTACTGACGATACAGTTTAAAAACATACAAGTAAAATAATTTACAATATGCAATACTTTTTGCAGATGTTTTTGAAATAATTTATTGCGACAATCAAGTCGTTTATAAGTGAAAATGACATTTATCTGTGCAATTTCTTCCAAACAATAATTTTATTAATTTTAAAAGCTATCAAGGCTTTAAAAAGTTCGAAAATTTCAAACGTGTCATTCAAGTCCAAAAAATATCTTAAAATTCATAGCAATTCATAGATTTATCTGAACGAATGTAATTCTCTGCAGCACCAACATTCAAGGTAAACGAAACTGTTTATATTGTCATGAAAAAGCCGAAAATGAAAATGAGTTGCATATACATTTAAGTTTCACATGGGTAGCTACATAAATATTGTTATGTCTGCCGCGCGGCAGCGCATAAAAATAAAATACCACCTTGATCATGAATTTTTTTTTGTTTCCATTGACTATTTCCATTAATCGCTTGACTCATGCTCACCACGCACCTTGCTAATTTGAGTAGATTCTCTAGACATTAAATGCGGAAGTGATTTGTAAATATTTACAACGTGCATACGTTTATTTGCATACGTGCTGTTTGAATTAAGGAAGAAGATGGAATTAATATTCTGATTTTCTTTCACAGTTCTTCCCTAATTTGCATAATTACTACTGATTAAAAATTCTTAAAAAAATAAGTCTCAGAATTTAAATAACGAAAATGGTATCGGAAGCAGTGTTTGACGAAAAGGTCAAAGAACTGGAACAGTGGATTGCAGGTCATAATTCCTTGCCTGAAGAAATCGGTAAGTAGTAACAATGAATTGAATTGGGTAATGTTTATTAAGTTTGTTGTTTATGAATAATGAATGATATGCAAGAAGTTATGAAAGTGATAAAGATAGTTCTGTTTTATAAATAGAAATAAAAACAATTAGTTTATTGTGTCTGAATTAAATTACGAGTTTGTGAAATTTTTTTTAAAAATGTCGTAAAAATTGGGACAGAAAGGCAAGAAATACATTCAAAGGATGCATTCAAGGATCATACAACAGATGACTTGATTTCTAACAAGAAGATTTAATAACATATGATATCCTACATTAGATTCATCTTTGTTCAAATCATGAAAATAATTGAATCTAATATTTCAACTTAGATTTACAATTTTGAACATTAAACTCTTTAATGACTCACAAACTTTCCTTTCTAATTTATAATCGTGTCAATAAAACAGGAGTTCGCATAGTGCTTAAGACATTAAACAATCTAGTGAATATTTGATCTTTAATAACTTTAAAATAAAAAATCTTCCCAGATTCAAAAATTTTTTTGCTGATTACATTTTCATTACATGTAGTTGTTGCTAATGATCTTGCCAAATCGTATGTTATTGTTTAAAAAAAACATGAATGACGTCAATGATAATAAATGGGTCATTCGCTTATTCTTTCATTCAAATCCAATGAGTGAAGAGCTTTTTAAGAGACGCAAAAATTATGTCATTCTCTGGAATATTCCAATTGCTCTTTTGTCTTTCATACCTGTTCTTTTTGAAATATTTAAAGTTTGTTTAACTTTGCAAATATTTGAAAATCAATTATTATTCAAATTTTATTGAATATTTTGACATTTAGAATAAAAACTTCTTCATTCTGTTGACATTTATTTTCGACCAAGTCTGGATTAATTTTTAAAAACCATATTTAAATGCAGTTCCATTGGCATATTTGCTAACAAGATTGCATTGCCAAGTTTCGTTCTCATTTGAATAAAGACAAGCTTCAAATGAACTTTGTTATTTTTTAAAACTATTTGCAATAACCAAAAAGAAATTGTTTATAGAAATTTTTCCCATCATGCTGCATTCTCCTTGAATAACTAGCAAGAAAAAAAAACGGCATAAAACGTGAGCATACTTATGAGGAAAATAAGGCAAAGTTTAGTTCACCGTTTCGATAAAAATCTCTGTTGTTGGACATGCACTTAAATAATCATAAGCGGTGTGAAGAAGCAATGAAAGTCAACAATGTTTCACAATTCAAGCTTATTCCGGTCAGATAAAAAAGTTTCGATAACCTTGCTTGAACTTCTGTTTGTTTATCATTGATACGGCGGATGGACAGGATGTCATTAATTTTTAATTATTGCTAAATTGGTTAAAAAACATTTTTGCTGGTCATAAAGCTACAATTTAATTGAGTTTTGGAATCTAATTAGATCAATGCATGTGTTAATGATTGAAATGGGATTTCCCATGGATTGTTTTCAGAAATATGAATCAAAATTCAAATTAAGTGCAAATTTTCTTAGAATATCGTAATTCCAATGAATTAAAAACGAGAATTTCAAACTTGATTGAATAAAATGTCAAGTTGAGTCAAGTGTTGTCAACTTGATGTTTAAGTTAATTTTGCATAATCAAAGCTCAGTCAAGGCTTGTAAAGTAAACAAATGGCTTAAATTGTTACTGAAGTGTCGTTGACTTGTTTTGCTTTCCAAAAAATGATTTTGCTTGTCTTATTTGATGAAGATCGGATTGAATAGATCTTGACTAACCTTGTATTTCTCTTGAACTTAATTGTGTTGATATCTGAATAAACTCAAAAGATTCTAAACTTCCTTCTTTCATTCCAGAAAACATTGTCGTCAGACGATACCTAAACAGCACCAATGCTGATCTAGAAGAAGCCCAAAAGCTCATTGTGCACAGCTACACAATGAGAACAAAATATACAAATTTATTTTACAATCGTGATCCACTGGATGAAAAGATTCGACAAATCAACAATGTTGTGTAAGTTGACACATTTTGAGTGACGAGAATTAATAATCAATTCTTATTTCTCTTTGTTTAGTGATTTAGGAATTCCAATGCCAAAATTGACAAATTGTAAGAGACGAATCATATTCAATAGGCTGATTGATCATGACCCTGAAAAGGTGAGAATTTATGTACCGATAATGAGCGCGATAACTTAACATTTTCTTGAGTAGCTTCCGAACGTAAAGTCCCGTATAGTTCCGAAGAAACAAGCGAAAGAGAAATGAGATAAATGTAATACGTAACATTGACATTGTAAACATGGTCTTCTTATATGGGGAAGTGAGTCAGATACACACATGACTGCTATTGCCGTGTTGAAAATAAATTAATATTAAACCTTATGCATACAGTTATGGAATAAATTCACGGTCAATGAAAAATAATGCGTTTGAGTCGGAGTCGATTTGTCTTTTGTTGATTATTGTTGGAATGTTAAAAAGCTATGAGGCAGTGGCGTTATACAAAATGGATAGGACTGGAGATCAAGCCTGTATGTGACCAAAACATTGTGGAATCTGTCATGAAACAATTATTTTGAGTAGCGTATAATTTGAATTTCTTTACTGTCTTGATTCAAGCAATTTCCAATTCCTATTCAACTACCAAGTACCAATTTAATATCAATAGACTTAACACCAAAACCACAAATTTAATTAATACCTAAAACCAGTTTACAAAATCAGTTTTATTTCTATTTTGGCATTTTACGTGTACAAGTCACGAATTAAGTTAGAAGTTCCCTTTAAAATAGCTCATAAACCTTTATTCTCGTCACGTTTCTTAATGACGAAATAAATCATGTCTAGCTGCTTTGTTGTGGTTTGTTTTTGTTTACTATAAAAATATTGAAGTTCCTTTTGAGCACAAAATTTAAATGTGTTGAGTCTGATTGATTTGTTGCACGTTTGGAGCGAAGCTTGTTCAAAAACTGATAATAAAGTATAAACATAAATGGCCTTGAAAACAGCTATCATAAAAATGAAAGTAGATAAGAGTTGACAAGGATGAAAATTATCATATCGATAAGAAGTCAGATGTCTTTGAGGTTTCTGATTAAAAATTAGGCTGGTTTGATTTTGGCATTGTTAAATTGATGATCTCTTGAAGTTTGATTCACTATTTATGTCTTTGAATTAATCCTGAGATTAGGATGCAGATTTGCAAAATAGAAAGTGATAACATCTTGACAAATGCTAAGAAGTCATTCATAGATGAAGTCAATCCAAAATTGAAATGGTTAATCTGATTTTGACTATGACATAAGATTTATCTAGGAAAAAAGACTCAATAGAAATAGTCAACAAAAGGCAATCTCGTATAATTCGATTCTTTTAGACTATATATTGAGTTCTGGAACCAGAAACTGTAATAACCTCCCCTAATCTAGCCAAATTTCATTTAACCAACTCAAAGATTTTTATTGGATTCAATCCTCATAAGCAGTCAATTATGCAGTGGAATTATTGATCATTAGATAACTTATCAAGCTTTCAATTATAAAGACTCTATAAATAGGAGTAATAAAAATAAATAATCTATTATTATATCACCTACTGACTTTTTTGTGGCAAAATAAGCCTTGGTAAACAGCAATACACCTCCACAATAGAAATCTAAATAGGAAGAAATTAAAGAATTTGCCAAAATCTTGTTCCAAAATTTTTGATCTTGCCAGAGATTAAATATTTGACTTCCCATCTAGTAATAAACCTAAACAATCTCGTTGTCGATGATAATGCATATAAACGAGACTAATATTTGAAGAATAAATATTTAATTGAATAAAAATGCAGGGAATGAAGAAACAATGTGAATAGATTTGTTGATTTACGATACATCAAGCTATTAAATTTTACTTTTTAATTAGCTGCCTCTGACTTGCTTCATATGTAGTTAAATACAGATCTGTAAATTGAATAATTTAACTCTTATTTATAATTAATTTACAATTTTTTGCACTTCCTATAGTTCGATTTCGACACAATTATCAAGGCCTTTTTCCTCGCAGCTGATCATCGCTTTTCTATTGTTGATGAGCACTTGCCAAATAAAATAAATGCTGGCGATATTCCAGTTTTTGATATGCAGGGATTATCATACAGACACTTGACTAAATTATCACTGTCAACTCTTCGGTGCTACATGAAATTTACACAAGAAGCATTTCCAGTTAGACTACAGGAGATTCATTTGATAAATGTGTCGCCTGTTTTGAGCAGATTGTTAACAATATTGAAGCCATTCTTGAAGGCAAGAGTCAGTAAAATGCTAAATTATCATTTACCGAATTCAACGACCTTCCATGACTTTATTGAACAAGATTTGATGCCAAATGAGTATGGAGGAAAAGCAGGAGACATGATTGATATTAAGAACAACTTTATAAAGGAAATTGAGAGTCAGAGGTAAGGATTGATAATGATTTGAACTTGACCGACTATACAGACGCACAAACTTATCGATGAACTATTAAGTATACATCCTGAATCGTAAGGGGATTGGATTTTTGGTTTACATCTGCTGAATTATTAACAATCTCTTATTTCCTTTTCATTCTAGAAACTATTTAACAAGCGATAAGCACTGGAAGCCGCGAGACAAAAACAACAATTCAGTCACAAATATCCGATCGAATTTTCAAGATCTTAATATTGATTAATCAGCTGGTTTTGGTTAATATGATATGTTTTACTTTATTTTACAAAAATATTTACTTGAATTATATGACAAACCCAAACATTCCTCAAATTAAAATGGAGCAGCTTTAAGCCGTTTTTTTTGTATAAAAAATAAAATTTTTCTGGAACTTTAAGCATAAACAATTTTTAAACGAGAGCATCAAATTTATGAATTCTTTCCAAGAACTTTTGTGATGACACTCTTAATTTCGGTGTAGTTTTGTAAACCATACTCTGAATTCTCACGTCCATGTCCTGATTGCTTATATCCACCGAATGGAGCTTGTGATCCCAAAACATTGTATGTGTTAACCCAAACAGTTCCAGCACGAACACCCTGAATTAAGTAATTGATCTTGTCAATGTCTTTTGAGAAGATTGCTGCAGCAAGTCCATATTCACTATCATTAGCTCGTTCAATGACCTCATCGAGTTTCTTAAAGCGGATTATTTGTTGAACTGGTCCGAAGATTTCTTCTCTAGCTATTGTCATGTCGTCACTCACATCAGCAAAGACTGTTGGTTCAATGTAGTATCCCTTCATGGCTGGATGCGTTCCACCGGCGACTAATCTTGCACCTTCCTTCTTACCAGTTTCAATTAATCTCAAAATTTTATCTTGTGCGGCTTTGTCAATTTGAGGACCTTGTTCATTTGCTAAGTCAAATGGATTTCCAATAGTACGTCTCTTAGCACGTTCAGCTGATCTTTCAACAAATTCATCATAAATCTTGTCTTCAACGAAGGTTCTCGAACCAGCACAACAGCATTGACCCATATTAAAGAATAATCCGAAATGAGAAGTTTCAACAGCATGTGCCAAGTCACAATCAGCCAAGACAATATTTGGTGATTTACCGCCAAGTTCAAGTGTCGTTCGTTTCAATGATGAAGCTGCACCCGACTTAATCTTCTTTCCAACATCCGTACTTCCAGTAAATGCAATTTTATCGACATGTGGATGATCAACAAGAGCCTGACCAGCTGTGCCATATCCTGGCAAGACATTAATTACACCGTCTGGGAATCCAGCCTCACGACTCAATTGTGCAATATAAAGTGCAGTCAATGGAGTTTGTTCAGCTGGTTTAAGGACAATTGTATTTCCAGTAGCAAGTGCTGGACCCAACTTCCATGCAGCCATCAAAATTGGGAAGTTCCATGGAATAATTTGTCCACAAACACCAATCGGTTCATGTCTTGTATAAACAAAATAGTCACCGTCCATAGGAATAACTTTGCCATGATTTTTATCAGCCCATCCTATAAAGTTAAAGGGGAATTAATAATTTTATTGCATTGATAACGTCCAAAAATATATTCATTCATACCGGCAAAATAATGAAGATTATTAATTGCCATTGGAACGTCTACGTTGTAGCTCATTGCATACGGCTTTCCATTATCAAGCGTTTCCAAACTCTAGAAAGTAAGTTAATTGCGCAGAATAGAAAATAATTATCGCTGACTCAATAAAAGGTTTCGTTCACATGTGACGTGAAGATATAGTGAAGGGGGATATAGACTAGAACAATATAAATTCCAGAAATTTTCTAGAACAATACAAATTCTATTGTTTTAAGTTCCAAAAAAAACGTTAATTCGAGACGCCACATGTGATCGATTCCCAAACTTACTGCCAAATACACGCGATCACGTTTCATTAAATTTGCAAGCTTATGGATCAATTTGCCTCTGGAACTAGCATCCATACGTCTCCAAGGAGAATTAAGTTTGAATGCATTTCGTGCAGCTTCTACAGCTTTATCGACATCAGCTTTCGACGATTCCTGGACATCAGCAATGACTTCTTCGGTTGCTGGATTAATTGTTTGAAATGTCTTGCCTGATTCCGATTTATGCCATTCGTTGTTTATGAATAGCTGAAAAGATTTGTTGATAAAAATACATTTTTTGGGGTGTGTGTGGATTTATAAATCTGGTTTCTTATTCATGTGTCTATTTGCGATGTTGACACGCTAATTTTGAATTACTGAAAGTGAGAATGTCAACATTATGTCCAAAACAAGTCTAACGCACGAGCGGTTTTATTGATACAGCTGACTAATAATTCAAGAATTGATAAGAAAGATTCGGTCATAGACCTTTTAATTCAATATTATTGGATATAAGGAAATGCGCTTTCACAAAATGTATATCAACTAGTTCCTGGTTTATTTTCATTCTCAAGGTCTGCGCAGTTTCCAAGGTCAGTTTTTATTTTTATGTAACTCTTCTTAATCGATTTAAAACTCATACTTACGCCTGTGTACAAAATTTGAGGTTTTTCTTTTGGTGCCGGAATTGAATAACATCGCTTTGGAACCGAGTTTAATGAACGAATGACTTTAAACATGATTAATATAATTAAGAACAATTATTGCAGGCGTTGTCACTTGACGCTTTTAACAATTTCTTGAGATTTGCACAATTTTGGAATTGAATAATTGCCGATTAGAACAACGCGTGTCAACAGGTTGGACGTAAGGAACAGAATAAAATAAGTTTCAGTTGTTTTTGAAATGAAGGGACAGTAAGTGTGCTGATATTAAGCCACAGATTTAAATTTTTATTGAACGGTAATTTTATTTTTTATGTTTCCTCTTTTTCTGGGTCTTTTTGGACTTTCTCTTTTTGTTGCTGCTGTGTTTTCGCTTTCTTTTCTTCTTTTTGTGGTCGTCTGATGAGCTACTGGATGTTGAACTGCTGCTTGATGACGATGAACTGCTACTTGATGACGAAGAACTGCTGCTTGATGATGATGAACTGCTGGATTTCCTTCTCTTTCGCTTTTCTTTTTCCATTTTCAGTTTTTCTATTGCCTTTTTTTGTTTCTCAATTGCCTGCTCACGTTCCATTTGATCTAATCTCTTTAAAGGACTGATAAATTCCTCTTCCTCGCTACTGGATTCTTGTCCAGCGATAATTGGCTTTCTAGCCTGTTCATTTCGACATTGATAAGTAAGATGTCCTTGAAACTAAACGATTATAAACAAAATTAATTTAATTTATCGGTAAATTGGATTTTTGGAGTTATTTGAGCGGCTTTTTGGATATTTTCAAGTACTTACGCCGCACTTTTTACATCCTAATCGATTGTCACGTTTATCGGCTCCGAACATGTCCATTTTATAGTATAATTAATGAAATTAAGAATTTGACAATATTATTGTTTATGTTCTTTAAAAATCTGATCCAGTGAAAAATTACACATCATGACTTTTTTGAAATATTGGCTGTTTTTGAAAGAAAATGGGCTTGTGCTTAGGCTTGTGTATGCATAGCAGTTGTTTTATTAATTATTGCAGCTGTTGTGACAAGAATTGTGCATGATTATATCTTACATAGTGAATTATTAGATTTTTACCTTCATTCATCAGTGACACGGAGTTTTCTATTTAAATAAAAGTGCAAAAAGTGTAAGTTTCGATATTTTAATTAATTTGAGTGATAAATACGAGGTTTTTAATGAAATGACAGTGTGAGTCGTGTTTAATCGAAATAGAATTGTTAATTAAAGTGTAAAAACAGTGAGAGAACGTCAAGAATTGATTAAAAATCCAATTCAAATTTTTTCGTCTGAAGTTTAAAAGGTCTGTAAATTGCTGATAAGTCAAAATATCGAAGATTCGTAGTTCCTTTACATTCAGTGATTTTTTAAGCTATTAGACAAGCTCAATCAATTAGATTTGTGAGATCCAGTACAAAACAAAAAAAACATATCGAAACTTTAATTATCTTTCCAAGTCTGTCGATTAAACTCATCTTTCGATGTTTTGACTAGTCATCCTTTGACTACTATCTATTGTTTTTGTGCTTAATAATAAATAAATTCCATATAAATAACAGAAAGGTAGCAAACTGTCAACAGTAAGAACAAAAATGTTATCAGGACCAGCAGCAATTACTGGACAATTACCTGGTCGATCGTCGTATGCGAATAGCATAGATACTGATGTTTATGGTATGTACTTTTTAATTTTGTTGAGTTGGAATTTTCTCTTATTCTTAATACCCTCCTTTAGATCCAGCTTCGGGAAGTATCTTTCAAAGCTATAAGAAACATGATGATTTGAAGCAAATGCTTGACAGTAATAAGGACAGCTTAAAGTTAGAAGCTATGAAAAGGATAATTGGAATGATTGCAAAAGGAAAAGATGCATCTGACCTATTTCCAGCAGTTGTAAAGAATGTCGTGTCCAAAAATATTGAAGTTAAAAAGCTTGTCTATGTCTATCTTGTACGTTATGCTGAAGAGCAGCAAGATCTCGCCTTGTTATCAATTTCTACATTTCAACGAGCTTTAAAAGATCCAAATCAATTAATTCGAGCCAGTGCACTTCGAGTATTGTCAAGTATTCGTGTATCTCTCATCATTCCGATTGTTATGTTGGCTATTAAGGATTCAGCCCAAGATATGAGTCCTTATGTGAGAAAGACGGCAGCTCACGCAATACCCAAATTATACAATCTAGACCCGGAGCAAAAAGAAGAACTGATAACAGTCATTGAGAAGCTTTTGTCGGATAGAACGACTCTTGTTGTCGGTTCCGCTGTGATGGCTTTTGAGGAGGTAATTATTCGACCGTTATTATTCAAATATTATTTCCCGCTGTTTCCAAATTTTTCGAAATGTAATTTTCAAATATTTTTTAAACTTTATTTTTCAAATAATTGATAATCGCTATTTTCAATAGTTTATAATCATTATCAAAATCGTAGCCAATATCTGCTAATAATCACTAATTTGCCAATTATTAATTCCCAAATTTTTCGGTTCAACAGGTCTGTCCCGAGAGAATCGACTTGATTCACAAAAATTACCGAAAACTTTGCAATCTCTTAATTGATGTCGATGAATGGGGACAAGTGCTTATCATCAACATGTTGACAAGATATGCTCGCACTCAATTCACGGATCCGAATCTCGAGGAAGTAATTAGCGATCAAGAAGACAAGCCATTTTATGATGGAAGTTCCGACAGTGAAAAGTCATTTAAGAAGCCAACTTATTCATTAGATAGCGATCATAGACTTTTATTAAGACAAACAAAGCCTTTGCTGCAAAGTAGAAATGCGGCTGTTGTTATGGCTGTAGCACAACTTTATCATCATGTAGCTCCAAGAAATGATGTGGCAATTGTTGCTAAAGCTCTTATTAGACTACTTAGAAGTCACACAGAAGTTCAAAGTATCGTTCTAACTTGCATCGCATCGATGACTTTAAGTCGTAAAGCTATTTTTGATATCTATTTAAAATCATTTTTTGTCCGTACTTGCGATCCGACGCACATTAAGTTACTGAAACTTGATATCATGACGAATCTTGCTAACGAAGCAAGTATTGCAATTATTCTACGTGAATTTCAGACATACATCAACAGTAATGATAAGGAATTTGTTGCTGCGACAATTCAAGCAATTGGACGATGTGCAGCAACAATAAATGAAGTTACTGAGACGTGCTTGAGTGGCTTAGTGCATTTGCTATCAAATCATAATGAATATGTTGTTGCTGAGTCTGTGGTTGTAATTAAAAAGCTTCTACAGTCTCAAAACACAGAACATAAAAGAATTATCACTCAAATGTCAAAATTGCTAGACTTTATTACTGTTCCAGCTGCCCGTGCATCAATTTTATGGCTTATTGGCGAATATAATGAACATGTCCCGAAAATAGCACCGGATGTGCTTCGCAAAATGGCAAAATCATTTGTGGACGAGGAGAATAGTGTAAAGCTACAAGTTTTAAATCTCGCTGTTAAATTATTCCTTAATAATCCCGAACAAACTGAGCTTTTGTGTCAGCATGTTTTTAATTTAGCACGTTATGACATCAATTATGACATTCGCGATCGTGCTAGGTTCTTAAAGCCTTTTATTTTTACAAAAAATCCAAATTCAGTGCTGTTCAAAAATGCAAAAAGAATTTTTCTGGCAACAAAACCAGCACCACAGCTAGAAAGTAAATATACAGGACGTGAAAGCTATCAACTTGGCTCAATGTCTCACTATTTAAATATGCGTGTAAATGGCTATCAACCATTGCCAGACTTTCCATCAACAGCACCTGACACGACTGTTAGAAATGTTGAATCTCCAATTCATGAGACCTTATCAAGTATTCGTTCTGACATGAAAGCTAAATCTACTCAGCATGGAAAGAAAGAATCAGGCAAAAAGTCATTTTATTCTGAAAGTGAATCGGACGAGGAGCCGTCAAGCTCTGAAAGTGCTACATCCTCGTCGAGTGAGAGTGAGAGCGATAAGGAAGTCAAAAAAAAGGTAAAAACAATTAAAAATCAAGCTGAAAACAATAATAATATGGAAACAGAAGACAGTGACAGTGACAGTCCATCAAGCTCATCAGAATCTGAGAGTGAGTCAGAGTCTGGAGATTCTGAGCCGGTTACAAATCATAAGACTAAACATGAGCCACAGCCAGCCTCTAAAAAGTCAAATTTAGATCTTCTATTGGATCTGGACGATGTAGCAACGTCTGGAAATGTCATGACGCCTTCACTTGGTGGCTTTTTAACTCCAATGACGCCATCAGCTTCTTCATCGCTTCCAAATCGAATTGAGCTTGTCGGTCCGAGTTTTATTGCGATGAAATCAACAGAATTGCTTAACAAAGTTAATGGCTATGGACTCGGTATAACTTACAAATATACCCGTGCTCCGCATTTATTCTCATCAAATATGATTTCAATTGAACTTCATTTTACTAATCATGGAAATTTGGAATTGCTGGACATACAATGTGGCACTAAGAATCTCAGCAGTGGAATGACTATGAATGATTTTGCTCCAATTGCGCAATTGATGCCAAAACAGACATTGATGGGTATTCTTGGTATTGATTTTAATGATTCCAGTCAGGCTGCAAATTTCGAGATAAAATCATCAGCTGGGATTAGTAAAGTGACAATTAAGGCACCGATGGGTGAGTTAATGAGAAGTGTGACTTTACCGGACACACTGTTTAAGGACGAAAGGAATAAATTACGTGGAATGACGGAATCGACATGCAAAGTGACATTAAGGACTGAATTATGTGAAAAGCGGAACTTGCAGATGAAAATTTATGAGATTGCAAATGTTGCGTCAATTCCATTTGCTGATGCTGATGATCTTTTATTGTTTTCTGGACAGACAATGAACTCAAAGAGTCTCGTTTTGATTTCTGTCTTATTGCAAGATGATAATCGCTTAGCATCCGTGACTGTTAATTGTGAGAAAGTCGTGGTTGGGTCTATTTTAGTGAATGAGATTAGAGACGCAATTAAAAAGATTTAAAATCATTTATATTTGGACTGACGAAATTATTATTATTATGCATGACATTATTATCTATATTCATATTTCTGTAACTTTTTAACCAACTATGCACTTAATAAAAACATTTATGCAATTATAAATTATTCTTTGATGGCTTTAAGTTTGAGATTTTTCAGGGACTTAATAATACAGAATTTAACGGTCTTTGAAGATTTGAAAATTGAAACCTCTCAAATGTTTTTGAAAATGGTAAAGTTCAAAATAGTTCAAATTTTTAAAAGGTTCAAAACCCTTCAAATGTTTAAACAGTTTAAAACTATACAAATGTTTTAGAAACCACACTTCAAAACAATACAATAGCTTTAAATGTTTCAAAACCTTACAAATGTTTTCAAAAATCAACGACTTAATTTGAATTTTAAAAGTCCGTTAAATTTAAATTTCAATTCCAAAAGTTAATAGTTCCATTGATTTACACAAAGTCTTACAGGATTTAAATCTGCCATTCAGTTACTTACTCAACCGTTATACCAGATAATCCTCAAATAAATACTTTTATGTATCTTGTGCTTCAGAAGTTCATCCTAAAGTCAATAAAAGCTCTCGACATTTTTATCATAAAAGTTTTATGTTCTCTCAAATGAAAAGCTGTTTCTAGAACTTTTTGACAATGTTTCATTGAGTGTGTCATTAACTCCCACATGATGTCGTATTCATGAAATATCCGATGATTATAGAATGTCTAAAGATTATGAATTATCGAAAACTTAAACAATTTTCGTCGAATAATGCTCAGTGAAATGTGGATGTAGATATGACATAAACATCCTGATGAATAGCTTCCTCTATTTCTAGGATAGAAACCCATTCTGTTAGATTTTAAAGCGCAAAAGCTTGGTAGCTCGATGAAAATTGACAATCCATTCCAAAATTAAATCAAAATTCTGAAAAATAATACAAAGCAAAAAGGATTCCTTGATATTATTGCACAGTTCTCTCAACAAACAGCTGAGAATTGAAAGTAAAATTGTTGATTCACTGCAGATGCTTTTCTCCATTATGTTCAATAATATTTGAGCATCATCTGACGTAATCATTACAATTATTCAAGATGTACACAACAGAAATCGTTTATTGTACCACGAATGTCATTCCTTTTATTAATAATTCTTTATTCAAATAGACACAATGGATGAAAGTGCACTTTTATAAAAGTTTCGAAGTATTTGAAGAGGTATGGTTGTGTCAGGGTTGGATGAAGTTCTAGTTTTGGTTTTGATAGCTTTCAATTTGTAAGTTTGAAATTATGCATAAATTAAGTTTAACCAAGAAGTCGATTTCTAAAGCTCAAGGTCGAATTCAGGAAGAAGATTCGAAGTCAGACAAATTTCAAACTCAATATGGTTCAACATCATAGCAACGCTGCTCCACGACAGATTCACAATCTATAATGTTAATATTCAAGAATGTATAACATGCAATTGACTTTCATGATTGATGCAATATCTATCCTATTATTATTACAATAAACTATATAAAGTGAGCATCAGATTCAAAGTATTGAATTGTTATAATAGATATAACCTCAACTCGTGTGGTGATTGAAAAGTAAACTTTTATTGTATTTGGTTCAATAGTCACTTAACGATTGAGTAAGGTCATATTGTATGATGATGATACTGTGGTTTCCACCTATCTAGTTGGGATAATTTAGTGTCAATCAATTTGTTGATCACTTTTTTTAAGTTGATGGTTTCGTTAATTAATTATTGTCCAGAGCAGCAGGTTTTGTTAAAGTCACTGACTGTTTTTAGAACTCGGACAAACAGCGATATAGTTGCTGACTTCCATTTCACTGAAAAATTCTTGACAAATTTAATTCTGTACAGCTCTTTAAAATACCCACTTCATAATCCCTCATTGTTGATCCCAAAACCTCTGCTTTAAAATATTTATAACACTTTCTAAGCTGTGCATTCTTGAATATTCCATTATATAAGATAAATTACACTTTTTCTTTTGTCATAACTACTTGTGAGCATTAAGTCTATGCACAACTTCAGCTGTGCTAATGTTTTCATTTTAATATTAAACAAAAGAAAATGATTCAAAATGCGAAACAATTGGAGAAAACCTATAAACAACATAAAAAACTTTACAGCAGCACAATTGTCGTCAGAAATGTGTAATCAGCAACTTTATATTTGAACAATGAGATATGAGTTTTGCAATCAGATTATGGCTGGAAATGATTTTATTTTGTGCTTTTAAAGTTTCAAGAGACTTTTTAAGGAATCTTTGGATTATGTATGGCTGAAGGTTCTTTTAATACTTTGTTCAGTTGAAAATTCTGGATTTTAATACTTTAAAGCGTGATTTGATTCCATTGTGGTGCTGTTATATCCCAGGGTTGGGATACAGGCACCTGAGCACAGATAAGCACCGTACAATTCCTTGGTAATTTATAAGGTTTTTCCAACAAAACCAAGGAATTGTACGGTGCTTATCTGTGCTCAGGTGCCTGTATCCCAACCCTGGGATATAACAGCACCCGAAATTTATAAGGTTTTTCCAACAAAACCAAGGAATTGTACGGTTCTCATCTGTGCAATGATTTTATCGCAACCCTGAGTTATATTGTGTCCTAAACTTTAACAAACACTTTCATACAATTAACAAATTGTCAGCTGTTTATAAAGCATTTTACATCATTAATTTCACATGCCCATATGGCGTAGTGGCTAACGCGTAAGCCTCCTAAGCTTAAGATCGTGGGTTCGAATCCCACTGTGGGTAATTTTTGGGTTTTATATATTACCTGCTAATTAATTTTTTTGCCAAAATAATCACATAATAGAGAGCAACTCATCTCATTTAATGACTTTACACCACATTAAATCATCAAAATAAACTTCAAAGGTTACAAAGTTTCGTGCTGACAAATTCCTAGACTGAGTAGATAATGAATAATTTGGTTTTAAATCTACACAAGCAGAATCAACTTCTTATTAAGCACATCATATCTTCTCGTAATAATCACATGCTTTGTTTTTATTAAAAGTGACGAAATCTCATCACATGTACTTGATTCTGCGTGATATGTTTATTTATGATAATTTGGATTTACCAGCTTGTTGCTTCTTATTTGCTCCATGTACATGATGAAGAGGTGAAAAGTTTGTATTGATTACAAATTTACGGGCTGTTCATCTATAAAGTCTATCAAAAAATGAGATTCACAGATAAACAGCAAATGACATACTTTATAAACTCTAGCAATATCAACAGATTATTTAAGAACCATTTTATGTGATTCGATTAGCTAAGCATCAATAAAGGAGCTTTGCTTGAGTAGCTTAATGTCCTTCAACATAATCATGCATGCAAAAATCAAATTACATTCGTTGAGTAAATTCTTTCTTTCCTTTAAATCCGATGTCGTATCGTATCAGTGAACCATAAAAGACCCTCGATTTGAATCTTACTTCCATTTCCTTTTGATGATGTAGATTTGTGAGAAACATTATTTAATTAAATTCCTATTCAAGAGTCTTTTTTATGGTGATGAAAATTTACGTTTCATGCTTACCTAACCTTTCTCAATATTCCATCCTGTGAACTTGATTTTATTTCATATATTTCGGTGGGTACTTTTGACATATTCATTAAGAATTGCAAAATCCACAACCTGAGGTTTGGCTTTCTTGATGAAATTAGAAGAAAAAGAAATGAAAATTCGCTTGAATAGCTTTACGAAAAAAAAGGCTGCCTTGTAAATTACTGTGTTGATTCTAGTTGAAGAATTGGAGCATGAGAGTTTGTTTGATGTTCTGGATTTGAATATGTTAAGAATATATCAACTGTCGTTTAATATTTAAATTATATTTGCAACTTTATTTAGTTGTTTTCTCCTTGTAAAGTTGTTAACCCCTTCATAGAAAAAAATAGGCTGTTTTTAAACTCCGAACAATAAACATCATTATATTAGGGGCCGTTCACTTATTACGTTCGCATTTTAGGGGGGAGGGGGGGTTTGAAAAATTGTAACAAAATGTAACAAAGGGGGGAAGGGGGGTCAAGAAGTATGTAACGTTCTAATTGTCGTCTGTCTTTTAAAAAAAGTTCACGAAAAAATTTTTTTAACAAATTCACACCAAAAACATTTTTCCACCTTTTTAATGATAAAATAAATTATGAACGTTCAGGGGGGGGGGGGGGGGTTGTGAGTTGTAACATATTGTATCAAGGGGGGGGGGGGGGTGTAAAAAGTCTTTTTTTTTGCGTAAAGTAATAAGTGAACGGCCACTTACAAAATAAACCGTATAGTTTAATTACCTTATTAATTACCTTAGGGGCTGTTCACTTATTACGTAACGCGAAAAAATGACTTCTTAGACCCCCCCCCTCGTAACAAAATTTGTATGAAAAAAAAAATTTCCTTGTTTGAATCGTAACAAAATCTTAGACCCCCCCCCCCCCCCCCCCTCCCCCTAAAAGCGTTACGTAATAAGTGAATGGCCCCTTACTAGCTTCAATTATTAATTTCAACTTAATCCGAATGTGATACCTAAGAATCCATTTACATCGCCTCTATCCAAATCCGATTCAACCAATGACTTTTAAACTTACATCCTGCCTCTTCATTCCTTGCCTCAGTTTTTTAAATTAAAATTTTCTTGCATTGTAATTTTTCATTCTTTTCACCAGAAACTTACTGCCGCGACACAAAAGAAACCAAAAAAATGAATACGAGAAAATGCTGTAGCGAATGTAAAAAGGATTCAAATTGCTTTTGCGACATCATTTTCAGCATCAACGCGAAAGTTTGTTTAGCTTCACAAAAGAAATAGTTTGCGTAATGAAATTAAATCTTGAATTTTTTATGCTGACTCTATTCAAAGTCTCTTTTCTAAAGATATAAATTGAAAGTCGAAAGAGTTGCTATTAAACCACAACTTAATCATGTGCAGGTTACATGAAACTTAAAGCTCATAAAATGATTCAATAATTGTTCAAATTGCATAACTATATAAAGCATAATTTCTTCACATCCGGAGCGTTATCAAGATAAGAAAGTAAACGTTTTGCATCATACTTATGCTACATAACACCAATGGCAACAGAAACAAATT